CTTTACAAAATAATAGTAGTGACACAAATTAACTGCCAGAATGGCGCGTTCAATCTTTCATCGTTACAAGTTTTATAAAATGAATATCATCAATTTAAAAAAGACATTCCATTGCCCTCCCCACACCCCAAAAAACACAAAAAAAAAAATCATAATTATGAAATCATACCCTCAATGAAAACATCCGTGTGTTTTATTATGATTTTTTTCATTGGGGCTATATCTAAAAACAGCTTGCAAAAGCTGCAGATCTGCTGTTCGCAGCCTTTGCAAGCCCTCCTCTTCTAACCCCACCCAGACTTTCTGTAGTTGTCCAATCAAAGACTTCCCAATGCAGCTCAATGAGAAGTCTTTGCAAAGTGGGAGCTCTGGGTAATTGCTGCCTCTGGGGTTTAGCTCCACTGAGATAAACAAACAGTAACAGAACCAGTGGGGAGTAACAAGATTTATTTATAAAAATGCCAATTTCTCTTGAAATCTTTACATTTTGTGAAATTAAAGAAAGAGAACACACTTTTCACACTTCATCAAGTGCCGCATGTAGAGTAATCCGTTAAGTAATGATATGCGTATCCTAAGACTTTAAAATGTGCAATATCTAAATATGTCCTTCTTTCAAAACGTCTTAGATGTTAATACTATATATCTTGTGTCCATATAAGTAATGCCAAGTTAGAAAACATGCAGGTGATGTTAGTGGCTAAATGATTATTATTAGTTTAATTATAATCTGACGATACAATCTACAGACAAATAAAACCAAAGTTTATCAGGAACATCAATGGATTTCCACTAAATTGTTGAGTAATGAAAAATTAATCACACATTTTAATTCCTGAAAGCAAAGTTAGAAAATAAACAGAGCTGCTTAGTGAATAACCCAAATGTGGATATATACAAAGAAAATATGAGGAGGGACCTACTCAAAGAAGTTTTTTTTTTTTTGTTTGTTTTTTAAATTGGTGTTTAGATGCAATATTGTAAAGTATTTCAGGGACCGGAGTCAAATTGATAGAATCTGCATCCAAAAGTAGTGCCTTTTGTACCTGCTCACAGCGAACATCTTGTGCCGAGCAGTCACATTCACCTGTTCTGCTAGAAATGGAAGGTGTGAGCGTTCGTTGAGAGTTTGCGACGTGTTTGCCAAATGTTTCCAAGCAAAGAGTATCTAATCTGTGTTTCATACATGGGTTGTTTCAAGGAAAACCAATTTGAAAATGTGAAATTTGCCACCTTTTTACTCCAAAGGCACATCACATTTGATAATATTATGTTTGTTGGCGTATTATAAATAAAAATAATAAAAAACAATAAAGAGATTGATGATCGTACCATTGACAGTAATTGATATTGTCGCTAGGACAATTAGTGTTCAATGGAAGAAAAACTGCATAGGACACCTGGAGATAAAAAAGATTAAAGGTATAGGAACCTTCCAAGCACCATAGAAACTACAGTGTGCTGTTGTGGTTATAGTGCCAGAAATGCCAGTGAAATTCCAACACAGTTATAATAATTTTTTATAAAGATTCTATATTTCAAGGAGGGATAATGACAGTGCCTCTTTATTACTTACAGGGTTATTTAACACAGAATTTTCGGTTAAAACAACCAAATTGTAACTGAAACAACAAATCTTATATTTTCTAAAGTCAAGTCTTGCCAGAACTCTGTCATTCTGATCAGGCTACCACTTCTGATGATTTCAGCAGACAGCTTGTTTTTCTGAGGCAAACAGCATACAGAGTTACAGCTTCAGGCTTGAATACAAGTAAGATTTTGCTATATTAATGGAAGCATGAGGGGCTGGGGGGGAGGGGGGCTAGATGGTGGTTTTAACACTAAAAACATGTATTCCTGACCCTATAGTGATCCTTTAATCTTGTTCCTCAGAGTTAATTTCTTTTTAACTATTTGCCCGCTGGCTTATAAAGTTGCCAGTGGGCTAATAGTTTGGACATTTAAAATCTGGGCTCACATCATATAAAAGTTACAATGATGACACACCCACCCGAGAGTTATGATATTGTCCAAAAATCATTTTTCAAATATTAGTCCACATCCCCAGTGACTACTGTTTAAACTCGGACAAATTAACAAATACCTCACTGCTTCTTCTCTTCAGTAAAACACTATTCTTCTTGCCAATGTGCCATATTTATTGTTATTATTATCTAACCTCAACCATTATTTTACAATTTCTTTTGACCGAATGATGTCTAGAATTAATTAAAACCATAGCCTGTAGCATTAATCTTTACAATGTGTTACCAAGACGTTAACTATATATGAGGGCGGCTCTACTGACTAAATGCTACCAGAAAGTTAATGGGATTCTTATCTAATATTCTCATATAATATCTATAATATTTTAAAATTGCATTGTAGAACATATTTATTTATGCTTATATACTAAACTGGAAATTGTGGAGAAATAACCAAATAATTAGATTTTTAGCATGAGTATTTTGTCAAAAATGTGCTCAATTACTTTGTCAGTTTTCAGATGAGTGAATAAACAATATTTCTTCAGATAGTTAGAGTCTTTCCACTTTAAAGGTCCATAGAAATTCAGACATGTAGTGTAATACCACCTATTTAGATTAAATATAAAGAAATAGATTTAGTCATATATCCACTGTTGCACCATTCTCGCTGTGGTTGAGATTATCAGTACTGATGATATTATTATTATTATTATTATTATGATATTTATAGAGCGCCATCAAATTCCGCAGCGCTTTACAATGGGTGGACGAACAGACATGTAGTTGTAACCAGACAAGTTGGACACACAGGAACAGAGGGGTTGAGGGCCCTGCTCAATGAGCTTACATGCTAGAGGGAGTAGGGTAAAATGACACAAAAAGGTAAGGATAGTATTAGACTAGTGACAGTTGCAGAAGAGGAATCAGTCAGGAGCTATTAACAGTTTAATTGATACGCTTTTATGAAGAAGTGGGTTTGTAACGATTTTTTGAAGGAGTGGAGACTGGGTGAGCATCTAACGGAGGATGGAAGCGAGTTCCACAGGAACGGTGCAGCCCTCGAGAAGTCTTGAAGGCGAGCATCAGAGGTGGGAGTACGGACAGAAGATAGACATAAGTCTTCAGCAGATCGTAAGGGCCTAGACCGACGGGACATACTTGTGTATAAGGGAGGATAGATAGGTGGAAGCAGCATTATGTAGCAATTTGCAAGCAAGAACCAGAATTTTAAATTGAGCTCTATATTTTATAGGAAGTTAATGTAGGGACTGACAGAAGGGTGAGGCATGGGAGGTGCTGGCGGACAGGAAGATGAGCCTCGCTGCCGCATTCATTATGGACTGAAACGGCGCAAGTTGGGAGCATGTAAGACCACTGAGAAGCGGATTATAGAAGTCAAGGCGAGAAAGGACAGTGGAATGGACCAACACCTTAGTTGCATCTGGTGTTAAGTAGGGGCGGATAGGGTTAATACCTTTCTTATTTTTTTTAAATACCAATCATGCTAATTTGCATAATCAATTATATATGTGTGGCATGACAATAAAGAAAAAAAAGAGATACATTTGGAAGTTAAAAATTCTCCAAACCATTATTCAAAACTACAATTAGTTTTGGGTTTTTTCTATACAGAGGGATTGTACTACAGTTTGGGGAGACTGGACTGAGGAGCCTACCCTGAGTGTTCACTCAATAGACCCAGAGGTAGGCTGTCTGCATCACAATCCTGTCCCTAATGGGCGGTGCATTCTAGCATTGTACACTAAGGGCAAGGGCAGAAAGGGGAGGAGTAGTGAGATATTGCATGTAGGAGTAAGTGATGGGCTATGGTGCCAGTGCTATTTGCGGCTGTCAGCCACAGATTGTGTGTGCAGCAGTGTGTGTCATTGTGTGTATAAAGCAGTGTGTTTACCTGCCATGAATAGTAAGTGACCATTCTTGATCCAGCTCATATTCCTCAGTAGCTAATTCAAATTGCTGTGTTCAGTCTTAGGGGCTAGGGCTATGCAGTGATCACAGAAACCGACCAGACAAAAAAAAACAAAAAAACCTGCATTTGCATTGCTGCTATTTCATTGGACAGACAGTCTAACATACTGGATGTGCTGGTAAAATGACAGCTTGGTGGCAACACTGATTACTGATGATTTCATCCAATCGAATGCCTCCCATAGGGAAGCATTGGAGGACTTGTACATGCCAGTCAGCATCTCCTCATGGTGTGCATTTGGCGTCTTCATGTAGAGCGTGGAGATGCCTAATGTCAGTTCTTCAATATTTGCAGGATCCCATCCAGGAAATGCCTCTAACGCCTGCCTGAGTGACAGCCACTAGAGGTGGCTTTAGGCAGCAACATAAACACTTACCTTATTCATAAAAGGCAATGTTTACACTGCTCCAACTACAGGGACAGGCTCTTTTCCCCAAAACAATTACATTAAGTTGCAGTGGTTCTTGTGGTTGGTTTCATTTTAAGATACTGGAAATGTCTAAATTATACTAGTTTATAGAAAACAGACAAAAAAAAAACAGAAAAATATTGGCAACAAATCTGTCCTTGTTTACCACTTGCACATACTTTTAATACATTATGAAAATATTGAAAAAGCAAAATAAACAGCTAAATGTTTTTACTTATAATGTTTGTTTTTGTTAGATATCCCTTTGGACAAATTATATCTCTGTCTAGTCTGAAATCAGTAGAAATTCTTAGGCAGCCAAGATGCAAACTTAGAGGTTTCTTAAAATGATTACAGTTCAGCGAGAGTATAGAGGAGGTGAGCAACTTACTGATAAAAATGGTTCTGTCCCCCCACAGATCCCAGAACTTTAATTGTACAGGTGGACTGGTGAGGCTGTGTGCCAAATATTTTTGGTTGAAAGAGGGAGTGGAGGGAGTGAATTCTTCTAACCACTCCTAGGAATGATCTACTCCACTCACACAAATCAATGACAATTTCCAGTCTGCTTCACACACCCTACAGCAACTTTACTGGGATTCTTTCCACTTTTAGAACAAACCAGCAATTTTATGAAAAAAAAGTCCATTCGCTGGGAAAACATCAGCCGGACGCACAAGGTCAGTCCTAACCTTTCCTGTAATAATAGTTTTATAGAATGATCAATATTAATATGTTTATGGGATTAAAACACATGTACTAAGATAGTTATATGAGAAATATATATACTAATATTAATAGCAGTGCTAACTGTTGTTTTGATGCAGTGATAATTAAATATAACCTTTTTTTTAAAAAAAAAACACAACTTGCATTTTGTAATAGTTGTTTTTGCTGAACTTTGACTCTCATTAACCTCAGTCAGCATCTGGATAAGCATGCTGAGGTCTGGAATCTACAGGGCTACAGTACTCACTTGTCTGCTTTAAAACTAAACTAACCATTGGAATGCATATCAATGGCTATCAATCAGATTATTCTAAAGAGCCAATATACTCAATTCAATAAAGTTTTTTTTCAGTAAAGAGTTCCAATACCGTCCTCCAGCTGGTAGGAAGCCACAGCTCCCAAAGTCTTTGCAGTACTTGTGAATTGCAAGTATTGGTGGGTTTGTGTCAGTTGAAAGTTGGGCATCAATATTTCACTACTCCTGAATAGGACGTGGGCTGGAATGAATTTTCTCTGACTTAACCATAAGAAATGTCTTCAATTTTTATTTTTTATAGCAGTTTCTCAGTGATATTTTTTGGGTTTCTCGGTTGTTGTTGATGATGCAGTATATATCCAGTGATAGTTATATTGTATCAACCGAGGATCAGGCTTGATAATGATAACTCTCTATATTTTAATATATTGCTTTCCTTCTCCACGAAGCATTGAACTATGTTAGCATGTATGCTGCGATTTTAACCAGCGAAAATATATTACCATTACCAACTAAATATTCACGTTATCAATCTTGGAAGGATTGATTTGGCATTGCTTGGAAACAAACTGGTACACCTGAGATTTAACCCCTTAGGGGCCAATGGCCATGTATGCAGTCACTCTGAACCAGTTTAGCAATCTGAGTGCCTTATAAACAGGTTATAATGTTTGATTTTTATTAAAATGTATTTTATCATAAAATTAAGAAGAATACACATTTAAATTTCTTATCAGCTTCAACTACTAAGTACCGACTATTAATACACATAGTGCCCCCTATTGCTAGTAAAACATGGCTATAGTATACAGACACCACTATGCAAGCGTTTTAGGCCTGTGGCATTTATATAGCGCCAACTTATTCCGCAGTGCTTTACAATGTTATAAAGGGGGGAAATTAACAATAAATGAGTCAATAACAAATGTTAGAAAATTGGGCAGACTAGATGGGCCGAATGGTTCTTATCTGCCGTCACATTCTATGTTTCTATGTTTCTACGTAAAAAAAAATTGATGAGGACTCTGCTCAAAAGAACTTAAAATTGAGTGGACGAAAACATTTGCACAGACAATCAAAATGCAGCTGCAAGAACGGTTAATGTGTACAGAGTGTATATTCCTCGTTTAAATGTTTAATCGTGTATTGTTCGTGCAGTGTAGCTCGTTTGAAAGTAAAAGAGATATTAATGTACTCTTTTTTTTTTTTTTATGGAAAAACACTTTGAGATTTATTCACTAAACAAAAAGAACTGAGAAAACAAATTGTGCATTGTTAGACCACATTAACTCAATTGGAGAATTTCTCCAGTTTTTCTGTTAGTGCCTAAATGTTTTAATTCTCTTCTCAACAGTCTCTTATTAATTACATCCCTGTGGGTGTGCCTAATTAATAATACATTTAATTATTGAGTTATTTTCACACACCGGTGAATATGTACCCCCGATCTATTAAATTGTTCTAAAACAGCCTCAAATGTGTTGGTTTTTTTCTGACTAAATTCCGCCAATCAGAAAATACCAGTTCTGCCAAATTTAGAGTAGCAATATAAAGAGAAATAAAAAAAACAAAAAACACTTTTCTCGGGGAAAAAATGACCAAAAAAACTGTTAAGTCCATTGCAATTCCTAAAAATTATGTGCATTAACAAATTAGAGCAAAAGACATAGCCGGTGGAAAAAAAACTGACAGATTTAAGAAATTGAGCCAAAAATGTAAAAATAAACACAAAACAGCACACTTTGATAAAATGTCGCCTAATATACAATTCTGTATAGCTTCCATTTGCCAGGAAAGTACGTGGTCCATCTCTGCGTGGCGTGGTCACTGCTTGACACCAATGACAATCAGCAGACATGGGTCAATTTTTTTATTTGATATATATGCCTCTGTTTCTATTATCTTCTACTAATGCAATAGAATGTTGTGAAAGAGAAAATAGTTAAAGGGCGTTTCTTATTTCAGGGCAGACTGTTTTATCTCCACCCTAGTAATGAAAAAACATGCCTAGGAGTCCCTTGCACAGACTTAGAGGGATGGTTCTGACTTCTTTAAATAAGCAAAATGAATTGGGTGATTGCATTTTTTTGCCAGTTTTGCCAACAAATACATATCATGTTCACTGGCCGGTCGTCAAATAGTCAAATTCTTTCATCTGTCTATATATCTAACGTCAGACAGCAATGTCCACGTTATTCGTTATGGAGTTTAAAGCCTGTATGCAGTTTTGTTTGGGTACTTGGAAGTGCTTTAGGCAGCTGCTCTCAAGTTCAGTAATAACAACCATATAAAATACAGGCTGCGCCTTCCTTTCCATCCCCAGAGAGGGGTGGACAGCTCCAAAGATAGGTGGCTGCCGTGGCACTTGTCTGTCATTGCCAAGATTGCAACTCTCATGAGGTTAAGCCAGTCAACCCACTTTACAATCAGCAAATACCACAACTGTCTTCTCTGCATTCTATTTTTCAAAGGGTAAACTCCCACCATCTTTACTATGTCATCCCCCAACATCTGTCTGTAATTTGGATAAAAAGTGGCTGGTAGTTTAGTTGTTGTAGCTGATGAGCTCTGCTCATTAAAACTCAGGATGCAGTGCGAATATCAGCACGTATCATTACAGAGCAGGGTACACTGGTGTTTCATAGTTTTGGCACTGCCATGTTTTGTAATACCCACCATACCTTGGCTGAGAGTAATGAGAGTTATGTTACACGACATTGTAAATGCATATACTTGTAATGAATGTGGATAACTAGCTTTAGGGTACACCCAATGTAAATGTGCATGTATATTGTGCTCTCCCACTAAATCTTAGCTCACAGCTAGTTAGCAAAGCAGACAGAAATAGTGTTGTGTTTATTTCAAACAGAGTTTTCCTCTGTGAATAGTTCTGTAAAACTGCAATACAATAAGATAATCTAATATTACAATATGTATTTACAGGTGACACTTTGAAAATAAGTATGATATTAAAGGAACACAAACATGTATACCTGACCGTATAGTGTTAAAACCACCATCTAGCCCCCCTGGCCACTATGAGGAAAGGTCAGTGCTTGCATGCAGAGGGTGGAGACACTAAATGGCAATGCTGCTTACTCTGCAGCACCTCCCCAGGAAGAACCTCTAGCATATATCTGAGGAGTGGTCAGTGGAGTTATCTCTAGGCTGTAGGGCCACCCCCAACACAGCTCAAGGTCTGGACCCCCAGGGGCCCGCCTCCAAGCCCGTCTGATTCCTGTGAAGTAATGAACTGTAATTACAACTAGAGATGTCGCGAACTGCTCGCCGAACTGTTCGCGAACTGTCCACCGGCGAACAATAACGTGTTCGCGTTTGGCGAACATATACGATTTCCGGTCCGCCCCCTATTCGTCATCATTGAGTAAACTTTGACCCGGAACCTCACAGTCAGCAGACACATTCCAGCCAATCAGCAGCAGACCCTCCCTTCCAGGAAGTGTCTGCTGACTGTGAGGTTCCGGGTCAAAGTTTACTCAATGATGACGAATAGGGGGCGGACCGGAAATTGTATATGTTCGCCCAACGCGAACACGCTATTGTTCGCCGGCGGACAGTTCGCGAACAGTTCGGCGAGCAGTTCGCGACATCTCTAATTACAACATACAACCATCAGGTATGCTTAATGCAATAATTATATATTAGACAGCATAGATATAGTTATGCAATTTTTAATTGGGGGTATGTCTAAACATATATTGCAATAGCTGCAGATCTCTTGTCTGTAGTCTTTAAAAAGCATCCCCTTCTGAGCCCGCCCAGACTTTCTGTGGCTGTCCAATCACATACTTGTAAATGTAGCTGAGTGTGAAGTCTTTGCAAGGCAGGTGCTCTGAGCAATTGCTGTCTCTTGAGTTTAACTCCTCTGCACTAAGCAACCAGGAAGTAACAAGACCTTTTCTCTGATTGACAGCCATGGGGGTGTATCAAGTTCAATTTATAAAAGTGTCAATTTCCACTGAAATCTGCATTTGTAAAATGAAAAAAAAAGTATAAAGCACTTCATCAAATGAATGTGCTTTAGGAGTTTGGAGTGTCCTTTTAATGTTGGTAATTACTGCAAAGTATGCTAACTAGTTATCCATATACAAGCAAGACAAATGTACTGTCTTTTGTTAAAGAAGTTATTGATATTATTTATTATTATACTATGCTATTTACTGGGCTATGACATTGCTGTAATAGATAGATGGCACAGTTAGATACAAAGTAATATAAGCTGAAAAAATAGATCCATTGAGTTTAATATTTGACACATTCTTTTTACTGCTGTTCAAAAAAAATCAGTTTGAAGTAATGTCCAACTGAGCCACAAAGTAGATTTTTCATTGGATTGACAAGCTGTTACAATGCAAATTTATAAAGTTATATTCATTACTTCTTTCAGTGAATTTTAGATATTCTTGTATGTTAAAAATGTTGGTTTGTAAATGTAGATTTCTTAGTAGCATAGGGTCAGTTTTGAGTATACGAAGTATATGACCCTTACTTAGTATTATAGCTTGACTTAAATTTTTGCCACACACTCCCCTCTGCTTTCATTGTTTTTTGCATGTTATATCTATTCAATAATATATTTCAATGTGTAGATTTACTTGTTCTTGGGGGAGGAAACTTCCTCTGCCTTTAATTAGGGTAAGCTCTGGAAGTGATAGAAAAGTTTGCATGTCGAGAGGTGGTATATTCTAAATGGAACCAGGCAGTTCTGAAGAGTATAACTAATAACTGGAATTGCGCCATATGGTTTTTATTGATTTAGTATTTATTAAAAAAAAAAACACATCTACCAACATGAAAAAAAAACTCAGGGGTGTTTTGTGCGAGATACTTTATGAGACAGTTGGCTGTAGATTAGGTGCCTGAATGGTTCTTTTAAGTTACCGCACAGTCTGCATTCGAAAATTTTGAAGTAGCTTGAGGCAATGCTTTATTTTGAGAATTCTACTTGCTGGCTATTTTTTAGTTGTCATGGAAACATTCAATGCATGAAGGAAGACATTGGATGATATTTGACTGGAGAGCCTACTTTTCGTTCCATGCAAAGTACCACTTTGCCAATTCCACTTCACATACAGCAGATCAGGAAAGGAATTCAGACGATTAGAAGTTGACATTAGAAATAGTTTGGTACTACCTGATTACATAGTAAGTCGTTTCCTCCAAAAAGTCAAACATACTGTTTTAGAAGATTTTCCAACATACCAATAATGATCTATTTTGAATACCAACATGATTATTCAACCAAGTTAGAATTGTTGGAAAATCAAAGTGAATTTTAAATATAAGGTCAAAGTAACCAAACTGGGAGCCCAACTGAATTTGAGAATGTTTCCCTTTTTGGCAATTTTGGACAAATTGTCCCTTTAATGAAGAACCCTACCAAAGTCATACAAGAATCTGAATTGGCAGTTCTACCATCTCCTATCAGTATTGGTACGGCATTGACCATGGGTTATTCGCCAACTCCCAGCTGCTGTTTTATTACAAGAGGTAAGCATAAAATTATAGGAAACACAGTCCTTGATCGTGGTTTCCCTTGTGAGCACTGAGCAGGATGAGAACTGGGCCTAAATACCCCTCCTCTAGATCTGATAGGCTGTAATCGGCCTTTGACCCCAAAGGCAGTTACCAGGTTCCCATTTGCATAATTGCTGCTCAGCATTAACCCTTCTGTGGATTTGGCTGCTGCTCAGCACACCTTTTCATGTGGCATAGCACCTGGTAGTAAGTTAATGGAACAGCCATATGGTCTGTGAGGAGGTTGAGTATTAGACTGCGTTTTGCTGAATACTTATTTAATGTCTTGGTATTGTATAGGGATCTCTGGATTTTGAGGTGTACTAGTGGGTAATTCAATAGTGCCCACTCTTTTGGTGACATGCAATATGCACCTTTCAATACAATCCTTACCCCATTCTAATATTTCCCCATTAGCCCAGTCAATATGAGGGTTATGCTTGCTAAGCCATGGGAATCCTAATATAATAGGACAAGAAGGAGATACAATCACCTGAAATGTAATATCTTCCTTATGTAAAGCACCAATGGAAATATTAATGGGTAAGGTTTCATGCGTTATCAATGGTTGTGAGAGTGGTCTCCCATCAATAGCTTCAACAGCTAGGGGTGATAGTCTCTCTTTGATAGGTATAGTATTACCTTTGTCAAATTGAACGTTGATAAAGTTTCCAGCAGCACCTGGATCCATCAGGGCTTTGCATGAAAAGTTATTTTTGTCAAAGGCGATAGAAATGTCAAGGAGAAACCTATTTTTATTCTTTTCAGAGGACGTTTCCATTACACCTAAGACCTGTCCCCTTAAGGTGCTTAGGTGCGGTAGTTTTCCGGACGTATGGGACAATTGTTTCTCATATGTCCCTTCCTACTGCAGTACAGACATAGGCCCAGGGCCGGACTGGCCCACCGGGATACCGGGAACTTTCCCGGTGGGCCGCGGCACCTAGGGCCGGTCTGGCAGCCCTTATCATTGGGCTGACAGCTCCTGTGCAGCTCCTGTGATCCCGGCCGGCCATGTGTGAGCTGTGCGGCCGCACAGAGCCCCATGGGAGCAGGGGGAGCCAGGCGGCCGGCACAGCTCCACATGGCAGCCCGGGATGAGAAAAATAAAAATAAATTTGTGGCGGGGCGTGCCTTTTGTGTGTGCCGGGGCGGAGCTTAGCGTGCGGCGGGGGCCTGGCTGACTGCAGCATGGGAAGCAGGAAGGAGTTCCTGCTTCCCCAACAACCAGCCTCCAGGAGTTCCAAGCAGGAGGCAAGAAGCAGGTCAGTGTGTGAGTGTGTGACTGCCTGTGTGTGACTGTCTGTGTGAGTGTGTGACTGTCTGTGTGAGTGTGTGACTGTGTGACTGTGTGAGTGTGTGACTGTGTGACTGTCTGTGAGTGTGTGACTGTGTGACTGTCTGTGTGAGACTGTGTGAGTGTGTGAGTGTGTGACTGTCTGTGTGAGACTGTGTGAGTGTGTGACTGTCTGTGTGAGACTGTGTGACTGTCTGTGTGAGACTGTGTGACTGTCTGTGAGTGTGTGACTGTCTGTGAGTGTGTGACTGTCTGTGTGAATTTCAGGGACAATAGGTCTGGAAAAACAGAGTGCTAAATGCATACTCATGCGTCTGGTCTTGTTTCTAGTAGCTTCTCTGGTTCTTAATCTATTATCAATATGCATAACAAAAGTGATAAATTCATTAAGCTTTTTGGGTAAGTCTTTGGCAGCAATCTCATCTAGCATAGTTTCAGATAATCCCTTTTTAAATGCAGAGATTAACCCACTATTAGTCCAGTCTACCTCGGAAGCTAGGGTACGAAATTCTATGGCATATTCCGAGATAGACCGGTTCCCTTGTCTGATGTGCATCAGGGCAGTAGAGGCGTCATCCTCTTTGCCTAAAGCTTCAAACGTAAGTTTGAATTCCGTAAGGAACTCCTGGTAATTGTGTGCTACACTCCTATTACTCTCCCATAATGGATTGGCCGAAGCTAAAGCTTTACCTTTTAATTGATTCATTAGGTAACCAATTTTAGCTCTGTCTGTGGGAAAAGATCCCGGTGAGGCCTCAAAATGATATTCCATTTGGTTAATAAATCCCCGGCATTCTTGAATATTACCATCAACATGCAGGGGAGGAGATAGGGAGATAGTAGGTGCCCTGTGTACTATAGCTTGAGGTACACAAGGTGGAGGTGAGGCCGCAGGTTGCAGATGCGCTGTTTGGGTAAGAAGCGTACTGAATACCTTGGCAAATTGATCCATGCAGTGATCATTATCCTCCAGTTTCCTTTCACACGCAGCTATGTGCTTACACAATTCTACAGGATCTATGGCCATGTCGTAATGTCAGGATTACAGAATGATCCAGCACGTAGAATTGTGTAACACAGAGGACTGATAGGTAACGTATACCTTAGACCTTAGAATGGCCGGACTAACGTACCAAGAATAGTCAGGAATAGCCGAAATCAAGGGAAACAGAAAGAGACACAACGATAAGGAAAGGCCAGGAGTCAGGGAAGTCAAAAACAATGCCAAAGTCAAAAAAACAGAATAACCAGAATCAATAACGCGCTCTCGGACAACCACAAGGAAAACCACGACAGGGCACTGAGCAGGATGAGAACGGGGCCTAAATACCCTTCCTCTATATCTGATAGGCTGTAGCCGGCCTTTGACCCCAAAGGCAGTTACCAGGTTACCATTTGCATAATTGCTGCTCAGCATTAACCCTTCTGTGGATTTGGTTGCTACTCGGCACAACTTTTTATGTGTGGACAGTAAATGCCATTAACCACATTTTTATAAGCGGATGAATACGTGACAGCTAGTAAGCTAATCTATGTTTGGGAAAGGTTCCCTGAAAGTAGATCTGCTTTCTAGTGCATGCTTGCTAGTGTTTTTCCCGAAATAAGACATCCCCTGAAAATAAGCCCTAGTGCATTTTTCAGGGGAAAATTTAATATAAGACCCGGTCTTATTTATGGAAAAATTTTAACTTTAAGTGTATCCCGTCCAAAGAAATCCTTAGGTGGGGATAATTCCACCAGCGCTGTGGCAATAGAGCAGTACCTGTCTGCTCTATTCTTGTAAGTATAACTCATTTTAAGATATTATCTTGTTGTTCATACTGAGAGCACTATTTGCTGTTTTATATATATTCTGTGGACACCTACTATCCAATACCGGAGAGGCGGACCTATCTCCTCAGCATTTAAAGAACAACGCATATCCGAGTAGGTTCTAGCCTACATTAAAGGAATTCCAAGCCGGATAGACGGACCAACCATCTAAGTACATCCGATAGTGGGGATCAAACCACTAAGTGTCTCTTCTCCTAGAGCTGGTTAAAGCTCCAACAAATGTGAGTGAAATACATTTCCTTTGAATATATACCACATCTGGACATACAATATTTCACCATTGGCAGCTTTTTCTTTTTTCTTTTATCTTCACATATATGGACTACCTACCATACGGACGGAGTAACACTTGAGGATTACTATCGTATTACTGCACATCAGTGAGACTGTTCCAATTTATACTTTTAAATATCTGGATGAACTTTACTTGATTTTACTATTATTGCTTATTTTATTTATATACATTTTTATACACTTGTTATCTTTTTGTTCAAGCGCAGCCCTTGACCCCCTTTCTTGCATTTTCTTGTTTTTAATAAAAGGGTTTCCTGAAGGATTTCCCTTTTAGGGTTGCTGCTTAATTGAGTTAGCGCAGACTCTTCCTCCTTTCTAGAATACTGCGATTGACTGTACATTTTATTTAACTAAAAATAATCATAACAGCTCCCCCTACTGTTGAGGTCTGTCATACACATGTGTTATAATCTTGATGACTAATGTTGCCGCTCCAAAACACATAAGGATCTGAAAATACTGTGATCTGCAAACGTTAAGACATCATCTCCTTCTGACACAATAATGCACACTATCTCTCACATACCCCTGTCTAACCACTCCTTATAAATCTCTCTCCCACCCTTCCACTGCTAAAGCCTGTGCGTGTGGGAGAAACCGCACAACAAGGCCACACCTGTCACAGGCTGTCATCCAGGGTTGTGCCTGACGCACTTGGAATCTTGACCTTACTTGGGTAGAAGCAACTAAATAAAACTTGAAAATGTTCTTTTATAGGCTTATTAAACCAGCTTGGTGTATAATAATCTTTAGGTTAAATATAAAGCTAACATGGCTACTTGTTTACTATTGTTTGTGTTCCATGGTCAAGCAGTGATGGCTGATCTGGGTACCCCAGATATTTGTTTGAGAACTTTATTCCCCAAAATGTTCAGCCGATAAAGAGAAACTCATTGCTTGAATATCTTGGGTGCCAGTTATTTGTTTATAGGTGTCAAAGGAGAATCATCAACGTTCCAAACAAGTTCTCATTAAATACAGTACTTGTATATATCAAGTTTATAGAGTGCAGTACTTTGTGTTCTGGATCAAATAAAAAAAAATAAGAAACACTTGGAATTTGTGGATGAAAAATAATTTGATGTCTGCATTGTTTATAGTGATTACACAGGTGTCTCCATTTTATTTTTCTTTACAGTTTGCTCAGTTAGCTATGCCATAGTACAGGTTTGGTCAGAGAGATTGGGCTGCAGATTATTTTCTTTGGGCTGGGAGCTGTAGGTATGAATAAAGGGAGAGGTTGGGAATTGATGTGTGTGCCAAGTGCCAACCTCGGTTTACAAACTCCTCCAGATAAATCAAAGGTATTTTCTCTGTTTTAACAGGCTGAAATGTTTAAAAGGTACGTGTTGTTCTAATTGAAACAGTGTCTAGATTAAATGGTTTTATTAACTTTATTCGCTCTGACGACTCGAGCCATGATTTCAATCTGGACAAGGAGTGCACGTGTATTTTATTCACTGAATGATAATAAATATATCAAATCTACTCCCACCGTTTCTCAAGCACCTGTAGTTGTTGGTTATTGTACGCCCCTTACTTTGCATTTTTTATTAATAAAAAAACACGTGTTAGTGTGTAAATATGTCTGTAATCTGCATGTATGTTACTGTGTGAGATTGTTTATATTTACCTGCAAAATCCAACACTACACATAAATGCATGCTTGCATTCAAATGCCAACATCACACACAAATATTCCCTTACATACACACAAATATGCTGCATACAAAAACATGCTTACATTTAAGCACACAAACACTGCTCCGTGCTAAATAAAACCAGATATTAAAATTGGAGTTGCACGACAGATGGGGATCTACGTTATGGCCACCCTATTAATAGGGGACCCAAAAATATGCACGTGGGCCCTCTCTACTTTAGTTTTGCCATTGCATTGGTGTGGAGGTGTGATTGCATGCTAGGAAGCAGAGGGGCAGGATCCAGGGGGCCTAAGCAATTACTTTCCCAGGCTCTGATGGGAGCACTGTTCCTGTGATCTCTGCAGCCGTAGTGCCCTGAACATAGCGCAAACACATCTTATGAAGTGCTCGCGCTATGCTTATTGGCGATAGTTGGGACAGCGGATTGTCACTCCAAAATCAGGACTGTCGAGAGACAGTAAATAAAACAGGTGTAGAAGCAGAGAGAGATATTTTCTGTTACTTTGGCTATGAATGCACACAAACATATGTTTCATACAGTATGTACGTAATGGGTTTCTAAATTAACACAGAGCCTTCAAAATAAGAATACTATCATAGAACTGAGTGAAGCTGCAGCCCACAACATTTGACCCGCTGTCCCACTTACCTGAATTCCCCTCATAACAACTTGAAAGAACACTCTAAGCAACTAAACACATTTAGCTTAAAGGGTTACTCCAACCATCATAACCACCACAGCCTGCACTATGACCACTTCTGATCACTGATATGGTCATGGTGCTTGCATGCCTCCCATGCATCCAGATGCCAAAGGGACAGTGTCAATTTTCAGATCCCGTCACAACTATTCCGACTTTGTTCCCAGGTGTCCAGCTTTTGGAGAAACTGGCCCCAACAAGCATTGTGTGAGTGCATCATTATACCATGCTTGCTCTGTGCTCAGGCATTAGGACACTGAAACAGTGCTATGGGTGGGCCCACTCCCTTTCCGAATCAACCGATTCACTTTTAACCCTTCACAGGATGCCAAAGTTGAGAGGTATGTGCTTGGAACCACACTTTAATGAAGTAGTTTGGGTGTATAGATCAGAGATCATTATAGATCATGTATCCTACCTTAAATAAGCACAATCAGCATTTTGCATCAGTTAGCCAGCCATAAGGGTCCAGATCTCGGCTGCCACATCAAGGTTATGGAAATAAAACTTCATTGCATCTTGTTGGCTACAGAGGGACACTTTAACCATATTGTGTGCTTTTTCACCGTTCAGAAATCTTCCTGTTATCACAAATGAGGTCAAAAAACCTGATGCCTTCAGGCTTAAAGGGATACTCTAAGTACCAAAACAACCTTAGCTAAGATCTTGCCCCTGCAGTCTCACTGCTCAATTCTCTGCCATTCAGGAGTTAAATCACTATGTTTATGCAGCCGTAGCCATGTATCCCATGTCTGTGACTCATTTAGTTTCCATGAAAAAAATGTTAAAATTTTACAGCACTATGTGTTTACAAAGTTACTTCAATCCTAAATGGCAGAAAATTTAGCATCAGGTTTTTTGACCTCATTTGTGATAACAGGAAGATTTCTGAACGGTGAAAAAGCACACAATATGGTTAAAGTGTCCCTCTGTAGCCAACAAGATGCAGTGAAGTTTTATTTCCATAACCTTGATGTGGCAGCCGAGATCTGGACCCTTATGGCTGGCTAACTGATGCAAAATGCTGATTGTGCTTATTTAAGGTAGGATGTCAATTTTAAACAGATCGCAGACCAGTGGTTGTAAGGACTTTAAGTTCTTCTTCAGGACTAGGTGTCCTTCCCTCTGTTGCTAAAATTTATATCCCAGAATTCTGACAATTACAGAGTAGAAGGAATTCCTGCTAGAAATTATTGTAAACTGGTATTAACGGTACTTGTATTCTTGGGAACTTGCCTTGGTTAAAGGGACACTATAGTCACCAGAACAACTACAGCTTATTGAATTTGTTCTGGTGAGTAGAATTATTACCTTCAGGCTTTTTGCTGTGAACATTGTCTTTTCAGAGAAAATGCAGTGTTTACATTACAGCCTAGTGATACCTTCACTGGCCACTCCTCAGATGGCTGTTAGAGATCCTTCCTGGGTCATGGCTGCCTAAAATGCATCCAAACATTCAGTGTCTCCTCCCTCTGCATGCAAACACAGAACTTTCCTCATAGAGTTTCATTGTTTCAGTTCATCTCTATGAAGAGATGCTGATTGGCCAGGGCTGTGTTTGAATTGTGCTGGCTCTGCCCCTGATCTGCCTCTTTGTCAGTCTCAGCCAATCCTATGAGGAAGCATTGTGATTGGATCAGGCCACCACTTCTGATGATGTCAGTGGTCAGAGGAAGTTCACAGGCAGAGGCAGCAGTTTCAGACTTTAATACAAGTAAGATTTTACTATATTTAGGGAAGCAAAAGGGGCCAAGGGGGCTAGATAGTGGTTTTAACACTTTAGGGTCAGGAATACATGTTTGTGTTCCTGACCCTATAGTGCTGCTTTAAGGAATTATGACTTTAGGGTTGGGGGGAGGGAGGTGCAGGAACCTAAATTAAGAAATCAGAGGTTACGGGACAAGCATTGCCCACTGTTCATGGTTAAAGAAATGTGTTCATCGCCATAACTGCATGGAAAGAGAGAGCTTTGTTAAATTATTATGCACCAAGCGTCCCCGGGTTCTGTCCATATTAACTTACAAAGTCACCAGCTCAGGGGTAACTCTAAATGTGTTTTTAGAGAATATGGTATTGAGTTATCAGATATTCCATTTACATAGGAATCAAATAGGGTTCCAAGGAAAATCCATTTCCAGGTATAGCTTGGTTCTCATCCCTCATTGTATTATCGTCTCTTGAAGTGTATAGCTACACAACATAAAAATATCGCACAGCACAAATAAACATACTATCATATTTATATGCATCTCTCATTAGATATTTGTAATGGAAAGAAATCGATGAAAACCAAACAAATTTGGAATGCTTGACTTTGCCTGTTAGGTTTGATTGGATGAGGCACTTTGCCGTAAATGCTGCATTTGTCCAAGTGATTCCCACCATTTGTTAATATTTCCAGCGTTCAATAAATGCCCCTTGCTTTTGACAGTGTCCTCTAACTGACCTGGCTCATACTTTCCAAAGACACTTCAAAGCTGGAAAAGGCTGGCACAGTGTTTGTCCTGTAGAATGGGGGCTCTGTTCTGCTAAAACGGATATAAATCCAATTTTTAATATCCATAATTCCTTTATGTATACATTGTGATAGCCACATGACTTGCAAATATGTGAGGATAAAATCATGTAAATTAAATTATATTTTAGAAGTACTAAGCCTGTGTGCCAGCAGTCGCCACGTGTTTAATGCCACTGTTATCAACATACTGCACTATGAACCTTAGAGGAATCATGAGCAGCCCTGAGATAACTATTCCTTGTAATCCATACATTTGCTAGTGATTTCAACACACAGAGTATAGATCAGATTTGTATACAGCATTCTTTTTTTTTTTTTTTTATTGAATTATATATCATAAAACATTTTATGTAAATAGACATACAAAAAAAGGTAATAATGATTCTTTCTAGAATCAAACATAACAATAGTCATACCATAATCACAGATGGATAACTTATTAATATTCTTAAATCTTTACCTTTCATTGTCTTAGATCATTATTAACAGTATATCAGTTTTTTATTTTCCAGGATTAATTTCTACTATTACATCAATTATACATATTGTTGTCACAGTCGCGTTCAAACTTTCACAACAATACATGTTACTCATATATTGTTGACCAAAACACAAAAGATATGAAGATTTATATTTTCCTTATTCTCCTTTCTAACTCTTTTTACCTTTCTTATAAGTCAACTGTATAGACTTTCTTGTTTCCCATACAGTGTTTATCCTTTCTATGATTATATCCCATTCATTCAAACTTCTACATATATTAAAACATAGATTGGGTTAATTCTTTAGTCATCAGATATATAATTTTTCTCTTATCTTTCTTTTACTTCCCTTTTTTTCCCCCTGCCATTCCCTTTACACATTCTCTTTTTTTCCTTTCTCACCCTCTCTCTTTTTTCTTTTTCCTCTCCTTTTTCTTTCCTCTTTTTTTCCCTTCTTTTTTCCTTTCCATCCCTTTCCCTTCTTCTCTTTCTTTCTTTTCTCCCTAATTTTTCCCTTTCTTTTCCTTTCCATTAGTTTTTTCCCTTTTTTTCCCTTTCCTTTTTTTTCTTTTTCTCTTCCTTCTTTTTTTAATGTTTACAGTGGTTCTCACATTTAATGTATACCTTTTTACATTAAATTATTCATAATTTTAGCCTTCTATATGATTGATATCTGCTATAAGGGTATTATATACCTCTGTTGTTGTATTTTTTTTAATAAACATTATACCAAATTACTCCCTTTTCCATCTCCAATTGGTTCTGAATTTGGCCCTTTATATTGGGGATATCAATTCTTTCCCATAATTTTGCAATCAGAAGCTTAGTGGCCATAAGACAGTGAGTAACTAGTATTTCGTTTTTTTAATCTAATTTATTATTATAAATGTATAATAGGGCTATTTCTGGTGTAAAATTTAAATGGATATTACTTATCGCAGTTATTATTTTAAATGTAAGGTCCCATAATAGTTGGATTCTAGGGCAATTCCACCATATATGTATCATAGAGCCATCTAAATTAAAACATCTCCAACAATTTAAACGTTATGTCTTGGAAACAGTTTGCGGATTTAGTCAAGTTACCTTTCTTTACTTACCCCCCTTCTGCGTACACTATCAGGGAAATTAACTAAACTGTGAATTGTCAGGAATTCACCAGTGAATTGTAGTGTAAAATGACTGAATTAGAAAATGCTCCGTAAGCCATGTTTCCAGAACCTATATTGATCTTAACTGTGAAATACCCTGCTCATTTTACAACAATTCATGGTTTAGTCAATATTGTAATTATTATTAGGAGTAGTATTAGTATTATTATTATTAGCATATATAAGCTGAGCTTACAAACTAAAAGGATTTTGGTTAGGTGGATACACAATGATCAGCCACAACATTAAAGCCCTTTGCCTAATATCATGTAGGCCCCTGTGTTTCCAAAACAGCACTGCTGAGTCAAGGCATGGACTCCACAAGGCCTCTGAACAATATTGGTATCTGGCACCAAGACATTAGCAGCAGATCCTTCAAGTCCTGCAGGTTACGAGGTGGGGCCTCCATGGATCGGATTAGTTGTTCCAGCACTTCCCACACATGCTCAATCGGATTGAGATCTGGGGAATTTGGATGCCAAGGCAACACTTGATCTCTTTATCATGTTTCTCAAACCATTCATTAACAATTGTTATACAATTATGCAAATATAGAAATGGGGTATTTGTAGGTGAAGAAGACCCTGCTGAAACGAGTTTACAATCTAGGAGGATTTGAGATAGGTGGATATAACGTTAGGTGACTTGCCTAAGAACATTTACTAGTAAAGTGGTCTGACTGGGATTCGAACCTAGGATTCCCAGTTCTAATGCAGTGACGTTTCTTCTATCTGAAAATATAATTTCCATAAAACCATTAATATAATAAAACATTGCAAGCTTATATGAAGTATTTTAATTACAGACTTACTATAGGTAAACATAGAAAGTGTTTAGATAGGAACTTTAAAGTTAAATAGACAGCTTGCAATAAGAACTAACTTTACTTCTTTTTTTTTTATCTAATACATTTTTTACAGCTTACTGCCTCAAGTCTGGGCTGTGACCTATTGTCCAACCCTATAGACGGAATTATTAGTCACATTCCACCCACTCTGCAACCTACATCTAAGCTATACGTACAATGCCTATTATAAAGAGAAATTCATATACGATTGAAAGGAATAGAAATGAAAAAGGTAATAAAAATATCTAAATATACAATAGGAACACGGTTTGCCAAGGTTTCTCATCTGTACAATTCTGCCCAATGACCTTTATATAAATGTTATATGAATTCTGATTGGCTGACAACATCAAACAGCCATTTAGAATATTTTTAAAAAATTTCTTCTGTGGGTGTTCTTCTTTAAGCATGTTATCGTGATGAGATGACAACGGCAGAAAAATAAAGTCAAACTAGAAGATTTAAAAGAAATACCCAAATCATATTTTTTTGGCTCAGCCAATTTTGGCTTCAATTTAGCATTTCGGATATCAGATCATCATGACAAAATCTTTAGTGACTAGTCCTCTATATCTCATTGTAACCCAATTATTTTTTTTAATTATTATCACCAGAGAAGGATTAACATCCCATGGGGTCCTACGCAAGTTAGCAGTTTGGGTCCCCCTTCATTCTTTACATATGGATGGTTAATGGGGCCACGCAAACTCATGGTTCTGGGGAGCCTGTTAAACCTCGCTACCCTAGATGTTCGCCTAGAGTAGCTGTCAGGATCCTATCCAGACAACCAAAGTTATGTTTCATTTTTTCTTTTATTTCTACAAATTTCAGTTTTCCAGCACTAGTGGCCTCCCTAGCCACTAGTCTAAATCCACAGTTTCTCTCACCTTCCTAGCGTGATTAATAAATCTGCTATAAGGAGCCACACCCTGCTGAACAAATGGCCTTTAAAGTGAATTAATGAAGTTGATCTTCAACCTGATTAAACATCTGATCCTGGCACCTATAGAGAAAACATTGAACCCAACCTGATTTATGGGAACAACCTGCTTTATTTCCAAACTGCTTAATGCCAATAAGCTTGGGGACAAACCTGATCGACAATACCTACCTGCTTAAATCCACACTGGACTTCGATACCTTCTTGCGTTGTTTCAAACCTACCTTATCTACGCTACCAACCTGCACAATATAAACATTCCTGTTATTTTGCAACTATCCTGAATGACCCTGTTACAATTATCTGAAATCTGCAATACTTCATCCAAACCAAAGAAGCTGATCACCTAAACTTATGAATATCCTGTATTTCTGAAACCTTTATAGTCTGTTTTGTTCTGTCTTATTATATTTGTTTACCCGTAACCTATATTTTCATTTATAGGTTTTCCTTCACGTTATTTACTTATAATTTCATTTATAGGCTCTTCTTCACTTTATTTACCCATAATTTCATTTATAGGTTTTCCTGCTACCTAATAACCTGTCTGGGACATATTGCCTAACTTTCTATTCTTGTTATTCCTCTATATACTTACTTATAATCTCTTTTATAGGTTCCGCTTTCTCCCTTTGACCTATATTTTCCTTTATAGGCGTTATTTCCTAAGTAACCGGTTCTGGACATATTTCCTAACCCTCTATTTAATTTTCTCCTTTTTACTTTCATTCCTCTATATTATTTCCACTTCCCTTTAATTCCTGCTACACTTATTATTACAAGAAAACCACGTCAAAGATTATAAATAAAGAGCCTAAAGTTAACCCTGGTATAAGTCTCTTATGTGACCTGATCAAGAACCTGACATGACAGTTACGTTATTATTATTATTATGATATTTATAGATCGCCGTCGAACTCCGCAGCGCTTTACAATGGGTGGACGAACAGACATGTAGTTGTAACCAGACAAGTTGGACACACAGGAACAGAGGGGTTGAGGGCCCTGCTCAATGAGCTTACATGCTAGAGGGAGTGGGGTAAAATGACACAAAAAGGTAAGGATAGCATTAGACTAGTGGAAGTTGCAGAAGAGGAATCAGTCAGGAGCTATTAACAGTTTAATTATAAAACGTTATAGTTAATCCTGCTCTGTTTGTCAACCATAAGTTTTGCTGCAGTCTACGACAAACACAGCTGATAGCTGTTACACATATATTTGATGTTTTATGTATCTTCAGGCATTAATGATAGACCTGATGTAATAGATTGAAGTATTTATGGAAGTCTTTCTCTTGTCTATATTATCAGCGTATGATTTGTGCAGTGGTACTATTTATGGTCTTGGATGAAATTATGTACCAGTAAATCTTTCATCAGACTAAGAAATAAAAAGACTGCTGATTGCAGAAACATTTTATTTCAACTATATATATTACTTAACTGTGTGTAAACATGCAATTACCACCCCCTCTCATTGTCTGATATTCCCTCCTCCACATTTTCATCTCATTGACCTATCTATAAGATCTGTGTTGGACTGTCACCCTGTGTTTACTTAACATTTCTTAAATCCCACTATTGTGTTTCATTCCATTGATATGTTAATGATAAAGTGTGAGGTCCAGCAGGTTCAAGATTAGGAACCCTGGATGCAGCTGTAAAACTAATAGAACTCAATAGCCAGGAAACCACCCACCAGCAGAGGTTGAGACCTTGACTTTGAACTGTTGAATTGCTAGACATTTTCCAGGGACTAGATGTAAGAGGTCCAGTATGGTTTAAAGTCGAGCCCATTATATCAATAAGTAGTCAGTACAGTAACATACAAAGGTAGACAAAGGCAAAGAAGTAAAAACATGCAGAACTTGTAAGGTTGACCTAGACAATAACAAAGAGACACTAGAAGCATATTCAACCAGTCTACATAAGACCATCATCTCGATTGCAGGAGCCACCAGTAAATGGTCACACAAACATTAAACACGAAACCAGTTCCGGTCAGGATTATTGTGATTGCTATTACACGGACCAAACAACTAAGAAAAAAAATCAATATCACACTAACTTGCATCACTGAATAAAGATGAGAAGTCCCATTAAATATATAACTCCAACTGAACATATTATGGGACAAATGTCATGGAGGATGTTTCTCGTTTCATCCTTGCAATTAAATAACATCAACACTGCTACAACCTATTACCTAAAATATCTAATTCCAGACAAATATGTTTTGGCTCCCCAACGTGTTTTCTTTTCTTACCAGCCAAAGAAACAAACCATAGGCTTTGTAGGATTCAAATGCTGCTAAATACTTGACATGTAACAGTGGCAGCCCGTGGGAATTACCAAGACAGATTCATAATAAAAATGCATTAGAGGGTAGGATACATTTGGTTTGCATCTTTCTTTATTTTATCTATCTATCTATCTATCTATCTATCTACCTATCTATCTATATATCAAACTATATATATATTGCAGCAGTTTCAAGTTTTTAAGCAAGTGCTCTAGGATCAAAGTCAAAAATCCAAAATAGCTTCAAAAGTTCCACCAAGTCAGTAGTACATTGGAAGGTGGGTATAGAAGATGTTTCATCTCAGTCATGCCATTTTCTGGTACATGTTAACATTTGGAACATCCAAAAAGTCTCTTAATGTTCATGTGAAGATGTCACATGAACATTAAGAGACTTTTTGGATGTTCCAAATGTTAACATGTACCAGAAAATGGCATGACTGAGAAGCACATCAAAGAACACGGGGTAAATACAGCCAGTGGGCCACAGTGATAAACATATCTGGGTACCGGGGGCAACTGTAAGGTAAAGGTTGTATTTGTATAATGTAAATTGCACTGTAAAATGTACAATGCCCAAAATATTTCACACTGTGTGAACATGGGTGGGTGGTGAATATCTTTATTATGGATTGTTGTATTTTTTTAATTTTTTTTTTATGCTCTTCCAGTTTAATTTTAGTGTTTTTTTTTTTTTGTCTTTTTACTGTGTAAAATGTGCACACTCTGTCTTTGTTCGAAACTGATTACATCAGCCAACAGTATAGTTTAAAATTTACTGCGTGGTTTCTGTAGGTTCCTTAAACTCCTTGAACCGATATGATGGTCTTTTGAATCTGAAATATAATGGTTGTACAGATTAAGCTTATCCTAGTTGTGTTAACAGAACGGTTTTGCACATGTTCTGCTAAGATTATGCTAAGAGAAAAGGCTCTATTTCCATATAACATCACCAAGTATTCTTCCATCTGTAACAATGTATACTTGTTTGGTGCCCACTGTATCTCTAATGTTTGTTCTGTTTTCTATTTCTTAAAAATTCTGCATTAAATGATATTCTAGAAATAAGTCTGTCTGTCAATCTATCTATCTAAGGTATCTGCCTAACTGAATAGTCCTATGTAACATCATATATCAGTATAGAAGAGAAAAACGTCAGTTATGATAATAGCTTATTATTTTATATATTTGTTATTTAGTAAATCATAAGATTGTAACACCGGCATATTTTACGCATTTGTCTCCTGTTGTTTGCCGAGATAAAGATTTTATTGGCTATGACATATGTATAGTCGCCTTTCCGGCATATGCATGGCAATCCCAAATAACCCCCCACAAATATTTGGACACCTTAATTTTGGAAAGTTATCACAGTTTTAATAATATAAATAAAGTTAAAATAATTTAAGGTCATTGTCACATATTAACATAACATATGCTCCACCAACTCCATTAACAATACTACCCCAGACAATGACCCACAACACAATAAGTAAAACCACATTATAACATATAATTAATATATAAACAAAACCATTGCCACCAAGAGCATAATATAACCATTGCCACAGAGGGCATGATTTCCCAGGTTTTTTCATGTAGGGGCATACCGAGATACACCCTACACACACCAGGTTCGGAGCTACCGACGAGCTCGAACCTACAAATACTCTTCCAAACCTAACTGTTCTTAGCGAACAAAACTATTTTACATCAGGGCAAACCACCTACACCCCAACTTCTCTATTCCTGCTGCCGTGACCAAACGGGATCTAGAGATCAAATTAGGGAGGGTGGGACAAAACAGGTAAGTAAGGATTAATTAAGATAGCCACTGATCTGAAATAGCCACTGTATATACTCTTTTAACCCAAAACCCAACCCCCAGCTATTGTAGCCAGCCCCTTACATTACACCCCTCCTATGCCTGTCTCCTAGAAATGTCAAGGCCCATTCCCCTTAGCTGCGCTGCTCCATGGGCTTCATTCTGGACTAAGATGTACAGCTTGCTTGTCATCTTTTTACAACTGTTAAGTGAATAAGCCCACATTTGATCTCTCAGTCTGTGGCTACGGACACTGAATTCTAATGTTTTCAAGTGTGCGTAAACACAGATTTTGTTTATGGTTTACATTTTAATCACAAGTCACTGTTTAGTTAATAAGCCTGAAAGCAAAGCCACGTCAGAAAAAAAAACACAACAATCTATGAGAGGTCAAGCTAGCGAAGATCAAAGAAGAATTGAAGCCCATAATATCATTTTTAAAAACGGAGAAGATCTAACGAGAGTTCAGCGTGGCAGCTTGCTTCCTTCATGGCAATGAGTTCCTGTGCTCTGTAACCACACAATAGCCTTTAAATAAACCTCACACAGGCTTCAGGGGGCTGTGAAATTGGTGTTTGGTTGCAGTAGGAAAAGTGCCACTTCTTCCTGTTTAATAATACAGCCCCGAGCACAACACACAATTGCCTATCTTGATTTTCAGTGGTGGGTGGTAAGCTTAACAGACCACGTTCTCTGTTCTTAAAAGCCTTTTGAAATACAGTCATGAATGAAGCTTTCATTAAAGAGTTTCTATGCTCTTCACGATGAAAAGAGATTAATGAGCCCAATATGTAAAGTCCATCGAGAGGAAGAATGAAAACTAAAAATGCATTTTACTTTAAACAAAAAGCAAACGCAATTTACTGTATTCTATCGTTCATCATAGAGCCCTGACTCGTAAAATAATGGACTTATTGTAAAATAAAACTTTTCTGAACTCAAAAATCACTAGTTCTACAACAGTGGTGATTGCTTGTACCTGGAGTGGAACTTGGTATCTAGTACATATCACGAATTAGTGAAGGCATTAAAGGGGCAGTCTAGTCACCATAACCACTACAGTTAATCACAGTAATCAGTAATTTGGTGTTCTCTGTGGACTCTGCCCCCCTACCTTCTTTCTTTCTTTATTGTCTTATTGTTTTGGAGTGTAAATACAGGGCTTTTGCCAGCAGTCACAGCATGTCTTTCTGCAGCTGCACTGATAATGTGGAAATTATTTTCCAATTTCTAAACCTCCCAACAGTCCCCAATTTTTGTGGAATGCTGTAAGTGTATTCCTAGCATATAGTACTTCCCTCTCCTGAGCTCCTCCTCCTCCCCGCTCCACACCATGGCGATAAAAGGGTTAAAAACCCTATTGTCACTCACCTAAATCCAGCAGGTCTGGGTCAGGCTCTGCCTACGCTCCCGCAGCGCTGATGTCCCTTGGCGCTTGGTCAAGCTCCGCCTTAGCTCTTTCTCTCCGAACGTCGATGACCTAATGCGCATGCGCTTCGAGTGCCGCAATCACATTAGGACAACCTCGTAGGAAAGCATTAAATCATGCATAGTGTGAGGACTTTCAGTGTCAGGCGACCAAAAGTCGCCTAACGACTTTGATGCGCCTCTAGTGGCTCTCTGGTAGACAATCATTAGAGGAGGGGTTAACCCTGCAATTTTATTATTGCAGTTTCTTAATAATTGCAATAATTACCATTGCAGGGTTAAACTGACAGGAACACTGCACCCAGACCACCTGGGTGAGCTAAATGTGGTCTGGGTGACTATAGTGTCTCTTTAAAGAGACAATCTAAGAAGCATAAACACAACATCCTATTGTAATTATAATGGTGAAAGGAGGCTCTGCATGTAATTACTTCAGTTACTTTAATAAATATTTCAAGCACTTTGACAAAAAAAAAAGCAGGGGACCCTTGGCACCCAAAACCCACACCCTCTGCTAGGGATTTGATAATGGGTAAGTTTCCACTTCAAAATATTTGTATGAGCTAAAAACTTTGGTTGTGTAAGATCACCATTAATCACTCTAGTGCTGCTAAACGGAGACCAACTCCCTTTGAAACACCAGTAATCCTCTTACACCATAACCACTGCAATAATATGTAGTAGTTATGGTGTTTGGAGTACCCATTAAGGACCCAAAATACTTCTTCTTAGCAAATTTAGCATAATTATGTATTTACACGGTTCGGCTTGTTGGAATGAAATATTTGACTTAATTTCAGCAATTTAAAAAACAATGCAGGGGGGCGGAGCCAGACTAGCAAACTGACAAGACGCACTCTGTGTGAGCTCCTGCCAAACGGGCTCAAAAGCTGCTAATATCTCGGGGTACAGAGGTGAGATGTGCCTACAAAACAGCCCATTGGACTGAGGAAGCTACTGACACCTCATTCAACACCCTCACGAGAGCATGAAACACTCCCCCCCCCCCCTCATGGACCGCACCACACGACAGGCTTCACAACCTCCCTAAGCAAGATGGTGAATATGCTTGACTCAGCTGTGCAAAGCAAGCGGCAGCAACAATCTGCTATCATAGACACTAGTGACCATGCAAGAGACTCCCTTGCAGTAACCTTTGACCGCTTTTGGGCCAAGCTGATGGTGAACTTGCAGCCAGCGGTAACCCATCACAAACCAACCACACGGGATAAAGCCGATGGCAAACAGAGGCATGAGAATCCCCTTCAGGGCACAACTAAGCCCCATGCTACGGACTTCCGCACCAAGGGCCTTCCCGGGCTGAGAGCATGGGGCACACCCCAGAGGTGCCGGCCACACCGGCAGAGAGCAGCAAGACGACAACTTCAAAAGGCCAACATGTGCTTCTATAAGCATTCTATATAGAATTGTGTTGTGATTTGTAATCCATTTCTGATAGTGGTACCTGTGAAGTATTAAGAGATAGATTTAGAAAATATACTGGAAGAATGATGAGCAACTGCAAACCACACAGGAGACATTGCCCCTGGTGTAGTGCAATTCAGAACGTTAGGAAAACAATTGGCACAAATATTTCCTTCTGATTTACAGGGTTAATTATTAATGTGAGGCATGGCTGGTCCGGAGAATGTTTCCAGTTTGGCTAGTTTGACCTGAAAAGTTAAATTAATCTTTTATTCACTTTAAATTTTCACTTTAGTGACTAACCCTGTTATCTTACAAAAATAAATATTTTTTACATCACTTTAGTATCATTTAATGTTACAAAAAGGTCAGAAATACTGTATATTTAATTTATAAACTAACATAAAACATGATAAAAAGTATTGCTTCATTTGTGGACTCCCTTCCAGAATTCTGGTTTATGGTGAGACAATGCTTTTTCCTTTAAACCTGGATCTGTAATACTGCTGTACAAGAGGTTTTCTCTCGTATACACAGTACGATGAATATATGGATATAACCATTTTATTTTTATTTTGTTTTGCTAAAACTTTAGTCTTCTATAGCACTGACATGGGCTCCTGGCAGGTGAAGCAACAAGAGCTGAAGAGGACCTGAAGGAAGACCATGGCAGTGGCCGCAAGGGACATGTTCAGGTAAGTACAACTCATCTTACCCTGCACCTGGAGACCAACAGACACGCAGAAGAACAGACACTGACGGGGGTCTTTGCAAAATATGCAAAGACCCCAGACGGTGAGAAAGCCATTTAATGCTCACTGCTTCTATAGTGGATATGTAAATGGACATGAATCCTTCTGTTCCTGGCAACAGTGCCTTCAAACAGGAATCCTTTTAGATTTTTGGGAATTTTGTCCAACATGAAATGTAAATTGTTTTACATTAAATACCATAACTGAGCCTTTGCGGAACGTAATTACAGCATCAGATTAGAATATTGATAAATAAAATGTATGAAAGTACTTTGTAAGACCTGAGAAAGGAAAGTCATTCTGAAAGCTTGTTATAGAATTTAGTAGATGATGTTATTTGTAAAAAACAAAAACCCTGCTATAAAAGTAATATGAAGTAAAGTAGTAATACTTCCATCATAGAAGTGACAGATTCAAGGATATACTTAATTTTTTACAGTTTGCTTTTCATTACGTATTTGGAAAAATGGATGTTCAGGACTATTGATGTTTCCTTAGTTTCTAAGGTTTTATAAACTGTCAGCTTTCCTACTGACGTTATACACTGCTCAAAGAAAATAAAGGGAACACTTAAACAACACAATATAACTCCACGTCAATCACACTTCTGTGAAATCAAACTGTCCAATTAGGAAGCAACACTGAGTGACAATCAATTTCACATGCTGTTGTGCAAATGGGATAGACAACAGGTGGAAATTATAGGCAATTAGCAAGACAACCCCATTAAAGGAGTGGTTCTGCAGGTGGTGACCACAGACCACTTCTCAGTTCCTATGCTTCTTGGCTGATGTTTTGGTCACTTTTGAATGCTGGTGGTGCTTTCACTCTAGTGGTAGCATGAGACGGAGTCTACAACCAACACAAGTGGCTCAGGTAGTGCAGCTCATCCGGGATGGCACATCAATGCGAGCTGTGGCAAGAAGGTTTGCTGTGTCTGTCAGCGTAGTGTCCGGAGCATGGAGGCGCTACCAGGAGACAGGCCAGTACATCAGGAGACGTGGAGGAGGCCGTAAGAGGGCAACAACCCAGCAGCAGGACCGCTACCTCTGCCTTTATGCAAGGAGGAACAGGAAGAGCACTGCCAGAGACCTGCAAAATGACCTCCAGCAGGCCACAAATGTGCATGTGTCTGCTCAAACAGTCAGAAACAGACTCCATGAGGGTGGTATGAGGGGCCGACGTCCACAGGTGGGGGTTGTGCTTACAGCCCAACACCGTGCAGGACGTTTGGCATTTGCCAGAGAACACCAAGATTGGCAAATTCGCCACTGGCACCCTGTGCTCTTCACAGATGAAAGCAGGTTCACACTGAGCACATGTGACAGACGTGACAGAGTCTGGAGACGCTGTGGAGAACGTTCTGCTCCCTGCAACATCCTCCAGCATTACCTGTTTGGCAGTGGGTCAGTAATGGTGTGGGGTGGCATTTCTTTGGGGGGCTACACAGCCCTCCATGTGCTCGCCAGAGGTAGCCTGACTGCCATTAGGTACCGAGATGAGATCCTCAGACCCCTTGTGAGACCATATGCTGGTGTGGTTGGCCCTGGGTTCCTCCTAATGCAAGACAATGCTAGACCTCATGTGGCTGGAGTGTGTCAGCAGTTCCTGCAAGACAAAGGCATTGATGCTGTGGACTGGCCTGCCCGTTCCCCAGACCTGAATCCAATTGAGCACATCTGGGACATCATGTCTCGCTCCATCCACCAATGTCACGTTGCACCACAGACTGTCCAGGAGTTGGCAGATGCTTTAGTCCAGGTCTGGGAGGAGATCCCTCAGGAGACCATCTGCCACCTCATCAGGAGCATGCACAGGCATTGTAGGGAGGTCATATAGGCACGTGGAGGCCACACAAACTACTGAGCCTCATTTTGACTTGTTTTAAGGACATTACATCAAAGTTGGATCAGCCTGTAGTGTGTTTTTCCACTTTAATTTTGAGTGTGACTCCAAATCCAGACCTCCAAGGGTTGAAAAATTTGATTTCCATTTTTTTATTTTTGTGTGATTTTTTTGTCAAGAAAAGAACAAAGTATTTTAGAAGAATATTTAATTAATTCAGATCTAAGATGTGTTATTTTTGTGTTCCCTTTATTTTTTTTGAGCAGTGTATTTACGGTCTTAGATTACAAGAAAGAAAACTCTCTCCCACTGGAATATACACAACTTAAAAAATGAAAGCAAAATATTCAGTTAAAAATAAATAAAAAACAAGTAAATAGATTTTATCTTTTTAAGAAACTTTACACATTATACAGAATAAGCATTATTTATGAAAATACTAGAAGCTGATATTTGATAACAATCATCTAGAAAACGAAAAAAGATACTGAATAGGGAAATTTATGTTCTTAGGTTAAGCCAAATATTGATGTTAATAATCAATGAGGTAATAATGTTTAATCAACAAATAACGGAATATAAAAATAATGGTTTATTTAAAGTATTGTATTGAGCAGTAACCTTTTCTATCACTTTCAAGAAAATTGCCCATCAATATGTGCATTTATGTGTATGGAACTGTGCTTTATGAGAATGGATGTGATATCTCTAGATTGTAAGCTCTTTCGAGCAGGGTCCGCATCAACCTACTGTAATTATGCCATTTATTGTTTAATTTCCATATTGTAAATCGCTGCAGAATAAGTTGGCACTATATTAATATTAATAATAATGATAATACACATGCTCATTTAATTCTGACACAGACATATGTTACCAAAATTGAAGCATAAGGTGACAGAATGTCCAGAAAAACAAATGGAAAATTGGGGTCATAAATTGTGAATCTTGTAACATGCATAATATGGTAATGACCTCTGTTTCAGAGGCATCTCCAATCGGAATCAAGTTATTAATCTTTCAGATTCTTTTTCTATCATTCGGTGTTTGTCTATTTCTGTTATTTCATCATACCAATAGATAGATAGATAGATATTTGTGTTGATATATGTAATAGAATCCTTGAAGAATAATATATCATAGGATATGTCATATATAACATCATGTATGATCTCATCACTAAATATGTTCTAGTTTAAAAGAGATCATGGGAAGGAAAGGACAATATGGCAAACCTTCAAAAATGTAGGAAGTCTTCAAAAACTCTGTAGGCACCATAGCCAGTTCATCTACTTGAAGTTATTATAGTACCTGTCCCCTACTGTTCAGTGTCAAATCTAGAATGGTTTAATATTGGATGAGGATTCCCAGCTGCCTCCAGCCAAGCCTAGCCCCTTTCTGCTGATCAGGCTAATTCTACTGCAGTCGCCCTTTCAGCTGATCACTCTCAGCCTTTCATTGCTGAACATCGCTGGTATGAGTTGGTGTACACAACAATAGCTATAGGCTCCAGGGAAGAGATAGACCCACAGCTGACCATGGACTCTTATTCAGTGTTATACCATTCAAGAAAGATTTAATGCTAAACAGTGAAATTGTGCCTAGGGACTCCGGACACCATGACCACTTCAAAAAGATGGAATGGTTATGGTGCATAGGGTGTCCTTTTATATAAATAGAACAATTGTCAGAGGGCGGTAAGTTTTATATTCTAAAAACTGCTCTAGAACAGTGAGATTCCCCATCCTGGCTTAGTGCCTACTTTAAGCTCTCCAATAAATGCAAGGCATGTTTCCTTTTATACTCCTATGTGTCTCTGGATGTGTATCATGTTATTCCTAATACAGGTGTGTTTTGAGTACAGAAATCCTGTGTTGACAGTTTTGATGTGGCTCTGGTTACCACCAAGGGGTAGGGCAGGTGATAAAACAATCTGAGCACCTCAGATGAACTTGGCACCTAATAGGTTATAATGAATATACAGGAATTGTTCTGTTGTTCAGTCAGGCAGCTTTGGAATTTATATAACAAATGAGACATTGTAGGCCCATCTGAGCCTAATCCCCCCTTAGTTATGGTGACGTATAACTGAAATCTTACTGGGGTAGAAGAAGCGATTGACACTTTTCACAGATCCAGATAGCTGTTTCACCAGTTATTTTGTAAGGCCAGAAAGAAGGATTTTAAAATACATTGCAATCAAAGAGCCAATCAAAGAGCCCAAATTACATCTCTCAGCTTTCTAGCATGTATAGCCTGTGAGATGAAGGGACTTGGAGGCACAGCTCTTTAATTGTACACAGCACCAATATTCTGATCCCGAGGAGATCCCTCCCCTCCAAGTCAGCAGTAACATAACAACTTATTTGTATAAGTTGGTTTCAGAGTCAGGAAGTGTCATTCCCGGCTCTCTGACTGACAGGTGTTGTAGGCGGGACTATGAGCATAGCTTTCAAGCCCTATTTTTCCAGATTGAACAAATAAAAGTATGGTACCCTGGCACCATAAAGACTCCATTAAGCTGCATTTAACCATTTCTATTTTATCTTGGCACCAAGTACATTCTGCACTGACATGGATTAAAAAATAAGCTTTAACATACACGTTAAGACAACCTCTAAGCTCTGCTAGTAAGTACTATGGATCTATTTGTTGGCCTCCAGAGTGTAACTTATTATGGTTTTGATTTAATATTTTTGGGTAAGCTTTTAAAATGATTTCAGATTTTTGGATAAACTTTTAAAATTATTTAATACTTTGAAAAATGTTTTAATATGTTTATTTTTGATATATGATATATTTTTAGACATAATATTTAAAAAAAGATAATTTTAAAATGTTAAATCATTTGAAAAGCCTATCCAAAAATATTACATCAGGGCCTACATGTGCTACTCAGATATTTCTAATCCTTAGTAGTCCACCCCACAGTGTAACATAAGAGTCCACTGCATAAGATACGTCAGTAAGTCAATGTCCTTATTTTTGAGTGACAGTCCCAAATCCCTCTGTCCCTCTGTTCTATCCTAATGTCCCTCTTTTCTAGGAGCTACAAATTGTTGGTGTATTTGAGTGTGTAACGGAGCTACATAGCAATCATACTAAGAGTAACGTATCTTTAACCTGCAATAAAGGTGTTTAGAAAGCAGTCTGTGTAAATAACATACATTGTTCTTGTTCTAATTACAGTTTAGCAACATAAAATGTTATTGGTAAAACATCTAAAATTTCTCAGAACAGCCCGCGCCTGGCTACACCCTCACTCACACCCCTAAAACATTTAATATTATATTTGTGCTGGAGGTGTTCGTTTACTGAGGCTGAAAGTTAAGATTTATTGTCCACGCTCCTAATGATATTCAGTCTTTATTAATACCAACTGAGAATGTATATAGGACTTTATAGAGAGGACCTCCACCTCACTGGGCAAGATGCAAAGTTAACGCCGTTTAGTCAAAATGTCCTGTGACGCGTGAATATTATGGTCTGCTTGTGGGAGCTAGTGACATCATTTCATGTTGTGTCTTTTGGCATCTTTATATTACTGCGCTGTTTGCGTCTGCTTGAAATTTGAAGGATGCCAGTATAAGAAAACAGGGTGGGGTTAGATGGTGCAAATTATAAATGCTACATCCGTGAGACATTTCAAAATCAATATTTCATTTAGAAGAGATTGTAACGCTGCAGCCCTTGCTGTCTGACCAAGCATTAAAAAGAGAATATGTTTAAATCACAAAGATTTCAGGCTCCTCGCCGTCTCAATGTCTCACAGAATGTCACGATTTGGATTTTGTCTCCAAGACACGGAGGAGTCTACTGTCTCTTTAAAATAATAATGCATTAACAACAATAACACAACTAAGTAACATTCTATGGCTTTCAAACAAATGTTTGTATGATGTCAGAGTGCAAAGATCCCAGAATCCTGTGCTGCAAGACATCACTTTTTATTATGGGGATCTTTCTACCCTACCATATACATTATTGTAGAATTTTGTATCTTTAAAAAAAAAAAAAAAAAAGAATGCTTTTCTTTTTTCTTTAACTGGTGCAAAAATCACAACAGTGGATGTAGGTTTTAGTGTATGCCCTGAATTATCTGACGGAAAACATTCTATAGCATAGATCTATACTTTCTACAACAAAACGTTTACTGTTAACTATTTTACTATGCATTAACAAATCATATCACTTTATTGCGTGCAAGTCTCACTTTTTCATAATTGGCGTTGATGAACCGATGAGCAAGACTAGTAGAGAATTATGGGAAAGCTGAAAATCCAGGGCTGTTTCCTCTGATAAGTTGATTAATATGTTTAGTTTTGGTGTCCTGGATACTTGACACCATAGACCATTTTTTGCTAGTTAGCACTAGATATAAAGCTCTGTTTTCCCAGCCTGTTATGGGGGCACAAGGCATTAGAATACTGTCTTGTACAACGTTTATTATATAAGATCATACAACTTGGATTAAATTGTCTGTCAGAGAAAAATCTTTGAATACACAATTAGTAAGTCAAAAACACAATTATTATATTATCGTGAGTGACATCAAAATTAGTACAGTACAGGTATCTTTGACAGATTTGGGGATTAAAGCAATTTGTAAGAGTAAAAAATCAAAAATTTAATGTATCAAACTTAATATCCCATCATTCATTGTTGTGCTACATACCAAACAAACGTCAACATAAACCCAAATGACTTTCAGTTCTGTCAGTGGGCTGAGCTGGCCAGCACTGAACATCCACCCAGACTGTCTCCGCTGAGTGAGGAGAGGTTACTTAAACTGGGATTGGGATGTGAATCACTGTTATAGCTCAAGCAATAACAAACAGTGGTATATGTGGGTTATTAAATCCTCTTATTGCCTAACGGGTGCATGCCATTGATATGATTTGCACACACCCTCTGGCATGGAAAGTGTTAATATCTTAATTGCCAGAGGGATCAGAAAAAAATATTTTAGCAAATTATAATCTCTCCATTTTGCTGGTTTACAGTGGGCATGTCCTCTGTTAATGGGAGAATTGGCAAGGGAATTGCATATTCAAAGTCAAAATGTCAGAGTTACAAAAATAGACAAAGTTAAGGTGGGTAATTCTTTTCCAATTCTGCTATTGTGCCCAAATTTGCAGTTCTAATTTTGATACTTGAATCGTTGTTGTGACATGTTGGTACCAATAAGGACATATCATTCATTGTGATATGCTGATAGCAATCAATTCTGTTCAAGTTTTTGGTAACGCACTCATATGTATATGGAGCAATAGGTCGATAGGTTTTGGTGATTACATTTCTTTGATGCTGTGTTATTTCAATGTATCCATGTACAGTGTTTTTTTATTTATGCTAAACACACAATTGTAGTGAATTGAAAGCCGAATATGAGATATTGACCAAAGTAGCTGATTTGTTTGGAAAAACTCTCCAATTAAGTTATATTAACTTGTTATATATTTTAGCCTATATTTTGGAATTCTGTTTTCAATTCACTACAATGAGTATTCCCCCACAGGAAGATATCAATTAATTAAAAATTGTGTCCACAGAAATAAATGAAAAGATAAAACAGTGCAGTACATTGAAAAATATTTACTACATTTGCCATTTTTAACAGGAACAGAGGTGTCGCTTACCAAGTCAGTTAAACCTCTAGAGCAAGCATGTCAAACTCAAAGGCTAACATGGGCCGCAAAACAAAAAACCTTCAGTTTTCAAACCAACGTAGGTTTATTTAGAAAAGTACACTATAAAACTGTTACTTAACTGGCGTCCTCACACTCGTAGGGCTTCAAAGTAAACAAAAGAGCAAATATATTTTAAGAAGACGTGCATTTGCATATAACCAATGTTTCAGTCCAACTACCTTGACATATTAAGAAATGTTTGGTTATGGGACTGAGATGGTGAATGTATGTTGTTCAAGCATTGGGAAGCTATTGTCCATGTGTGGCAAAAAGCTGCGTGGCCAATCAGCACCTTTATGGGAAGCATTCAGCGCCTCCATGCAGACACAATCTAATACACTGCCCCCTGCCCCTATTCTAATACACTGCCCACAAATCCAATACATTGCCCACAAATCCAGTACATTGCCCCCCTCCCTTCACTCTAATACACTGCCCCCTCCACCCTAATACACTGACCTTTAATCGAATACTCTACTGTCCCTTAATCCCCTCCTCCCTCCACGCTAACTGAATACACTGCCACTCCTCCGAGCATTCTAATTTATTACACTGCCCTCCCTCCCCCAAGTTAATACACTGCCCTCCCCCAATTTAACACATTGCCTCCCCCTCCTACCACTCTAATACCCACTTTCTCCCCCAATTTAATACACTGCCTCCCTCACTCCCCTAAATTAATACACTGTCCCCAATTTAATACGTTGGCCCCTCCCTCAAATTAATACACTGCCTCCCTTCCCAATTTAGCACATTAAACAGGAAGGTCCCCCAAGTACCTTTTCCTCTACCTTAAGATGAGCCACCTGTCCCAGTTCCAGCCCTGCTCTTATCTGCGCAAGCAGGCCAGACGCTCATTTAGCACTGCGAGCAGGATGGAAGGGAAAGTTGCTGGCCTGCGGAAGCATGCGATCGTCCGTGAAAGGGAAGACTAGAATCAGACAGGAAATATCTTTCCTGTCTTGCGGCTGGTCATAGCCACAAAACAAAGTGGCCCCAGGGCTGGTGGGCCTGCAAATATATCTATTGTGGGACGCAAGTTTGACATGCTTGATCTAGTGATATTCATCAATAGATGAGAATTCACCATTTAGGGCTAGATTTTAGATGTAGGATTTTCTCTGATTAGCGAGTAGCAATTTTCCCATAGACTTCAATGGAAAAAAAAGCTATTTAGTAAGAAGAGTAAATCCTAAATGGGCTAAAATAATCCAGCCCTTTTTTCTCTTGTAATAAAGCTATGTAAGAAAATATGACTATAGATTGTTTTATTTTCTTGAATCATATTTAATGCTATTGTAATGTTTATCTATTTTTATGTGCATCTCTTCCTGGTTGCGGCACCAGAATATTATTTGACTTCACCTATAGCGACTATGACTTAGCTTGCATAACAAACAAGTTACACCTTGTAATACACGAGTTGCCAAAAAAATTAGGCCTTAAAGGGACACTCCAAAAACCAGAACCACTACAGCTTATTGTACTTATTTTGGGGCAAAGAGTCTGTCCCTGCATGTGTAAACATTGTTTTTTCTGAGAAACATCAGTGTTTACTTTGTTGCCTACTGCCACCTCTAGGTCAGTCACTTGTTCTGCCACTGGAGGGACTTCCTGGTTTGTGTCCTGCAAAAATTGCAGGACCGACATTAGGCATCTTCACATCCTGCATGGAGACACTGAACGTTCTCCATTGAGATCATGGAGTCAATACATCTCTATGAGGAGATGCTGAACGCCACAATGTGGCAATTGCTGCGCATGCCGTCTAACCTCCTAATGTTTCCTTACAAGGAATCTTTGAATTTGGGGAGAACATCAGTATTGATGATCTCTGCCAGTGGAGGTGAGGTGACCAGACCAGCATGTGTGGTGGAATAAGGTAAGTAAATCTATTTATTTACTTACTTTTGAGGAGCGCAATAATCTAAATAGCTATAGTAAGACTATCATTTGGAATATATATGTGTTCCTTTAAGTATTTTAAGCTAATTATTAATCTGACAGAAACTTACAGACATTTCAGAAAAAGTGATATATAAAATGGGAAACATTCTGAAACATCAAATAAATGCTATTAATTAATATATTCTGCAAAACCTATCTTATCCTATATAAATATAGATGTAAAAAGCAGATAAAAGGTAATTCCCCTCTGGGGGTGTTCGTGAGATCTTGATGGTACGTGCCGCTGACTGCGGTAGATCTTTGGTCTGCGTGGTCGATGTGTGGAGGCATTCTTACTAAATAGCTTTAGGCTCGCGGTCTGGGATGGTGTGCCGTAATGATGGTAGGCGCTTGTGAAGTCATGGAGCCTTAAGTGGTAGCACCTGTCTTTGGGACACTAGGCTTGTGGCAGCCCTCATGTGGTGAGGTTGCTGATGCAGCCATGCGTTAAGATAGATCCAGAAGTTCTGGAATATGGCATCCAAACGTTGCTGTATGGTTTCCATATCACCGCTATTGGATCTCTGAGTTTGACAGAGGCCTTGAGAGGCTGGAGTAGGCCCATCCGCTATTTTAGGGAGGCTTGATATTGGTCTCGCAATAGGAATTCCACTGTAGGTCACAAGTGAGTGCAGCAGGCCGCAGCAAGAGTGTTTGGATTCCCTATGGCTTAGAGAGACATGAGTTGGTTTAATGTGTAGGTCTTGAAAACCCATGGCACCCCGGGATGGTAGTTACAGCTGATGGGCCGGGGATAGCACCCCTGAACCGGCCCATTGATCCGGAGCTTGTGTGCCACGCTTCTGATCCTGTATAAAGTCAGGCTTAGCCCCCCTATCCTTATCTTTTTTGTCACATTACCCTAACTCCATCTAGCATGTAAGGTCATTGAGCAGGGCCCTAAACCCCTCTGTTACTGTGCGTCAAATAATAATAAAAACAAAACTTAAATTTATATATGCATATATCCTGGTTTGCAATATATGCATAGCTGTGCGAATTCCACAATGATTTTAATTCATTTCAAGAATGCACTATGCACATCCAATGCATGAACACTGCATCTTGCTGAAAGTGTATAGCGTTTCATCTCACTGACTGTCCTAGTTGTAGTTTATATCTTTATCCTGAAAGAGCAGAGGTAAAAGCTAGAATCTTCAGCAATAAATATCCTTTTGTCTATACTTTTGCTAGCAGTTTGACAAGCACACAGCATGAAATGTCATTGTTCTGTAAAGCTATGATGTATCATGTTTGCCCGACTGGTACACGGTAAAGGACCACTAAAGACAACCAGACCAATTCTTCTCAATGAAGCAGTCCAGGGGCAGTGCCTCTTTAGTTTTAACCTTTTTGTAGAAACAATGTGTCCATTACATGATTAAAAACACCCTTTGTCTTCCTGACAGAGGCGGCTCTCAAATTAGGTAGCCTAAGCGGCCGCCGAAGGCCCCACACTGGCTGGGTCCTCGCTGCCGCCTTAAGCGCCTTAGGGACTGTGTCGGGTCCTCGGTCAGTGAAGTGAGTGGGCCCGGCGGCTTGCTCAGTATGCCGCCGGGTGCGAGGCCCCTCTGTGCCATCTGCCTGGAAGTAAGAGAGCGCCCATTGCAGACACCAGTCAGTGTGCAGAGCTGAAGACCATGTGTCTTGCAAGATCTGGCCAATCAGAGCGTTGCCGCGAGATACAGAGCTGCAGACCGGATATTATGGCCACCGAACCACCAGGGAACCCACCAGACCGACTGTGAGCTAAAAAAAAAAAAAGGTATTTTATCCCTTACACAATCACCCCCCCTCCCTCACACCATCGTCACTGCCCTCACACCAACATCACTCCCTCATATAACCCCCCGCCCTCACACCATCATCACCCCCTCACATCATCAGCCCCCTCACACCATCATCTCCCCCACATCATATTTACACAACCTCCCTCACACCATCACCCTTCTTTACAGTATTACCTCCTCTCTCATACAATCACCCCCCTCTCTCACCATCATCCCCTTCCCTCATAGTATTACCCCCTCCTTCACACCATCACACTTTACTCCCTCACACCATTACCCCTTCCCTCACACATCACCCCCTCCCTCACAGTATTACCCCCTCCCTTACACCATTACCCCTCCTCACACCATCACCTCCCTACCTCAAAGTATTACCCCCCTCTCACACCATCACCAACTCTCTCACCATCACCCCCTCTCACACTATCACCACCTCTCTCACCATCACCCCATATCTCACACCATCAACCCCCTCCCACACACCATCAACCTACTCCCTCACAGTATCACCCCCCTCCCTCACAGTATCTAAAGTATCACCAACCTCCCTCACAGTATCACCCCCTCCCTCACACTATCACCCCCCTCTCACACTAACAACCCCTCCCATACAGTATTACCTCCCTCCCACACAGTATCACCCCTCTCCCACACAGTATCACACCCCTCAAACGCAGTATCACCGCCCTCACACACAGTCACCATCCTGCATACACACTGTCACCCCCTCACACACACACACACACACAGTCATGCCCCTACGCACTGTCACCCCCATAATGTAGTGTCACCATACTCCCCTCACACTGTCACCCCCCCACACTGTCACCCCTCACACTGCCAGTCTCTTCTCGCATGCACACTCACGTTAATAGCTCCTAAACTCTGTCACACTCTTCCCCCAAGCATGCCACACTTATTCTGTCACATTAATGCCTCTAACCCTGTCACACTCACACTCACCCTGTCCCAGTAAACCCCCCCTTAATCCTGTCACACTCCTTCCTCCAATCATGTCACATTTGCCCTTCACCCAAACCCTGACACACTTTGCCCTGACACACTTACCTCCACTCACCCTGTCACACTCTCTCCCCACACCATGTCAACCATGGAGAAAATATCTATGGCACTGTTTTTTTTTTAACTGTAACTTTATTATTTGGTGAAGATTTTTTTTAAAGATTTTTTTCTCAAACAATAACCCCAACAGTACTTATTTATACACGACTGCCAGTCTATACAACCAAACCCCACAATTGTGTATAAACGATTAGCATACTTGCAAATTACATTTATTTATTACAAATTAATTTTGTTTGCAAATTATGCTACAACTACAGCCAGAGAGCTCACATTGCAGGGGCACAGGAAGCCGCGACACTGCAAGCCTCTGAACAACGAATGCAGAGACTGACTCTCTGTATCCAGCGCTGCAAACCCGCCTTTCAATATAGCGACTGCTCCTTACACACACAAGATGCAACCCTATTTTTTCACTTTGGGTGTTAGTGGGACCTCGTGTTTGAGTTTCGCCTAAGGCCTAAAGTCTAGAGCCGCTCTTGCGTCCTGATAGCCACTAGATGTGCTTCCTCTATATGAAACAGGTCAGACTAGATTCTCAGTTAAATGCTGTTCCTAGAGAGAATTTGATTGGTGCAACAAGGCAATCATCTATCCTGACCTGTGAGACAGTGTGGCCACTTTGAGACCAGCATGGAAAGGAAAGTAAATCTCATCATTTAAACTCTCATGGGGGGTGGAGCCGACACCATAATACGTAGAGTAAAACTATAGCGTTAGTAATACGTTTGTATTCTTAATACTATAGTTTTCCTTAAATAGGTGGAGGTTTTCTCCTTTTATTTTATCCAGTTAAATACAGAGTCATTTTGGTAAATGATGTAAAGTAGTGAATCTGATTTATCCTCAGAAAATCCTGATATTTATAGAATGATTTTCTTTGAATATGCCTGGACAAATGTATTACTTATTTTATATTACCCTTAGGGAAATAGCTCAGAAATCATTACGGGTTAATTCGTGAGTGGTTCTTGACCTATTTCAGGAACGTTTGGGTTAGTCTCTAAACTATCTTTATTACTTATCCTTTGAAATGCCAGATTCCACTGAATAATTTTCAAAGAATTTACCTTGGCAAATTTAATTCAAGATTGAATGTATTTTAGTGAAAGTGTAGCTCATGGTTATTGGGTGATGCTATCAGAGTACATGTGTTTGAGAGAGCAAAGTGACTCCCTAAACTAGTGTTTCTCAACCTTTTATGGAGAAGTACCCCTGCAGGTCTTAAAAAAAGTATTCCTGCCTCTCGAAAGTAGTTTCTACTGATTTAGATTCCAAATGAAATGTGTAGACACTTATGTTAATGTTAATCCCATATTGGAGAAAAATCCTGATTAAAGGTAGTAAAGAATATTTTAAAATAAATATGACATAATGTGAATATTGTGTATGTAAGGAGGAGTGTATAAACTATAATTTTTAAGTATGAAAATGACAAAATGAATATATAATACACACATAAGAACACACACATGTATGCACATAGGACACTGACACACACAATTACACACAGATGACACACACACACACATTTACAAACAGAGGACACTTTCACACACATTTACACTTAGAGGATACTGAAACACAAATTTACACACAAAGGACACTGACACACACACACATTTACACACAAAGGACACTGACACACACACATACATTTACACACAGAGGACACTGACACACACTCACTGACAGACACATACGCATTCTCTCACACACACACACAAATTACCTTGCTGCCCGCCTTCATTCTGCCCTTATTTTGGCAGAGTAGGTACCAACCTTCCAGGTAAGCAGGTGCCTACTCTGCCATAGTACACAGCCGGCCGCCTCCTGGTGGCCAGCTGGCCAGTTTATGGTGTACCTCCTACTTGTGGTGCAGGTTGAGAACCTGTGCCCTAAAATACTTTAGTTACAAACCATTATTATAGCTGTTATTATTACCTTTTATTTATGAATCTCACTTCTCTAGTGATGCAATCTTTAAAATGTGCTTTGAGTAGGAGAATATGCTTAAAGGGATACTACATTGCCAGAATAAAATAAAAAAATCACTTTTTCGTAGATATTCCCAAATGAAAACAGGCATGCGTTAAATTATGGATCTTTTTATTGGGGGTTTGGGTAAATGATAGAATACCAGCTGGCAAAACATTGTGGGGGTTTTAAAACAGTTTAGGATTACCTTTTGGCCAAGCTTACAAAAAACAAATTCTTTCACCAGGGCCTTTTCTACATTAATTCCACCACTGCAGCGGAGGCAGAGTTAAGGTGCAGAATGTTGCAAAACATGTATTTATTTACACTATTACATGAATGTTAGCATGCAAACTTGCAGCCAACTATTTATACCAAAGGCTGTAAAATGCATAACTGTTTTGTTGCTGCTTGGAGTGTCCCTTTAACTAACAAGTTCATTATTATTTTCTGTTAATTTTTCAGAATCAAATACAGTTTAGAAACCCTGTGAATTTTGCCCTTTCTGACACTGGACTGGAGTATTTTTTGAATTTTTTTTCCTCATTTTGTTTGTTTTGTGCTATTCTACAAAGTTCAATGAATTCTCCTGCTCGGTTTTCTTGGCTCTCAGATAAAAGCTGGAGCCCTAGGGCTTGGCTACGTCTGAGTATTTCATGGTATGCCCATTTTGCCTGGTTAAGATTTAGGCATGTTTTGCAGTTTCAGAACCAAGGTACGAAGATGAGTTTAACATATGTTAAAATCAAGCTGGATGTGATGATCCCATTCTGCTCAAGGAAAGAATGCGAAGTTCTTGTAAATATAGTTAGTTAGTATAAACAGAACTATACTATGAATACACAAAAGGCAGAATTCTACATTCGGTTTTCTTTCCTATTTAAATGTTAGCTTTGTCTTCAGATCAATAATAATTACTGTAGCTATCCCATTTCTCCCAGCTAATTCAGTAACTGTGTTTAAAACAAACCAGGCCATTTTTATTTCATCATGCGAAACCTAAAATAGAATCACATTCCTGGCAGAGATAGGGTGACGAGAAAACATACCTGCCAAACATCCTAGATTTCTAAGGACAGCCACTGTTTTTCACTAATTGATGTTTGTTTTTACAGTTCTGGAATTTTTTTTTTTTTTTAAATGAAACTGTCACTTGTCATTTTTAGCATTTTAGCAGAGTAACTAAGTGCGAAAATTGTCCTGGCCCCCCTCCCTCCATGTGTTTCATCCCACCCAATGTGTCTCATTCCCTCCCCCCCAGTCCCTCCATGTCTCATTCGCTCCCCCTCCCCGCCTGTCCATTTGTCTCATTCCCTCTCCCCCCTCCCCCCTCCCCTCCTGTGCCTTATGACTCTGTGAGTAGCGTGGCCGAGCAGTACCCTGTCTTACAGGAACTGCTCTCTTATGGTCTGACTTCCTGTCAGACCAAGTTCTGCTTGGCCACGATACACACAGAGATCGTCAGGAGGGGAGAAGCATAGCATTCACCTCCTGCCGGTCACGCGGCAATCATGGGCCCCGGGCCAACCTGAAGTCGTGGTGGCCCACGGTTGCAGGGGTCCCAGCTGCAGCCAGACTCCATGAAGTGACGGGCTTTGTCGCAGCTGCAATCCTTGCAACCGCGGTAGATACGTCACGGTTCCCAAGGTGTTCTACAAAGGCATGCATGTAGCTCAGCATGTTATCATAATACCCAGTATAGGCCATGATTTAAGAAATGGCAATGTGCTTTTTATGCCAATCTTTGCAAAACAATTTAAATTCAAGTAAAACAATAATAATAATTGAAAAACAATTATATATGTATATTTATTTTTATTTTTCCCAAAACAAATGTAAAAGTTTATATTGTTTTTAGAATGTGCCTTTTCATCCACTTTAACTATCAGGGTTATTCACTAAAATGTGATTTCAAAGTGAATTTCAAATTTTGGGCCAAAGTAGCTGAACTGACAGAATAGCTGACTGAAAGAATTTTTCCAGTTCATCTAATTTGGCCTTGAATTTGAAATTCACTTTAAATTGACTTTAAATTCTCACTGCAGTGGATTACCCCGTGCGTGCATTACCTTCAGAGGGCACATTCCAGTTTGCAATGTATTCACCAGACTGGGGGATCTGACAAGGGAATGGAATAGTTTTCCTGGCACTGCAGGACCCTGTAGTGCCCATCTCCCTCCCACCCCCCATCCCAAGTTGCTGAAGGGTAAACCCCTTCAGTGACTTACCGGAGTCCAGCACCGATGTCCCTCGGTGCTGGGTTAGGCTTCGCCCATGCTCCTCCCCCGCCAACGTCAGCCGGCGGGGGAGAACTAATGCGCATGCGCGGTAATGGGCGCGCACGCGCTTTAGACCTCCCCATAGGAAAGCATTGTATAATGGGGATTTCGACAACACTGGCGACACGGAAGTCCCTCTAGTGGCTGTCTAATAGACAGCCACTAGAGGAGGACTTAACCCTGCAATGTAAATATTGCAGTTTATGAAAACTGCAATAATTACACTTGCAGGGTTAAGGGTAGTGGGAGTTGGCACCCAGACCACTCCAATGGGCAGAAGTGGTCTGGGTGCCTGGAGTATCCCTTTAAGATCGAGAATATTTCTCTAGCTATTTTAACCTAACATTTGCCGAAACAACTCTTAGTTGTAGCTGTTGTATAGATTCTGAAGAAAGAAGGGAAACTATGCAACTATGTTTTATCATTTAATTTATTTAAAATAAAATGAGAATATCACATAGCTATTGCTCTTAACTGATTGTTTGCTGGCTTTTATCTCTTTGTTAAGAACTCCAATCTTCTTTGCACATAAGACTTTGCATATGTTTTTTTTCCCATCACTTGGCAAGTGCACATTATTTTCACAACAAAAACTACCCTTCTCCCACCTTAGCGTTGGATACTTAATCCAGCCTGTCTGTACCTGCTGCACAGTCAGCGGGAAGCTTGATCAAACATTATGACAGTGTGTGTTTGCATTGTCGTGAACACCCTGCTCCCCCACACCCAAAACTAAGAATAAACCTCTCCTTTACCCTCCTGTCCCCACCCTTCTGTGAGTGACTCAGTAGCTCACACTGCCCTTCATTTACAAGAGCATCTGTTTCACATTTAACTTGCAAAGTACCAGCCTCCTCCATTAACTCTTGTGTAATGTTTATATTTATCACGAACAGCCAGACACAGATAGCCCCTGGCACTCTGACTCCAGCAAACTACGACTCCCATGATGCTTTGCTGCAAAGCGTGCGTAGCAGGTCATATTGTAGGCTAACAGGCGAATGACTGGTCAACAACATAGGGTGAAATAGAAAATATTAAATAGATACATGTCACAATCCCAATAAGTGAGCAGTTGTGCTGGTCAAAAGATGTTATCTTTAAAATGTTAAATGTATCGTGGGCCTGATCATAAGTGTTCTATTCTAGTCTTCTTCTCGTAGATCCAAAGCAAATCAGATATTGTGGCTGAACTGGGCAAAGAGTTTAGATTTTTTTTTTATTTTTTTTTTAGAAAGGAAATGAACCCACCCAGAGTGGGCTGCAACAGTATCCTTTCAGACTATTTTCCTTTTTGGTTTATTTTAAGGGTAGGAGGGATATTTCCTCTAGGCACCTGAACAGAAGGCATGTTTTTTTTTACTAAAGGAGTAAAAATCATTCAAATTAAAACCATGTACATGTGTTTCCTGGTGAGTGGGCCTCTAAGTTTGGCATTTCACGTGGTGGCAGAACATTTTATATTTGTCCAGATGACATCAGAGAGGTCTTCGTGGAAGTCTGGTTGAAAACCACAAACTTCCACAGGATGTTACTGATTCACCCTGTACTGGGTAAGGGGTAGTAAACAAGGAGCTCTTCGGTTTTATGGAGAACTACAACTCCCATAATACTTTGCCAGTATTTAGGGATATAGGTTTGGCACACAATACATTCCAGGACTATAGGTTTAGATGGCTAATCCTTTAGACCAGGGGTTCCCAACTCAGTCCTCAAGTACCCCCTAACAGTCCAGGATTTAAGGAGTACTTACTAAAAGCACCTTAGACACAACTGGGTAATCCCTAAATCCTGGACTGGTACCTTAGGACTAGGTTGGGAACCACTTCTTTAGACTGGCAAAGCCTCATGAGATTGAGATCTCCACAATAACTTGATTAAAGTGTAACTCCAATTAAAAAACAGTATTTTAATAAAACACTGTTTATGTCGTAGTAACCTTTGCTGGCATGACCCTCCACCCTCTGTTAAAAAAAAAAAAGATATAAAGAATAAAAATTGATGCCAAGTTCTCCTTGCAGCCCAGACCATCTCCAGTGTAGTTACCACCATCACTGGATGTTGAGGGCTGTCCTGAAATCCGCACAGAAGGGAAGATTGGACGGCACGGAGGTGGGCCATGCTGTCATTGGTTATCTATCACCAGCATGAAATGTGCGCCGATGACAAATGCCTTTCAGGCACAGAATTAACATTAGATTGCACAGAACTCTTGTTCCTGGCTTCCAAATGACACTGCTTGAGGTGGAGTCACATGTCTGACTGCAATGTGCTATGTCTCTGTATGCATAGCTTTCCAAACTGAAGTGCTACAAATACAGACGCCAAGTACCATGACCACTTCAGTGCTTGGTATCTGGAGTCACCCTTTAATGCTTGTCTGCCACCCTGAACTAATGGGTCTGCTAAATGCAATAAAATAAACAAAAAAAATACAAGAAAAGCCAGATTCATTTGTAGCTTGGAAGAGATGAAAGCTGAAATGCAAGATAATTTTCACTCAATAAAGGATCTGACGTCTGTGGAAGCAATACTATGATTTTACTACTAATAACATAAAAATAAGATTAAATTATACAATGGGGACATCAATGCTAATTGTATGAAAACAGCTCACTTATCAGATTACCTGCAATTCCTGCACACGTTTTAGCATGCCTTTTTCCCCCATGACATTGTGATTAAGTTTAATTATGCTTTGGCCAAATCTTAGAACAAAAAAAAATAAAAATCTAATTTCTATTATGTTTATAGACTTGGTTCCAACTATAATACGGATTAGAAGAGGAATCTCTTTATTGTTTTCTTGTTTAAACTGTGCACCGAAGCCAATGTACACATACATTTGCCAATTTCCTTTGAAATCAATGGACACCTCGGGTAGATCATAACCAACTTACGCCAAATACCATATCCCACACCCAAAAAATGACGGAATGCAGCAACCTATTGCATGGTAAGCCATGTAACCACAGCTAATATATTGAACAACATATAACTGAATGGAAGGTTTCTTGTCTGCTGTGCAGGAACACAGATGTAACAAGGGGCAGTACACATATGAAGTTGATATATTACCCCATTCAATCTCAGAGCAAGCATGTACTTATACTTAGAAGGCATGTGACGGCAAATTGGTTCTCTTCCCCCATAGAACCAAATTAATTTAAATTCCCCTGAATGCCATTTGTTGCATTCATTGCCCTAGTTGGCTATACTACCATACTTAAGATTGTTGTAAAATTCCTACCTAGCTTTATGCTCTCCATCTCTGACACGGACTTTGAAGCTGTAGAATAATATTGTGTGTTAGTAAACCAGTTTACCTTACTATATCTTGTTTAATGTGCTAGACACTTTTCTGGCTATGGGTTTGGTTTCTGGGGCTAAAGATGGGGTCAGTATTTTTTAAGTGGATGCTCATGTTGGTACGATTGCCAGCGTAGGGTGCCAGGCTGCGGGAGTTTGAGATAGGTTGTGTAGCACTTGCCAACAGTTTTACTCATTAAAATACAGGAATGAAACTGCTGAGCAAGCTAACAGAAGCCACAGTGTGTTCTTTTGTGTCCTTCTCTATCTTGTGTGATGCTTACATGTTTTTAAACTACAGCTTCCATGATGCATTACCATTCCAAAGGCTGACATCATCACAATACATACCTGTTACAATTATACAGGTCTTGTTAAATCCTCACGTTGTACTAGCTATGGTCTATAGAGGTAGGTCAAGTGTTGGGAATCTAGTATTGATTTTTTAAATGTCAGGGATCTAGGCACAAGCCCATTTCAGACCCATTCTGCATAGCCACTTACTGACTTCAATCCCATCCTAAAAATACCATTTAAACACATTATATCAATAAATACAAAGTCCTTCTCAACTCTGTTCCCGTATCTTTGGTCTTTTTATCAAAACACCCTTTTTGGCCTATTGTCTCTTCCCAGATACTCCACCTCTCTTATCAAATACCCTGCCTACAAAACTATTCTGAATTTATCCCATGTTTCTGGTATGAATGTGCACATTTAACCTGTTTTCACCTCTGGTAGTACATTTACCTGTCCTTTTCCCAAATCTGCTCATTTTTATTACATTGCCAATTTCTGGATAGTTCTTGGTTCTTCAATAATTCAATAATACAAATGAAATGTGTTTTTTAAGTAATATCATGCCAATTCATCACTCTGCATTCCAGTAGTTTACAAAAAGTGACAGTGCAAACAATTGTAATGTAATAATATAAAATATAATAAAACCTTCATCAGAGAACATCCATCCCATTGGAAATCCTAGCTAGTTGGAAGCGTTCTCTGGGGCTCTCTATTTTTTACTAGATCTACTGATACATGTATGTTTAAATGAAATGTTAATAGCAACATTTATAACAAAGTCTACTTTATTAAAATATTAATTAATTTTGCTTAACGGAGAATTACTTAACGGAAAAAATAAATGCATTATGTAATTAGATATGCATAGTCAGCAATCATTCATCATACGTAACAAAGTTAGGCTAAGGACCTCATTCCAATGATGTCACTAAGTTTTAACGTCCAACAGTTACTAAAGTATCTATCTGTCGCTACTTTTATGGAACAGAGCAAAATGTTACCATTAGCAACAGCAAATTAACTGCCATTACTGGTTCCAGCTAGTCTGTTTTCGTGTTGTTTAAAATTTGTTCAGGAATCTGAACAAAAAATATCAAAATGGCATTGATAGACTTAACTCAATATCTTTGGTTGAACCCATCAGTCCAGTTAGATTAGATTCAATGCTGTAAGTCAATAACAGTTTATGCAATCATTAAGTAAAGATTGACACAGTTAAAACTTCCTTATTCTATAGTATTTCATGGCAGCTGTAAACGAACAATTGCATTACCATGTCTGCATAGTGCTTGGCTCATAGATATAAACAAAGGTAATTGGATGGATGTTTGAAATCACCCTTGAAGTTTTGCAAAAGTGTTGTCTCCTGCAAAGCTCTCTAAACATTGCTACTTTATAATATATACACCGATCAGCCACAACATTAATACTACCTGGCTAATATCGTTTAGGCCCCCCTATCTTGCCAAAACTGCTCTGATGCTTCCAGACATGGACTCCATAAGACCTCTGAATGCGTCCAGTGGTATTTGGAACCAAGAAATTAGCAGTAGATCATCCTTTAAGTTTCGAGGTGGGGCTTACTTGAATCTGGTTTGTTGTTCCCGCACATCCCACAGATGCTCAATCAGCCTTTTTCTTATGCTCCTCAAACCCTTCCTAAAAATTATGCAGCTTGGTAGGGTGCATTATCCTGCTGAAAGAGGCCACTGGCATCAGGGAACATCATTGCCATGAAGGGGTGTACATGGTCTGGAACAATCTCTAGGTAGGTGGTATGTGTCAAAGTAACATCTACATGACCCAAGGTTTCCTAGCAGAGCATTGCCTCTTCCGGCCTGCCTTCTTCCTATAGTGCGTCCTGCTGCCATCTCTTCCCAGGGTAAATGATACACAATCACCTGGCGAGCAACCTTATCTAAAAGAAAACATGATTCATTAGACCAGGCAACCTTCTTCCATTGCTCCATGGTCCAACTCTGATTCTCACATCCTCATTTAAGGTGATTCGGTGGTGGACAGGGGTCATCATCTGGTACGCAGACCCACATGCAGCAAACTGAGGTGCCATGTATGTTTTGACACCTTTCTATGATGGTCAGCATTAGGTTTTTCAGCAATTTGAAATACTGTAGGTCTTTTGTGTGATCGGACCAGACGGGCTAGCCTTCGCTCACACATGTGCATCAATGAGTCTTTGGCACCCATGACCCTGAAGCAGATTCACCGGTTGTCCTTTCTTTCACCAGTTTTATTAGGTACTAATCACTGCATGCACATATCTCACTTACCCATTTTTCTTGCTTCTAACACATAAAATTTAAAAACTGAATGTACCCCCTGATAGGTGCCATTGTAACAACATAATCAATGTTATTCACTTCTCCTGTCAGTGAATTTAATGTTGTGGCTGATCAGTGCATTCTGCAGTGCTTTCCAATTATTTAAATTATGTTAGAAGGTGGAGAAGGCCCTTCTCAAATGAGCTTCCATTCTTTGAGGATTTGACTTCACCTGTCAGTGGTTTTAATGTTGTGGCTGATCAGTGTATCATTCTAACTATCTAATCTTCATATTTCCATCTGGAATCATAATCGGGTGCAAGCAAGTTCCCTATAACTATATATACTTTGTTCTATAGTTAAGTATTAGTAAATTCCCACAAAATCTAAAGCGCCTATAGAAACATGGAATGTGACAGTTCATAAGAACCATTCGGCCTATCTAGTCTGCCCAATTTTCTAAATACGTTCACAGTAATATGTCTCTATGTGGCCTTATCTTATAGTTAGGATAGCCTTATGCCTATCCCGCGCATGCTTAAACTCCTTTACTGTGTTCACCTCTACCACTTCAGCTGGAAGGCTATTCCATGCATCCACTACCCTCTCAGTAAAGTAATACTTCCTGATATTATTTTTAAACCTTTGCCCCTCTAATTTAAGACTACATCCTCTTGTTGTGGTAGTTTTTCTGCTTTTAAATATAGTCTCCTCCTTTACTGTATTGATTCCCTTTATGTATTTAAATGTTTCTATCATATCCCCCCTGTCTCGTCTTTCCTCCAAGCTATACATGTTAAGATCCTTTAACCTTTCCTGGTACGTTTTATCCTGCAATCCAGGAACCAGTTTAGTAGCCCTTCTCTGAACTCTCTCTAAGGTATCAATATCCTTCTGAAGATACGGTCTCCAGTACTGCGTACAATACTCCAAGTGAGGTCTCACCAGTGTTCTGTACAATGGCATGAGCACTTCCTTCTTGTCCTGCATAACCTGATAGAATTTTGGCAATAATGATGTAAACCTTACAATAAACATTTGTATTAACTAACACTGAAACCTGATATTATTTTTGTTCTTTATTTTATTGAGTAAAAATTTAATATTTCTGTCCAGTTGCGATGTATACTTGTTACGTAAAATGCAATCAGTTTTTGCCCGTTGAGAGGCAAGGCAGAGAAGGCCACATACAAATACTGGGCCTCCTCTTACATGAATGACTGCTGTTTAATAACACCTGATGTTAATAACGCCCACTGCGGAGTTAACTATCATACTTACCTGCGGTGAAGTGGTAATGGTCTTGGGTAGTCTAGGAAAGCAGAAGTGATTTAATCTATGCTAAAACGGGACGTTCTTACACCTCGCTGACCGTGTGTTTATAAATTTGTATATAACATAGTAATATGTCTCTATGTGAAAATCAAGCACTATATGTGTCTGTATTATTTTTGAATATTTTGTCTTCTACTTGTATAGTAATCTTGGATCTTAGAGTGTATGCTAACTGTGAGTGCATCACAGAGCTCCACAGCAATAAAACTCACCTTGATGGGCAGTGTGTTTGTTACGTGTACCTTGTTGCTTTCTCACAATAATGTGCAGTGTGTTTCATGTTACATAGATCTAAAGTACAACAAAACTGAGGAGCGTGTTGGAGCGTGTATTAGAACAGAAGAACAGTGCAACTCACAGTAACGCGCTGTGTGTATGATTGAATCACAAAAATCCTCTGCAGTTAAATTCGCAGTAATGCCCACTGTATGACAGAGCTCCACAGCAATAAAACCCACAGTGCAATGTGCTGTGTATGAATGTATTAAACAGCTTCAGAGCTGTAAGATATATAGAAAGGTTCAGTGCATATGAATGTAAAAAGTTTTTTTACTTTATTTTATTTTTTTAAATTCTTTATTATTGCAATGACAGAAGTTGTGGTGCATCAATAGGGGCTTATGCAAAAGCCAAATCACATTTCTCATATCAGTATCGCTTTGTTACAGAAAGCAAAGGATATATCGGTAATGCTTGCAGTAGGTTGTACAGTGGTGTTTGACACGATTGCAATCTGTCAAGGTTTTATAGTGTTGTGTTTAACTTAATTTAACTTAATTAATAAAATAAACAATATAAAAGGGAAAAGGGGGAAGCACCTAGAACGGGTGTCGTAATTGGTACATTGTGCGTTTGAGTTATGTAATCTAAACATTTCAGTGAGCACGCATCCCGCGTCCGTCACTTCTTTTGCCCTTCAAGAGGCTGTCTGACCGACTCAGGGATGGGTGCCCACAGCCATGCTGCGGCATTCGTTGTGGTATAGTTGCTGTACAGAGGCCAGTGCAAAAGCCATTTCTAGTTTCACGAATCACTGTTTGTTACATTAAGGATTACAAGGCATGTTATGCAGTGGTGATTGGTATATCTAACATCTGTCACACTTACACAATTTATCATGAGAACAAAAACAAACACTGAGAGAACAAGGAAAAACAGGAGAATACAGGGAACTTGAAAGGGCCCCCCATGTGTATTAGCAATCAGTTTATGGGGAGAGTCATAAGTTATGCCATCCATCACACCTGCCTCACCTCCATCCCCGAGGCTGGGGCCAGGGAGCACCCCTAACCTCGGAGCCCAGGGATACCCCTACCCCCGCCCCTGCCCCTACGCCCCCTACTTGGCAGGGCATGAGAGGCCACGTGGCGGGCGGCCGCTGAAGCCCTAAACATTGTGCACCTGGAGTTTAGCACTCTTCTGGTGGTTTTTCTGTTCATTCTGAAGGGAGTGACCCACCCACCCTCTGTGGTTGTCTATATGGTTGGAAGACGGAGTGACAAAAGATAGGACACATATGCACACATCGTGACATGTGCTTTGTATGGGTCTATTTACCTGTGTGTGACTAATTATTAGATTATGGGGGTTCCATTCAGTGCACCACCCCGCCCCTTCACCTGCGTGCCCCCAATACATGTGCACGAGCTCCTTTCTATATCGTTAGGGTAGGCTAAAAACATGTACTAAGAGGGAAAGGCTAGAGGCAACCGGGCTCCCCCACCGCCCCATCTGTGGTCCCACATCCCCCTCTCTGTCTTATTCCCCAAGGACCGGTCAGTTTATACCCCTGTCTCGTCAGTGTACTGCTCCCACAGGCCCCAGTTTTTATACTTTTAAAGTGACTAGAAGCTATTTTAGCTGTTATTTATTTTTCTATTACTAGAGGGCATGTACTGTCTTGCCCAGGCTTGAAGACGTGTGTTTACACCTTGTTCATCTGGACCATCACCTAATCTATCCTTGTGAATGCCAATAGCAATGAATTAACAACCCATAGATTGCACCTGAACTGAACCCTCCATATAACACATTGTCCTTGACTAATGTCACTGCTCTAACCTAGCACCTTATTTTCTATTTAAAATGAATCCTTTAGACTTAAAGAGCTCCTTTTTCAAGGGGAACACACAGGGAAATCCTATAAATCAATGATGCAAAAGGTTGAGAAGTATATTCATTTGTGTAACAATAGATGCATGAATTCCGTGAGAGAAGAAAAAGAGAACACGCTGTATACAGTGGTGCAGTTGTGACTGTAAATCAATTACATTGATCTGTTGGTAATTAGATGGATTTGTCACATGACCAGTCTGCCTTTCTCAAGCTTTACAGAGGCCCTTAATTTTAAAATTATACATTTTTTAAATCATATATATTTTTTAAAAGGAAACTATAGTGCCAGGAAAACAAACTAGTTTCTTGACACCATAGCTCCCCTTAGTCAAGTTCCCCCCCCCTCCCCCCGCCCAAGGTATAGAAGGGGTTAATAATCCCTACTGTCAATTACCTGGGTCCAGCGCCAATGCCCTTCGACATCAGCTGGCGGGGAAGACCTAATGCGCATGCGCGGCTATGGCTGCGCTCGCATTAGGATTTCCCCATAGGAAAGCATTATTCTGGGTGCCTACAGTGTCCATTTAAGAAAAGTTTACTTTTTTCATCTGGCTGAGCAGCCATGTTTGGTCAGATTCTGCTGTTATCCGATCAACTGCTGCTCAACCCAACTTTCCTGTTGCTGCAGTTTCACACAGAGCAATCGCTGCAGCGGGTTGAGCAGCAGTTGGTCAGATAACAGTAGAGTCTGAAAAACATGGCTACTATAATAACTATCATACATAAGGTATAAATCAACAAGTCTTCTATAGAAAAGATATATATATATATATCGGTCCTTGATTTTACCATCTACTATAACTGAAAATTTAAGTTCTAGATCTGACACCATGTTCAACCATTGTAAGGTTCACTTAAAAAGCGCCCCTTTTCCCACAAAGTGAAGTGTACATGGTGACTAAGTGTGCCGCTATGGCAGCATGCATAGCAACAATCATGGCAATAATGGCCGAATATTGAACCACTAGTGCTTAAAGGGCGATTGTTTTGTATGATCTTCCATGACCATGGGAACATTAGCTAAGAGGGTGAACATGACTTTTCACTAATAGAGTGCATTGACTGTTAAGAAAATAACTACGTCAGCTAAGGCTGTGGGTGTTATGTTCATCCTGTCCCTCTTGCTATTTAGAAAAATACATGGTAATTTATTTTAAAAAATAAATAACGTAGAAGAGGCCTAATAATACATTTAATATGTGTAATTAATGTCAGGTGTAACGTGGATATGTCAGACTATTGTTGTGTTAAGTAAACCTAGGGAGTACTTTAATCAAATTACCTTGTTATACACACCAAAGCACGCAGTTGTTTTGGTTTGTTTGTGCTTTTGCACATAGCACATTCCAGGCCCTCTTGTAGTAAAGGGCTTAAGTAATTAAAAGAATCCATTAAATTTACATGTATTTCAGTCAAAAACAAATGTAAAAAATACACACGTTCATTTATGTATAATTTAAAGTTAATACAGACAGAAGAGTGGCTTAAATAATACACTGTGTAAAAGCATCCATACAAATCAGTGAACAGCAGCTAACACGGTATAGCTTTTCCCACTGCAATGTTGACATGATAGAAAATGAAAACTCCCTTATTACATAGTTACATGGGCTGAAAAAGCCTTTCATCTGTTTTTGCTGTAGATCCAAAAGAAGGCAAAACAGTTTGATGCACTTAGCAATTTTGCAAACTATGAACAAATTCTTCCTTGACCCCAGAATGGCAGTCTTATATTTCCTTGGATCAAGAAGCTATTACCCCACAAATTAAGTATTTATCCACTTACATCTGTACAGATTCTGATAAAACCACTTTTTCAGGCAGAGAATTCCATATCCTTATTGTTCTTACAGTAAAAAAACATTTCCTTTGCCTTAGACAAAATCTTCTTCTAAATGCATGACCTCGTGTCCAGGTTTGTGAATAGATTTCCACACAATGGTTTGTATACAAATGTTCAGACAGCTACTAGATGCATACTTGCAAAAACAGAATATTCAAGGATATAATCTTTCAATGTAGTGTAATAACTGCTTGATCCAAGGATAAATCTGACTGCCATTCTGGGGTCAAGAAGGAATTTTTTTCCTAGCTTGTTGCAAAATTTGAAGTGCTTCAAACTTGTTTTTTTGCCTTCTTTTGGATCAACAGCAAAAAACAAATGTGAGGAAGGCTGAACTTGATGGAAGCAAGTCTCTTTTCAGCTATGTAACTATATGTAACCTTGTATTGACTACTCTCTAATATCCATTTGCATCTGACCTTCATAATATTCTCCACCTGAGAGACCAACAAATTTCTCAGCCATGGTGTTTGCCAGTTTCTGCTTCTTTCAGAGAGATAGATGCCCCACTGTACTGGAGCCTACATGACTCACAAATTGTTATACTAGTTAAAGCAGCCAAGACATAAAAATGAAGGAAGAAAGGCCCAAGAGACATTAACATATGCACAGGAAGCAAAAATATACTTAGAATTTTCAACAAACATTTAGAAACTTCGTGGGGAGATCTGGGTCCGGTTCTTGAAAGTTTACAATAAATATTGGTTGTTACGGTACTTAGGATTTGTGTTTCTCTGGAACTCATCACCATCATTTTTTATGCTTTTCTAGTAATATCCAGGAGAGTGTTTTCTAATCTCCATTATTGGTCTTTACAGACCATTTATCCTGATTAAATTATAATACATAATTATACTTGGATATTATGTTTTTTTAGAAAAATCCCTTTTTCCATTGCTGATAGTCCATCCCTTAAAAATATATACTTTTTCCTTATTGAGATTCTTGAGGTTCTTTGTCTTTTTGGAAAGAGACCTGTTAACCATTCCCGTATATCTCCAGAAATGCAATGGTATAAGAATTTAACAAATAGAAAGTTCAACAAATCTTACAGCGAAACTGAGTTTATATGCAAAAATGTGTTACATTTGGCTAAAAAATTAATTGATCCCAGCGTTACATTTTTAGTGAAACATTCTAAAAACAGGATATTGGAAAAGCCAAATTCTTATTAAATATAATGAACAATATTGGATGAGTTGGATCAGTCATGTTTTGAGCCATGTAGACCAAAAGGAATTAATGTTTCATACACTTATTATGCCTTAACTGAGTATTTGTATAACTTTTACACTGGAGAGAGTGGTTTTGACTTTGTTAACTTTTGTGGTCTTCGAAATTTTAACCTTGAATTATGTGATTGTACAAGGTGGAGATGGATTACAGCTCATTGGCTTAAAAAAAAAAAAACAAGATTCCAAATACCTAAACCAGTGGTTTCCAAACCTCAAGGCAACCCTACTAGACCAGGATTTAGCGATTACCCAGTTGTGTCAAGGTTTTTTTTTTGTTTTTTGTTTTCTGAAAACACCTAAGGCACAACTGGTTATTCCTACATCCTGGTCTAGTAGGGTTGCCTTGAGGACTGGTTTGGAAACCACTGATCTATGCTAATGAGTGACTGATAAAATGATGACCAAACATATATTGTTCAGGAATTGATATGGAATTATCTTAGACTCGAGTTTCACAGCAGATATGAAAACTATGTTCACTCCCCATTTGGTTAGTATCCTTCTCTTACTCCTAGCCAGTGGTGTATTTTGGTTTTGTGCTGCCCTAGGCATGAAAAACACGGGCACTCCCCCCATACCAACCCAGCCCTTCCCCACCCCTCCCCCCCCACCTCTTTTCTAAATTTATTTTCCTTTAAAAAAAAAAAAAAAACACAACAACATGCTCTTTGCGTGACAGACAAGCGCACTCACTGGTGCATACACTGACATACACTCACTGACTGATACACAGTCATTGGCACACACACTTTCACTGAAACATACACACTCACATACACCGACAGATACACACTCACTGACAAACACACATACTTTTTGACAGACACACATACACTCTTATTGACAAACACACACATATACTCTTACTGACAAACACAAACACACACATACACTCTTACTTACTGTGAGCTTCCATGGGGAATAATTACACAGAAAGGAGTTAAATCCAGTGACAGACGCGCATATTAAATAACCCGTTTAACTCGCCCATCTCTTCCTACCAGAGCCCACGCTTAGGATACCCCACATACATAGCACCAGCAACCTCTCAGATACTCGCTCTGTATTAGCATCATCTCTCTGTATTAGCACCCTCTCTATCTATTAGCACCCTGTCTCTGTATTGGCACCCTGTCTCTCTATTAGCATCCTGTCAGTGGGGTTGCTGTGCTGAACGGTTGGGCGGGCAGCGAGGGAGCAGTGATCTCTTTGCTCAGCTCCCTCGCGCGCCTCTTGGTGATGCTGGGGCCGGAATGACATCATATTCTGGCTCCGGCATCCCTGCGAGGCGCAAGGGAGCTGAGCAGGAGAGAGCTCAGGGGTGAGTGCTCCCTCGCTGCCCGCCTCCTACCTGAAGAGATGCCAGCTGTAGGGGTCCCTGAGGTGGCCAGTTGGCCAGCTCCTTGGCCCCCCACGACAAAAGGCTGGCAAGGTATTTGCCAGGGCGTTTGGGGCGGCTTTTTTTGCCGCCCCTCTAAAAGTGCCGCCCAAGACAAATGCCTTGTCAGCCTCGCGCTAGATACACCTCTGCTCCTAGCTGATTCTCATTCACTGCTTACAATGTGATAAATACCTCATTATAAATATATGAGTTTAATATATAGCACATGGAGACAAGTCCCTTTATGTATGTGAAAAAAATTACTTTTTACCTGCTTCGTTTAGTACGAAGAGAAAAGCTGAAATGAGAGTCACCATGGTAAACACTAAAAAAATAAAAATATGATACATTAATAATGAACGCTATATTTTGACCATCTGACTAATGTTTACAGCCAATCAGAAGTCAGATAGGATTCCATTTATGGTCTCTCAGAAGAAATGGCAAATGCAAATAATATAATGGCAACCTCCAGCTGCTGAAAAATGGCTCCCGGAGTAATAAAAGTATAAGAGAAATAAAAATTGTAACTCCTAGAAATGCACTTTTTCTAAATTAATTAACGTTTAAGCAATATGACAATATTTCATTAAAAAGTCTTCTCACCAATGGCCTGACTCGACTAAATGATGAAGCAATAGCAATGTTTAATCTTTAATGTCTTTTAAAACCCACCCACAGCTCTCCTATCTGGTGAAGGCAATTAGTTACCATTACACTGGGCATGCTTGAGTGGCATTATATATATATATATATATATATATATATATTATATATATTATATATATTCTGCAGTGCTTTACAATTATAGAAATTACACACACATAAAAATGTGCCATGCGTTTTATATATATATATTTGAGTGGGAGAGTAATGATTGGTTTAAATATCACAGCAATTTCTGCTGAACAGGGTTGCTGACCATAGATCCTGAGCTCATAAGTTGTAGCCATCCGTGTCACACTGTGAATAGTCAATCCAATAAACAATGTATAGGAATGAAAAAAAATAGGTGCCACGGCGATTAAGCACTGCTCGCTCCTTTTAAGTTAAAACTACATTTTATTCCATATAATATATATGTACAAATCACATACAGTGACAGGCTCCCTCGCAAATGTGGCTGTCAGCAATCAACGCGTTTCGCATATCCAAACACTTTATCAAGAGCATATTCTAGCTTCCATATCTTGTCTTTTTATGTCGTGGTAAATGAGGGATCACAAACACCTGCAGACCAAAAGGCCAATCCCACACCAAGCCACAACCAAAGGAAGAGATGGCATATCAACTAAATTATCTGCATGTAGGGAGAAGAATAAACACACAAAAGAAAAATAAACAACAATCATAACAAAATGTATAAAGAAAACCTGTAAAAACATTAGTACCATGAATATAATGCAAGTTACACATATTTCTCCATTCTGAAATTATCCAATAAACATCAGTATCATCTGAGCAGAGTCCTCAACATGTTCCTGTAATGGCTTACCATTTATATTTTATCCTTTTATAGTTTATTTAATATTTTATGTATATTTTTACAATAAAGCAATTTTTCATTGTTCCATCCTCTGGATCCTCTTCTACTTATTGGAAACCACACCAGCTACAGAAGGGTTAGGATCACCCCACAATAGATCCTGAAGCCATCTATACCAGAGCCAGGTTCCTTGGCTCTGATTTTGTGAGTGTTTCCTTGCACCTATTGCACTTTAATATATATTGTTAATTGTCTACACTATCTTGTGTATCTCTCTATCTCTGCAGTAATACATTGGAGAAGAGGAGAGAACAAAATTGCTCCATCCATTGTGTTTGCAATGTTCCTGTAACAATTTGTAATTGTCTCATTTATTGTTAAATTGTCCCATTATAACATTGGGAAGCGCTGCTGAATAAGTTGGCACTATATAAATGCCAATAATTGTAGTAATAATAATTGTAGTAAACAGTTAGAGGCAGGTATTTAATGGGTTACCCCAACCACCATGACCATTTCTGCTTTTAGACGTGGTAGGAATCTGTACGTGCAGAGTTTACATTCAGAGATATTTGCACTTTTGTGCCGGGGCCTTGTTGCACCACCGTCATCCCTCTGAGCTGGGGAGAACAGTCCAATCAAATTCTTCTGTATGAGACCTTACTGCTTCGTCCGGCACTGGATTCCAGGTAAGTTTATTTAAATGTTCTGTGTTTTCTTAAAAATAACGGAAGAAGGTGTATTACTAATACCCCACAGGGCATGCTAATTAAAACAAATAGGGTTAATTAAAAATGGTTGACGTAATCCGTTAATACTTGTGGGACCAACTCTTGTACAGTGGAAGGCACATCATATAAACAGGCTTCTGATTTGAAAGCAGTTCCTGAGTTTGTGAATAGTAGATTAGGATTAGGATTATACACATTTCTGAGACATCCATCGTATGCCAAAGGAGTCCAGTATGACCTGGGCAGATGCTTACATGCTAGCCCTCTCTAGTTGTCACTATAATACTAATCTTGATCGATTAAATGGTTTTCGTTGTAATTTTTTTAGCAGCACCTCAATTTTAATTTTTTTGTATCATACATTTTCTGCTCTTTTACTGATGAAAATATTTTTTTAATGACATATCATCACTGATACTTCTTTTTTGTTTTGTGTCAATTATGGACTCTCCTTAAATGTGATGCTCGGAAACGGGACATTAACATCATCATGTCCTGGATCTGTATTAGCACAATTATTTGTAGCAAGTTAAAAAAATGTTTTTCTTTTGTCTCAAATGTGTTTTACTTCTTGGCTGTGTAACAGGTGCCGCACCACCTTTTTGCCTGGGGGTAAACACTTGGTATTAGGGTGGGTGGTTTTAATAATATATTATCCCTAAGACACAATGTTCAAAATGTTGGCTTGTTAAAGAATGCATGAAATGGCTTTGTGTTCCGTCAGCCTTTCATACAGAATTAAAATGCAGATGCCAAACATATATGTAATTTCAGCTTGCATAAGGTACAAACATGGGTTAGGTGTCTACGTGGGTTTAATAAATGGAGCCTGAGTTGCCACACTTATTCTCAATGGTCAACCTGGGGCACTTTGCTGTTTATGGAATCTACCTCTTTGTTAGTCACTCATTATTTTGTTATAGTGTTTCTTTGGTAGCTGTGGCAGTGCTGGTCTAATGAACAGTATACGTCTAATGAGCATGAGCAGCTGCAGCTAGTTCTAAAGTGCAAAGATATTTTTAATGAGCAGTTTTAGTTCAAATGAGCAGAAATAGTTCAATTGTCTTATCAGCTTGCTTTGTCTTCTTGTTAATGAAAATAAATAAGACCTAGGTCATGCTTTTAAATATGGAAAAATAATTCAGACCCCCCCCTCCCCTTTTTTTTTCCATCTGTGTATAATATACTGTGTTTATTTGAAGTCTACGTTGCACCATGAGTGAAAGGTGATCAATGCTTTAAAGGAGGCTTCCCCAAACTCCGGCCCTCCAGATGTTGCTGAACTACAACTCCCATGATTCTCAGCCTACCTTTTTCATTCATAGAATCATGGGAGCTGTAGTTTGGGGAAGCCTGCTTTAAAGGAACAGAGTATTCAACTCGATGGTGTTGCTTGTAGTTATTGTGTTATCGCTTCATATCCAAACTGCTTCTCAAGTTCATTCTGATAATTTCCAAACATCATCCCCTTTTTTCTCTCATAAATTTATAACAGACGCAGGTAAAAAGACAAAAAAAAAAAATACTTTATCACGAACAATTTCACCCTAAGTATAAAAGTGTGTAGGACATGCCAGCAATGTATATTCACATATCTAAAACACGCCCAATATCTGAGATCATATATTTTCTTGAATGAATAAATTTTTTTAAACATCATATCTTTTATCCAAAACATATATAGGTCTTACAGAAGGCAGCTGTGTTTCCTGCACCCGTGTAGCAGTGTGTGGTGTTTTTAACAGTACCCATGATGCCTGTTTATTTAAATGAGGTAGCATGCTTTCCTTATTTATAAAGCGCCAACAGTCTGCAGCGCTGTACAGCAGGTAGCCAATCAGTCGCTTATCTCTCCAAGATTCCATTCTTCCTTCTCAATCCATACTTTGGCACTTGGTAAGTTGGAAAGGATACATGAACACCCCGAGGGCTGCTTTATATAGACCTTCAAGTTCATGTGAGATCAGGGATCAGGGATTCAAACTATTTTTCTAATGCAAGAAATAAAATGAAAGGGAGCTTACCCCATTATCTTGGGGACTTTCTTTTTGAGCGCTGGATCTAGCTTATTAGCCTTTTTTTAGTTTTAGCTGGTTGACATTATTAAAACATTCTTACTAATATACTAACCAGGATAAATAAAATGTAAAAAAAATAAAAAAACATTTATCCTAATTACTAGCAGTGCATGTACTGCCTTTAGACTGAATTTGAGGACATACCCAGTTTTACTCTATGTGTCTGCAGATATACAATATGTTTTAGTCCTTTTATTGTCCTACATAGCTGTGTCAGACGTACAGATCCAGAATGACTATATGTTTCTTTGCCATTTTACCGATAAGGCATAAAGAAAGATTATTTTTACTAGTAATTTTCCAGTTTAGCAGTTTGGACCTAAATGCTCTGATTCCTTTTGCAAACCTCAACAACCCTCAGTTTAGTGTCCCTGGATATATATTTGTTGGTACAGTACCCCAAAATGAGGGACAGTCCTGGTAAATTTGGGACTGTTGGCACCTATGATTTTAGTTGCAGTACATTCTAATTTACTCTCTCGTCATCTCACATCTTGATTACCTCCTCTTCCATGGCTTCCTGGGAATCAGCTGACTCCACTCACATAACACGCAGCTCCAGGCTCATCATCCTCACACATCGTTGCACATCTGCTACTCTACTCTCCAAAGCTTTTTATTGGCTCTTACGCCCTCTAGGAGGAAGATTTAAACTCCTTACCCTTGATCATAAAGCCCTACATATTCCTGCTTCCTCTGAGCCTGTCCTTTACACTGTGCATGTCCCTGCTTGGCCTCTACCGCTTCCTTATCAAAATTGCCTTTTTTTTTTGCTTAGAAGACTTTTCCATGTATCCATGTGATTTCTCATTGTAAAAGCTGCCATATCCCTCCACTAATCCCAACACTCATAGCCACATAATCTGCACAATCTAGGCAACACCTTTCTCCTGAGCTCACCTGTGGTACTAATCTGCTACACACCCTTACCTGCTCTGTGTTCCTCACTGTCCCATGGCTCTTTAGATTGTAAGCCTCAGGGCAGGGCTGTTAAAATCTACGTACTAATATTTTTCTGTCTGTAAAACTGAAATATATTTTAAGTCTGCCCTCTACCTATCTATCTATCTATCTGTCTGTCTATATTTTATGTTAGTTGGCTCTTTTACGGGCACTTCACAAGGGCAGACTGGCAGCTTTGGAATTCTCAAAGCTCAAATTACCCGTTTTACAGCCAGGGCCCAGAAACCCACAAGTCAGGGCAGGCCGTGGCACTGAACAGTTTCAAATTTGCCGAACCTCTTCAGAGATGGGTCTTCCAATCACTACGCAGATTCAGATCTTCAAACACCAGAGACTGACTGACAGCTCTGCATTCCAAGAGGTTCTGCAGGAGACAGGGGATTTAACGTCATGTTAAAATGTTGTCAGGCAACCCATTTCTATTAACCTGATAATTGCCAAAATATCCAGCCACCCAGTTATTTCATTATTTGCCGCTCACTAAAAAAAGGGTTAAATGTTACTAAGAAATCTATTTATTAGGCAAGGGGTTGCTGCAGATTAACCCCCAGCAGAGCTACTGATTTTGCTTTCCAGATCAGGCGTAGGTTGGCAACTTGTCGCAACTTACTGTTTAGTGAATAAATATGTATCTGTTGAAGTCCAAAGAAAGGGTTAAAAGTCAGAGCGTAACAGACAATCAGCAGACTTTCTAAAGCAGCGATCGTAGGAGGGGAGGCTAGGGTTTGGCTGCGGATCCATGAATATCGTCTTGGGTGTGGTTATTAGGGCAGGTTTACAATCACAGCCTTGGCCAGAGTTTCATGTGCTGAATGAAGACACAAGGGTTGGTCTTTACCTTGTGATCTGACGTGCTGATGTTACGGGGTGGGGGTGCTGGCAAAATATTACAGTTGTTTAGTAGGTGGTGTGACAAGATTGTGAGCCAAAAAAACTCAGCCTTGTTTGGAATACAGACTAACCCTAAGGGACTGGGTGTCTCGGCAGCTTGTAGCATTGGATTACACACACAGACAGACACTCGCAGACAAGGGATCTGGAACTGACACAGTCCGCTCAGATGGGGGAAAATACTTCCTAGGCAATAAAGGTACTGTACGGACTTTAACTGTTGTTTCTACCTGGGTTAGGAGGGAGGAAGCCAGCTTTGCGGAGTTTCCAGAACAAATGAAGGTTTTAACCCTTTGAGTGCTGGAAACACTTTTAACAAGTTCTATTTTACCACACTTGCACACGCCATTATCTGTTCTGGCTTTCAAAAGACAACTTTAATTAAAAAAAAAAATTTTTAATTACATAGATAGCTACTACAAAAAAAGCTGCCTGGGATTTCAGCTCCTATCATGCTTGGCCACTAGAAAGTTAAATTTAAAAAAAATTGCCTTAGAAGTTATAAATGTCATAGAAGAGCTGCCTCTGGCTTTGCAGCTGCTGCAGACCGTAGCTCATGATCAAACTCTTGCTGACTAACTTTTAAACATGTGGGTGACTGCGTGTTCTGTGTGCTTGCATGTTGCTGCATAAGAGGAGATATAGAAGTCAATTAGATAAATTTACCTTAAATATACTTACCTGAAGGTCTCTCTCTCAGTGCCACCATGGTTAAACTCAGTTCTCAGTTCCTGGTAGAGAAGGATTAGATTCCCAAAGGGCTCTGGAGTGATTATCAGCTTGTTCTCCCTTTCACTTAGGCTTCCTTAGGTCACATTATGGTGAATCCTTCTGTGGCTCCTATATACATATTCTGCAAGGTGCTGTGTACCTGCGTGCATGCCAGGTGTACAAAATAAAGCTCTATAGAAGATTTCAAAAGACCTTGGGACAATTTATAGATACCATAGGGGAATAAAGGCTTCTGGGAAATGGTAAAATGTCAGGTAAGGGCAATTTGAGACTCCATGTTTTTATCGTATTTAGCCAATAATAGTTTCATCCATAAAACAATTATTTTTTTATTTTCATTGAGAGGTTTTTTTTCTCTAAAAGGGAACATATAAACAAAAATTAGAGTATACATCTGCATTCATTATGTATCAGTTGCACACTCAAAGATAAACATGGAGAAACACAGACAGTTTAGAAATAAATGCCTTCAAGAATATGTCAAGCAGATAATTCTTGAATGTGGCAGGAATCAGTTAGGATGCGGTAAAATTCTGGCAGAAGGAATTATGATTGCCTTAGATTATTTTGTATGGCAGAATGAAGATGGTGTAATGGGCTAACTATAAGTTACAGGAAAAGGGAAAAATTGGTAAAGAGAAAGAAAGAGAGTGATAGTGGAGAAAAAAGGAAAGGGGGGAAGAGAAAGCCGAAAAGGGAAGAAGATATGGCAAGTGGGAAGAAGAATTGTCCCAAGTAACTGGAGATAAAAAGGTAGGGGTGCAAAGGACCAATAAGCCAGTCACATCTTGTAGTGGTTCCCATAATAAACACCTAACACGCAGGGTGTGGATCCATCCATGTAGTTGTAGACCATGCTTCTAAAAACAAATTATAAAAGTATCATTTAATGTAGCTGTAAAGTGTTCGTTGCTACTTATAGTCTTAAGATACGTTTTGCTTGCATTGAAATATCAGTGAAATAAAAATATGGCATTTTATAAATATACTCTGAAGGCATGCTTAAATTATAGTGATTCTGTGCTTTACCTATAACTTGAATCTGAATATATATATATATATATATATATATATATATTGTGTGTGTGTGTGTGTATTAAATTTAGTGATGGCTTAAACAGTTATGTTTTATATTTTTTTTACGACTGTAATTTTCACACTGTGATCAGCATCCATTCTCGATGAAATGGGTTAAACTACCCCTCACAGATTTACCAACTCTTGTTTCAAAAGTAAGGAACACAAAAAGTAACAGAGCCACTTTAATGATAGATATAGTTGGTGATAGCTGAAAAATATACTGCAAACAGTCATTTGGTAGAATTTACAGAGAACAAGTTTTGATCTTTTTATTTTTTATAATGGATTGACTAATCTTTGGCACTGCAGTTGTTTGGGACCAAATTCCACATTTTGCTTATTCAACCTACACTGCTATAGAACAGTATCGATTAATCTTGGAATAACAGATCTTTGAAACCATACATTCCATATGATCAGTCAACCATTAGGAAATGTAGTTCCACATATATGGAGTGCCATGGTTTGCTGACAGCACTCTACAGCAGGCTTCCCAAAACTCCGGCCTTCCAGATGTTGCTGAACTACAACTCCCATGATGCTATGAATGAAATAGATAAGCTGAGAATCATGGGAGTTGTAGTTCAGCAACATCTAGAGGGCCGGAGTTTGGGGAAGCCTGCTGTACATCAACAATGACTGGCTGAGTAAATGATAAAATGTGGCCTCAACAACTGCGGTGCCAAAGGTAAGCAAGTATTTTGTGTTTCCCCAGGGTAGGACCTTCCGCTTGCTGCTGTTTCCTGTAGGTGATAAAAAGTCTCAATATTCTGGTGAGTTGCAGATGTCCTTTAAAAAAGGGAGTGACTAGCTTTGGCATTCCGGTTCTTGGCATTTTATATATGGATTCTAAAGCTATACCCACCAGTTAAGCCATATTGCACACAGCAACACTATCTCAACCAGCCAAAACAACAATTGTTAGAAGGATTCTGCTCTAAATCCAGTGATTAATAGTGACAGGTGGGAAGTGTGTGCACACACTGTCACTTATTGTAGCGTGGCCCCATGAGACAGCGGTAGAAGATCTTCATTTTTCTCTCCATAGTTTGACAGAGCTATAAACGAAGTATAATACCCAGGCCTCCCTCACTACTCTCTGCACGCTGCTTCCAGCTCTCTGTCAGACCGGTCAGAGGAATACAAATACCCTCTAATGTGGTCCAATGTGTCCATGCCAAAGCTTTGGTAGGTGATTATAATGAGTGGCCTCGCTTGGTAGTTTGGGTTAAACTATTTTCAAGTGGTTTAATGCATATTGGGGTTCCCCAAGCACCAACAGGCCAGCCCCTCAGCTGATGCCTGTTTAATGCTTTTTACTTTAGATAACAGTAATAGGCTTCTGGTGGGTTGGCCCGACCTCTTTCCCATCTGACATGGTGGCATGGCACAGTTACTAGCAGGCAACTGAATATTAAAAGGACTCAATAGGCATCCATACCACTTTATCTCAATAAAGTATTCTGGGTGGCATGCCATCCCTCCGCAACTGAAAACATTGCCAACAAAGTTATGCCTAAAATCTTCTTTCTATCAAGCTGTGACAGGGTACATCTGACACAGCTCAAGCCTGTTTTTGTGCTTTGTTTTTTTTTTAAATGTAATACCGGGTCAGAACTAGGAGACCTTTTGGATTCTGTTGCTGGGGCCCCAGGCACCTGCTGGACCCTATGTTGGCGCTAAGCTTTACTGTAGACAGATTAAAGTTAAGATTAGTTTGCTGTAGACAGATAAGGTTAAGAAAACCATTACTGTCACAAAAATTACAGACCTCGGGGGGCGTGGCCTGCTCGGGTATGGAGTAGGACGCATCCTGAACCTGCTCCGCGGCCCTAGCTCACACTAGCACCCATCAACGAGCGCTATCCGACCCGAGATGGGTAAATCCCGGAGACCCCACACGCCGGGACCCTCACAAGCCGGCTCGCCGGGTCGCACCTCGGGCCCCATGGACGGCTATGTATGCACGCCGCGAGACATGCGGTCCGCGCCGGCCGCATCCAAAATGGCGCCGGCCTCCCCAGGGGACAGCAGCAGTGACAGCCTGACGCAGGGCTCACCCAGGGGAGACACTCTGGCACATATTTCATCCGAGCTGGCCAAGATCACTGCCAATATGCTGTCCAGAGCTGACAAAGCTGAGATGCTGGCAGAAATCAGGACTGCAATCAGGGAGGAAGTCATGGAGGTGAGGAAAGACCTGACAGCCCTTGAACAAAGGGTAGAGGCCCTTGAAGCAGACAGAGCCCAGACTGTGAAGCACCAACAGGCCACAGACACTGCCACCACCAGACAGGGCAATGTCCTACTAGATCTCAGGAGACAACTAGAAGACCTGGACAATCGCGGAAGGAGGAACAATATCCGCATAAGGGGCCTACCCGAAAACGCGGACGAAACGCTGCCAGAGCTCCTGACAGACCTGTTTACCCATATTCTGGGTGACAGAGCCCCAGAAGACTACGGTATCGAAAGAGCCCATAGAGCGCTGAGACCCTTGTCCCCTGAGGGACCGCCGAGAGACGTAATCTGCTGCTTGCTCTCTTACGCCTTAAAAGATGGCATCATGAGAGCGGCGCGCAATCAACAGAACATCGCCTTTAGAGACGGGCAGGTCTCGCTTTACCAGGATCTCTCCGCGCTCACGCTAGAGGCCAGGAGGGCGCTACGTCCAGTAACCGCCATTCTCCGGGAGCGGAGGATCCCGTACAAATGGGGCTTCCCCTTCAGCCTGCAGGCGAGGGTGGGCCAAACCTGGCATATCATCCGCTGGCCAGCTGATGTTCCACGCTTCCTACGAGCCACGAGTCTACCCGCGGTGACGATATCCAACTGGGTCCTGGAGCGACAACCACAGCACCCACGGGCGGTAAGCGACAGGCCGGGCACGGGCCTCACAGGCAGCGGGTTCCGGCGGGGTGGCCCAGACAGCCATGAAGAATAACTGTCCCCTATGAACCTGTTCCCCTACCTCCCATTCTGCTAACCCGACCGTCAACCTGCCACCCCACCAACGGCCCCCCAGCCACTACGAGAGAAGGCCACAAGACAGCTCAGAAGACCTAGACACGACCACCGGAAGCTCCTGTGGGTGTCGGGCACCACGAGACGACATTGCCCCCCACGCACCTGGTCGAACCACAGCACAACTTGGTATGTACTTGACTCCCTGACCTAAGCCCGCAACATGGGGTCCAGATCCTCATTAGCAGGGGGTGGCCTAACCTGAGCCTCACAACCAGGGGTGGGGACCCCCAGGAGATAGACTTTGCATGGACATGCCACGCTGGGACTCTCCTAGTGGCCAAGGCCCGGGAACACCAGCTACCTTTGGGTGGAGGGGGTGCGGGGATGGAAGCTGGGAGGCTGCCACCATACCAGGGTTATACCCACCGCTGTAAGGGTGATCTCCCCAAGCTCTAGCCTGAAGGGCACGACCGATAGCATAGATCCCAGCACCTTCTGGACAGCCGAGGGCCTCTCAGGCATGTAATGGGGCCACCAAGGGGGGGGTGCGGGGAGCTCCCTTTGGGGGGGGGGGAAGAATGGGGGGCCATGCTCCACAACTGTTTATTATGACTGTTATATTGGTTTATGGTTTTTATTGTTTGTAAACAATTACGCGGACGCGGTACAATACGTGTAGCAACAGTTACAGAATGACGTGAAACTTGGGGCCCGAGTTAGACTCAGACACATACACAGGCCATACATGGGCCGAGACAGGGAGGGGCAACGAAGGTGGGTGGGGTTTCCGGGACGGGAACATACTCGGAGAGATCTACAACCCAACACAATAGGTGAGCTGGGAGCCAAGGGAAAGGCTCGACACAACACTATCGAACGACCCACACTAGAGGGACCGCATACCCCAAGCAACGGACTCACGTTGTATATACACTCGGAGGCCACCGAGGTGACTCACCCCCAGGGGAACAGACACCAGAAGGCGACAAAAACCGAGGCGAGTCACAGTTGCCTCTCTCTTGGACAGACTATCACCCTCCCCAGACACCGGACAGACCTTACCCCTATACCCATCAACCACTGACGCACACATACCCACACACACCTCACAACAAACACTGATAGAGATGGGCTCTAACTACAAGCCGACACCACTGACCCTATGGTCTAACAATGTAAGAGGCTTAAACATTCCCGAAAAAAGGTCCCAACTACTTCGCACACTGTGGGCAGAGCGCGCCTCAGTGGCGTTCTTACAGGAAACACATTTTCAGGGTACAGAGGCGCCAAACGTGAGAAACAGGCGTTACCCCACAGGATTCTATGCTAATCACCCGGACGGGAAGAAGGCCGGAGTAGCAATCCTACTCTCCAGTACAGTCCCATTCGTTTGCACGGAGCAGAAGTCAGACCCCGGGGGTAGATACGTATTTATCAAAGGCACGATAGCACAGTCCACCTACACATTTGCCTGCCTGTACTCCCCTAATCGACGTCAACACGTCTTCCTAACTAAAACGCTAGCCCTACTAAACAAATTCAGAGAAGGCCTTCTGATAGTGGCAGGAGACCTCAACATTCCCCTTGACTCTAGGTTGGATACATCTAGGGGAGAAACTTCGATACCAGGTCACTGCATACGCTCAACAGGGAGGGCCTTAGCCCGGTGTGGCTTAGCTGACTGCTGGAGAGTGGCTAACCCCGAGGGCAGAGACTACACCTTCTACTCGGCTGTACATCGACGCTACAGCCGAATAGACTACATCCTAATGGCGCAAGAGGCCCTAACACTACTCCAACGAGCTAGCATAGGGCATATCGCAGACTCTGACCACGCCCCCATTACAGTACAAATCCAATCCCCCCTACATAAACCTGCAGAGCGGCAATGGAAGTTGAACGAAAACTTACTACTTGACCTAGTGGACAAGGAACAAGCCAGGCAAGCACTGACACAATACTTTGACACTAACAACACGCCAGACACCCCCCCCTAACAATCTGGGAGGCACATAAATGTGTCATTAGAGGCCACTATATCAAAATATGCTCACAGCGTAAAAAAGAACGCACACAACAATTGTCCACCCTAAACGCACAAATCACCACACTAGAGCAGGCACACAAACAAAATCAGGGGGAAAACGAGTTCCACCGACTGACGGAGCTTAGGAGGCAGAGACGGGACATACTAGCCAAGGGCCTTTTGCGCACCCTTAGAAAGTCGGCTCGGCACTTCTTCGAGTACTCCAACAAGAGCAGTAGGCTTTTAGCCCGCCAGCTTCAAGACAGGAGAAGGGCGAACCACATACACAAAATTAACACTAGAGACAAGACTGTAACAAGTCTACCCGACGGAATCCAACGTGCTTTTGTGGACTACTACACCGACTTATATAATATCCCCCAGCCCACGACGGTCACCACACAGGCCCAACGCCGGGGACAAATAACGGAGTACTTAGACCAAAATGTAGAAAGACAATTGACCCCAGAAATGATAGAGGAACTAGAACGACCCCTCACGATAGAAGAGTTAGCCGCAGCATTAAAAATCTCCAAATCCCACAGGGCGCCTGGCCCAGATGGCCTTCCGCTGGCATACTTGCGAACATTCCGCGATGTATTATTGCCGAACCTCCTACGAGGTCTTAGCTCACTTCAAGACGGGGAACGGTTTCCCACTGACACACTAGCGGCCATAGTCACGGTGATACCTAAAGAAGGTAAAGACCCAGCGAATTGCGCTAGCTACCGCCCCATATCCCTGCTCAATGCAGACCTCAAACTGTTCGCCAAGACACTAGCCCTGCGAATCGCGAAGCACCTACCACACCTAGTGCACTCGGACCAGGTCGGGTTCATCCCAGAGAGGGAGGGAAGAGATAACACCATCAAAGCCCTAAACATACTGCAAGTAGCAAGGTCGCAACACCGGGAGCTACTCCTCCTCTCGACAGATGCCGAGAAGGCCTTCGACCGGGTGGACTGGCTGTACTTGGAGGAAACACTCACACACATGGGGTTCGGCCCACGCATGCGATCATGGGTCCTTTCCCTGTACACGAGCCCGACGGCACGGATTCGGGTGAATGGTGCTCTGTCCACCCCCTTTCCCATTCGAAATGGAACCCGCCAGGGCTGCCCGCTGTCCCCCCTCCTGTTTGCCCTCTCCCTGGAACCCTTCCTGGGGGCGGTCCGACGAGATGGGGGTATCACGGGATTCACCGTCGGCCGGCGAGAATATCGAGTTGCGGCATACGCGGATGACATGTTGTTTTTCCTCACCCTTCCGCGGATATCACTTCCTAATCTTCTGGCCGCATTCCGAAGGTTTGGCTTGATATCTAACCTTAAGCTCAACACAGATAAGTCAGAAGCCCTTCACCTTCCAAGCCCCCAGGACTCCTCAACGACGCTACACACCCAATTCCGCTTCAAATGGTGCCCCACTAAATTGAAATACCTGGGTATATGGCTACCAAAAGACATGACCCAACTGTACTACCAAAACTACCACCCGCTGCTACAAAAGATCCAGGCAGACATGAGAAAATGGGCCCCACAATATATATCTTGGTTTGGACGCATTAACGCAGTCAAAATGAACCTACTACCCAGACTGCTCTATTTATTCCAGACGGTGCCGATCGCGGTCCCCAGGGCGTTCTTTAGCTCCCTGTTGACCGCCATCCGCAGATTCGTTTGGAATTCGCGCCCAACACGCATCAAGAGAACGACATTGGAACTGCCAAAACCGTTGGGGGGTACCGGCCTGCCCTCAATTGAGACATACTACCGGGCCGCACATTTACACAGGCTCACAGACTGGCACGCACAGCATCCCACAAAACAATGGGTCACGCTGGAATTGGAACAGTCGGGAGGGCACATACCCCCCACATTATGGCTACACACTGCTACGCATGCAGATCTACAAACTAAAAACCCCTTAATAGACGCCACCCTGAGGGTCTGGATGGCAACCCGATACCGTCTACAACTCACCACTTCGCCCAGCCCCCTGATCCCCCTCACACATAACCCGGACTTGGCAGATTCACTGACTCGAGGTGACCTAGCCGGACTCCAACCGACGGACTGGTCATATATACACCAATGGCTCAGCACCAACGGCCTAAAAACAATCGGAGAACTATGCCCCGACTGAACACCTACATTCCTTGAACAGTTTAGATACCGCCAAATAAAATCTTACTACTCAGCCCTGTCGGGTAAGGGGCACCTACACAGACCCTTAACTGACTTTGAAACCCTATGTGTGCAACGCACACACATCACCAGGGGAATTTCAACCCTGTACACCCTACTCACGACTCAGACGAACAGGGACGTGGAGCTTAGGTTCAAAGACCACTGGGAGAGGGATGCGGGAGAGACACTCACTGCGCACGAATGGGACAAGATTTATACCCTCACGCACAAATGCTCTATCAGCTCAAAATATCAGGAATTAAACTACAAAGTGCTAACGCGCTGGTATAGAACGCCCGACACACTGCACCGCATGCACGGTACCACGTCAGGCATGTGCTGGCGATGTGGCACACAACCTGGCACGTATCTCCACATGTGGTGGTCATGCCCAGTAATTGCCACTTTCTGGGAACAAATTAGAGGAGAGATCAACAAAATTACAGGCGCCGATATCCCCCTGGCACCCCTAACGATGCTTTTGCACCACACCCAAAGCCCACTGACAGCCTACAAAAAATCCCTGGAACTGCCGCTACTCAATGCCGCCAAATCCCTTATCCCGAGGATGTGGAAACAGCCAAGAGCGCCCACCTTGAGGCAATGGATGTCAGTGGTAGAGGACATATACTCAATGGAGACCCTGACGGCCGACCTCCACGGGAAATCGGAGCGGTGTGCATTGACCTGGTACCCATGGACCACATACGTGGCAGATGGAACTGTAACCCCCGAGCCAATATAGCTGAAACTCACAGAACACCACGTTAACTGCCTTACCCCTCATAAGCACAGACACGCCCTACCCATTAACCACACACAGACTACGGACAGTTTTCACCCCCCCCAGACCACAACAGACATCAGGAAGACATAACACCCGCTAGAACAAACTACACAAACCACCGATACCTGGAGTACTCCAGGACGGACACCTTAAATACCCCCTACAGCTACTAGACCAGATACCGGTTCTCACCCTAAACGTAGAGTGCACATCATAAGTGCAACAAACTGCGCACTGAATGCAAGAGGAGCTAGGAGCCTTGAAACCTGATCATATGTTACACTACCTAATGCATGTGAAGGAAACTATTGAAATATTTATGATTTGAGAATGTTAGTATAAAGGCTACGAATGTTGTTATGCTATTCAGAAATATGATGTTACAACGGATGTTTCACCGTATCTACACATTTTTGTGACAAAATGATAAAAAGGAAAATAAAGATTGTCAAAAAAAAAAAAAAAAAAAAATTACAGACCTCAGGAGAAGTTCCAATTTTGCAATGTGTTCGTTACACTGTAATTTCAAGGTTTCTTGTTAAGAATAACCAAGAATAGTATATGTTGTTTTAAAAGGATAGGTAGGGCTTTCATCTGATATCCTAAATAAACATAGAAGCGGTAGCAGCTTTAATTTATGATAATAATCATTTCCACATAACTAACATAGTTTAAGAAAAATAATTTTAATATAAACATGTTGTCGTCGTTGTGGTAATGCTCTACATTTATTTAATAGAAATCAAGTTTTAGAAGCCGTAGACAAATATTGCAAAGAGGGAATGAACGTTTTAAAGCAAAACATTTGCAACATATGGTTTGATGGGTCTATAAATTTAATGGAAGTAACTCAATCTCAAACCACAGCATTAAAGTATATGTTTACAGAAAGTAGACACCCTTTTCTTTGGGTATTTAATTAAGGTCATTTTTACATTTTTCAAGTGACTTTTTTTATCACATTTATCTGCCAAACCTTATGATTATTTTTTTCTGTGTGTTTTTCACGCTAATACACGTGGTTATATTTAATTATTTTTTTTTGTGTATTTTTTTTTTTTTATTCACTTTCATACAACGGCAACATAGTATTTTCCTGTTACTATCTTAATCATAATATGGGCTAAGTCAGAAAAATAACGTTTGGTACTTCCGCACCTCCTATGTACGTTAGCGAGCAGCCCGGCACTAAACATGCCTTGTCACTATTGGCACGACCCACATTTAAAGGAACATTTAAACAGGTAAACTGAAGTTTATTAACTTGGGCTATGCTGTTTTATTTTTTGGATACAGGGCAGTGCAATAAGTTGCCAAGAGATAAAATGTGTGTGTTTTATAATTGTAGTGTATTAAGATTGTATTTGTGTGGCCAACTGTGACTGGCAGAAATTTATGTGAATTGTTTGTTGCTTGACCTCAGCATTAATATAGCATGCACTGGTATAGAACAAAACAATATGAATCTAAAACAAATTGAATAATGCAAGAACACAAATCAATCATTATTATATTGTTTATATACCTTCTGGGTGCATCATTAAAATCACCTTACAGGATCTTAGGTCAGTTTTACAGAGACTGTTTTTTTTGCCATGTTAATGTCTATTGCTGCAGCTGGTTTCCCTCCGGCTACAATTATCTTTTTGGAGTTAATGGTGATCACAGAAAGTGTGAATGCTGGCTGGTCTTGTGTTGTGAGTGAATGCTGCCAGCAGTGTAGAGGAATCAGATCCTGGGTTTTAACTCTTGGTAGGACTTAATCATGCAATAATAATTAGAAAAACAATTAATGTAATTAATGGAAATATGAGGCAATACCTAAAGTTAAATCATTAAAGGGACTCTCCAGTGCCAGGAAAACAACTGCAGGTCCCCTCTCCCTCCCACCCCCCATCCCCGGTTGCTGAAGGGGTGAAAACCCCTTCACTCACTTACCAGAGGCAGCGACATGTCCCACGTCGCTGCTTCTTCCTCCGCCGCTGCCGCTCATCCCCTTCATTACGTCAGCCGGCGGGGGAGACTGATCATGCCCGCCGACGGGGGAGCCCTAATGCGCCTGCTCGGCAATGCTTTTCAATGCTTTCCTATGGGGATTCTAGCAACGCTGGAGGTCCTCACACAGCGATTACCTTGTAGACAGCCACTAGGGGAGGACTTAACCCTGCAAGGTAATTATTGCAGTTTATGAAAACTGCAATATTTACAGTTGCAGGGTTAAGGGTAGTGGGAGTTGGCACCCAGACCACTCCAATGGGCAGAAGTGGTCTTGGTGCCTGGAGTGTCCCTTTAAACCTATCATTCTAAAATCAGTGAAAGTCCATCTACAAATTGTCTAAAATTAGCCCCTTCAATAATTTCTAAACCTGCCCAAGTGCCTCTGACATGCCTATAAAGATAGCTCACACTCGCATGGTTATTGCTTGGGAATTAGTGAACTAGTCCATAATTAAAGGGACATTCCACTGCAAAATAAATACATAAAAATCACCATTACCCAATGAAAACATGCATGCATTTAATTATGCATTTTGTTTCATTGGGGTATATCTCCTCCTTTTCTAACCCCGCCCAGACTTTGTGACTGTCCAATCAGACTTCCCAATGCAGCTCAATGAGAGGTCTTTGCAAGGCAGGAGCTCTGGGCAATTGCTGCCTCTTGAGTTTAGCTCCACTGAACTAACCAAACCAGGAAGTTACAGGACCGGTTGTCTGTTTAACAGCCAGGGGGGTGTTGCAAGTCTAATTTATAAAAGTTCTAATTTGAAAACCGCACATTTTGTAAAATGGAAAAAAAAAAAGAGGACATATTCTTTACACATAAAGCACTTCAGCCAGCTGGAGTGTCCCTTTAAATAAACAGAATCAGGCAGTTGATTACACATACGTAAATAGATATATGCATTAATAAAACTACATTATTATATTTTTGAAATACTTAAATATCTGTGATATATATTGCTGGTTTGGGTTACAGAAGTGCTGGTTTGCCAGCATCATGACTCTGCATCTCTGTGGTTCACAGTGGCAGTGTGCCAGTTCTTGTCTTAAATAGGAAAAACCAATAGAAACATCATTGGAGCTTCAGGAGAACCTTTTTTCTAATCTGGATTTTTGTTTTTAATAAAAAAATGTTTTTTAAAGAGTATAGATTTAGGAGGACACCGCTTTAGGGCCTGTGTGTGTGAACATCAATTATTCAATAAATGCAATAAATTAACAATAAAAAGGTTAGTTTCCCAAATAATTTTCGATTCCCATAAAACACTCAAATACATGTAGAGGGTTTAATATTTTTTTTTTTAGAATTAATTAGTTTAATTAAAGTATTTCAACATAAAATCACAATGAGCTACAGTATCTTCCTGGATAATTAATAAATCCTGTTCGAGATTTGCTATATTATTATTATTATTATACTATTATAATAAAATCTAAACTTGCAGAATATGATGTTTTTCACACATCTAAACCCATCATTCCACATTTTGCAGATGAGTTTTGAAATTTACATCACTAGACTATGGTACAGATTTGATATAAAACTACTGTAGCTCTTAAAAGTGAGATTTTTCCTTTGAAAAAAGCATTTTCAACATTTCAAAAGGAGAGGGCAAGAATACTGTCATGGGTGATGATATGCAGGAAGTAGTGTTGGGTATCTTCATTGCCAACCAAGTGAATGGACTTCCAAGCAGTCAACTTGCTTGGAGTGTTCACAGAGACCTGTAATATTCTCCTACAATAGATTACATTCTGGGGTATATGTACATGAATCATTTTAATTGGATTTCCCCTGTATCTCAGATACATTATATACAGACGTTCTAAACTTGGTTCTGAAGGATCTAAGACAGTTGGCAACTCTGTGTTTAGTTTTAAAAACGATTTCTTAGAATCACAGGCACCCTTAATAAAAAAATATTTACAAGATCGTCAGGAATTCACAATTCAAGGCGAGGATTTCAGAGCTTTAACCCCTTAAGGACCAAACTTCTGGAATAAAAGGGAATCATGACATGTCACACGTCATGTGTCCTTAAGGGGTTAAACAGCTGAGTTGGAGACCTTTTGCAATTCAGCTGTTTTGGCATAAAATATGCAGATTCTTGTTCATTACCAAACAATTCCTGGATCATTGAGTAACCCTGTTCCGTATGCCCCTATGTCATAGGAAAGTAACAATGAAAGACATCTAAAGACATTGTAACACAGTCGTTTAGATGTTGTGTTTTTTTAAATTGTATGTATTTATCGGTCATAGAAAGAACCATCATTTAATTGCATGAGCAAACAATCTGTGTCAGCCCTAAAATTTGCATCAGTGCAATATATGGGAAATCAGATTATGATGAGAGGCCCATCTAGATTTACTCTGGTGTGCAGTTAATTTAGATGTTGTCATGTTGGTGCTAACCCTTTAAGGTCCAGTTCATGCAATAATTATTTTATAACAATCTACTATTTAAAAAACAATTCCAAACTGGAATGGCCAACAATCTCGATTTCGGCAGGACAATCCCGATTTCAGGCCCTGTACTGCTGTCCTGATTTGGTTCCCTGGTGTCCTGCATCTTTTGCCGGCCAGACATTTGCCAGTATTTCGGTTCCAGACTGCCATTATGGGTGGGCTCAGTCTGATGTGCTGTGCTATAGGATCACTCTGTAATGGCACAAGTGAACAAAAAATATTTTGATAACTGAGCAGGAATTAACAGAAGGGCAAGCTATTGCGTTTCTCTAAGCTTGTTTCCGTTCTCAGAGTTCCCATATTCTCTGTATTTATAAAATAATATTTTTATTTTTTTTAAGGAATATTTATAACACTCATACCAATTTGCCTGTATGGAAGAGTAATCAATGAATGCCAAGCACCAAAAAAAGGTGCTTGGCGGAAACGTGCAAGGCTATTTACTGAAGTGAGAGTCCAAAGTGAATTTCTAATTTAATTCCAGAGTACCTAAACCAAAAGCGTAACCGAATGCTTCCAGTTTGGCTAGTTTGTCCTTGGATTTGAAACTTTAACACTGCACTATTTTACCATGCCTTAGGGGCATATGCAATGGGTGCATGGCTCTTTAAATCTAGGGGTTAATAAGCGCACTAAGCCAAAAATCTCTAATCTGCTCATTATTATAATAACAAAAGAGAGTTTATCCTCAGAACCTGTTGGGATGTTGTGAGAGGTGAAAGGGTTAACTGGGTAATCTCTAGCGAAGCTGTGATGTAGGTGGTCGCCCCAGCAGCTGGATTACTGCTGTATTTACAGATGTCCCTTTTCCCATGGCCCCTTCGTCTACCTCCCACACATTCGTCCTTCTAGTGTTGCCTTTTGGGTGTGTGGGAGTAGTAGGTGGGCAGAGATAGCAGGAAGGCCCTTCACATATTGATCCTCCATGGGCCAGGAATCCATCACAGCATGAAATTCCACTTTGTAGCTTAACCCATCAGGTGCCAGATGAAATGAGTCCAGTATGAACTCCCCACATTGGAAGCTGATCGCTTTAATTTTTTTTTAAAAGCTGCAACAGATTAGAGCAAGTCAGCCCAGCATTAAAACGTCAATGTAACGTTGTAACACGTAATGTTTTTAGTAGTTTGAAAAATCAAAGCCGTATCAATGTTTTCCTGTGTTCTCGGTGCTCCTGCGATGAAGAAGTTAAAGAAACAATACATTGAAGATAGTCACATTGCAAAACATTGTGCGATACATTGTGCAATATGTAATGGACTAGAAGAGGTGTACTTTAGGGTCGAAATAAGAAACATTCCTTACAGCAGACAATAGCAAGTCCTGCAAAATGTTGCACTTTGCACAGAATGGTACCTGTCTTGGTAGCCATGTCTCTCTACAATGTAAAAATTGTATTTATCTGGTAAATAAGAGATAATTCTGAGCAGTAATTGCCCCATACAATTGTCGATTGGCAATCACAGGTCAGTCTGAGCTTTCCTGGGCCTGGCCCAACATCCTGGAAGTCATGAGGAGCTTTAGCAGAATCCCACCGACAAGTCCTTAGAAAGGCAGAAATGATGATCTAGGTATCTTGGTGTACTGCTTGTGCAGGGACAACTTCACTGGAATTAGGGTCTTGCATGGAACAGTGTGATGTGCTAATAGAATGAAAGGGTCAATAACAAAAACATTGTGTACAGCAAAAAGATGGTTTTGGCTCAATCAACCCCTAAACTGCAAAAAAAAATGGAAAAAGCTAAATGTCACCCAACTGTGCCCACAAAAGAAATGTTAGACCCAAAGTCTCGAGTCAAGGCACATTTACGGATATGATCAGGAACGTTGATCACTCAAATACCATGTCCTATTTCTCTACAGTGCTGACAGGCTGATGCACAAAGTGTTAACTGAAGAATGAGTTTGAAATCTCACTGTTGCTTTTTAATAACCCAAGTTAGATCACAATCGCACAATATTATATCATCCTAAGTAAGTACAAAAATGGAAAAAAAACAAGTTACATCATCTCTGAATGATATAAAAATTCCCCTTGTTTTTGGAAGTGTTCAGTTGTATTTATAAAAACACAAATATTAAGAGGAAAAATATCAGCCCTTTAACTGTTTTTGGTCATTGCTCAGCACCATTATAAGATATAAAACTGTATTTTGCTGTTCCCTAATATAAATATATATATATATATATATATATATATATATATATATATATATATATATATATTAGGGAACAGCACACACAAAAATACAGTTTTATATCTTATATATATAAAAAAATGTATATAAATTTTGGTCTCTATGGCAGTGCCACTGTTGAGAAATGCATGTTCTGGGTGTGCTCCAAATTCCTTTTTTTTCTATTGCTCAGCACCCTGGTGCACACTGCATGTTACAGTGTATTTGTGTTTAATTTAACCTTGCGCATCTGAATAATTCATTATAATTCAGATATATAGTGCATTAGAGGAAAGAGCTGGTTCTAGATTGCTGCTAATAACCGCAACAGGGCATTTGGCAAGTTACTTAAAAACTTAGGTCTTGATTGAAATGATGAATGAACGCGGTAGCTAAGAGATAGGTTTCCAACAACATTACAACCCAGATATCAGGATAAAGAGTCAGAGAATAAATTATAGTGATTAATATTCTTTTAATCTTTATATTAAAGATACAGTATAAGGAATATAATAGAAATGTAGACAAGGAAGGATATTAAAGGGAAAAAACTACAGGTAACAAGTATTAAAGGGACATTATAGTCAGCAAAATAACTTTAGCTTAATGAAGCAGTTTTGGTGTATAGATCAGTGGTCCCCAGCCCAGTCCTCATGGACCACCAACAGTCCAGGATTTATGTATTTCCCTGTTTTATTACAATGGAGGTACTGACAAAACCTGGACTGTTGGTGGTCCATGAGGACTGGGTTGGAGAACACTGGTATAGATCATAAACTTGCAGTCTCACTGCTCAATAATAATATATATTTTTATAAATCTGGCGCAACATAATATCTGCTCTATTGTATACAAGTCTTTTCTTTGATGGTCTGTGAAGGAAGCTTAAAATTTTAGGTTTTGCTGCCTGTCTTGAACACACCTTCTGGTTGGTCACTTAGCGCTGATCCATCAGTTATCTGTCTCACTGCTCAATACTCTGTTATTTAGGTGTTAAATTACTTTGTTTAGCCCTAGTCACATCTCTCTGCATGTGACTTACACAGCCTTCTAAACACTTCCTGTAAAGAGAGATCTAATGTTTATACTTCCTTTAGAATTTATTACCTGCACTGTTAACAGACCCTGCAGGAGCCTCCTGTGCATGAGTAAGGTTCGATTTACAGAGCAGGAGATTAAAATGTCCAAAGTAAGTTAACATCTGGTTGAAAATCGAAACTTTTTTCTTTTCATGCAGGCTGTGTAAATCACGTCAAGGGGAGGTGTGTCTAGGGCTGCTTGGACAGAAACGAAAATGATGTAACTCCTAAATGGCAGAGAATTTAGCAGTGAGACTTTAGACTCTAGTCTTGAAAAAGGGTGGAGTCGTAGTGGAAAGCTCTCTGAACACAGGATCCCACTAAAATACAATCAAATCAGCTTTGAAGATAAATGTTAGCTAGCCAGGGGTCTCCAAATACTGTGGATCTTTTTTTGGATTGCATCTTTCACTAGGTGGTACACAGAGAGGGGATGACTCTCACAGTTGACTTATTTTATGAAAATGTTAGGGAGTCCAGCAGTTTAGAAAACAAAATATGCTGGCGTCTATGAGGACTTGGGCTAGGTTTTTCCAATACGCAGAGAGTAATGTGCTCACTTCCTTCCCGAAGGCTTGTAGCAAAGGACAATTCCACCATTCATGAAAGTAATGACCAACCACTCTACAATTTTTCCTAAAAGGATTGTTGGTCATTCGTCTAATATTAAAGAAATGGTTTGGAGTTAATTTCCACTGCATTAATGTCTAAACAGCTTGCTCTCTTACAGGGATGTATTAATCCCTAGAGATTGAAACAATGTGGGCCAGTAGCAGAATAAGTTTTAAACTTTTCTAAAGCGTAACTTTGGTAATTTCCCAGCTTGTGCTTTTGGCATGGTTTTAGGTTATTTTATGGACTTGCCAAACTATTAAGCTTTAGCACTCCTAGCTATCTTGACCATAATGAATACTGCATGAATGAATGTTGTTCGTGAGATGATGTAGCACATGAGATTTCCTACTCTTGAGCTAGGTATAGTTGAATATTGATTTTTGGTAGGAAAAAAACTAGGCTCATGTCTAAGTTGCCCAAGTTTTGCTGAGGTGTTGGTAATAGTTTAACTTACCATTGTCCATTGCCCACAGGTAATCTTGTTTAATTAGGCAAGATGTGTTTGTTGGACAAATGATTTAATATATTTTAATAAACGTTAAACGTGAGTTTTTCAACATATATAAAAAAAAGTCAATATGTCACAAAATATGAAAATATTACAAAACTGATATAATTTTCTTAATATTAAATCATTTTAAAAGCTTACCCAAAAATATTAAATCATTTGTTAAGTATAATATCCAACAATAATACACAGAGGACCTTAATCAGGCTGAAGAAAAAAATCACATCATGATTTGTGAAAAATATGAAAAATAAAGAAAGAAAACTACGTCCATATTTGCTCTTGAATCTGTTTTACTAACTTCGATTACTAGGTTATATTAATATTTTCAAATGTTTCATTCAGTGTTCCCTTATCGTTTGTTTCAGGTCTTTACATGAGAACATGGCCAATGGAGATGATGATCTGATTGGCATCCCATTCCCAAACCACAGCAGTGATGTTCTGTGTGGGCTTAATGAACAAAGACACGATGGTCTACTCTGTGATGTGATACTTGTCGTGCAGGATCAAGAATACAGGACACACAAGTCTGTTCTTGCAGCCTGCAGCAAATATTTCAAAAAGCTTTTTACCACTGGCTCATTAGTAGACCAGCCTTACATTTATGAGATTGATTTTGTCAAGCCAGAGGCTTTCTCCGCAATACTGGAATTTGCCTACACCTCAACACTAACCATTACCACCTCAAATGTAAAATACATCCTGGACGCAGCTGAGATGCTGGAGATACAATGTATTATCAATGTATGCCTGGAAATCCTGGAAACTCCAAGAGATGTGGAAGAGGATGAAAAAGAGGAAGAAGAGGATGATGACGATGATGAAGAGGATGAGGCAAAAGCATTTATGAGCCAAGAAAACCAAATGGACATTAAGAAAACCAGCTGTCACCAAAGCCCTCCAAAATCAGATGATAAAGAAAGTACATATCATGAAACACAGAAGGACTTTCCAACACACTGCTTATCCACCGGCAATTCATCTGGCCACCAAAGTGCTATAAAAGACTTCTCAATCGAGTCACTATTAAGTGAAAATGTTTACCCCAAGAATAACACTGTAGACAGAAGGCCAACAATTTCTCATTTTGTTCCTAATTTCTTTCCTCATATTTGGAATGGAGATCTGGGAGCTTTCTCACAACTTCAAGACCAGCAAGCAGACAGTGGACCTCTAGATCTTGTGATAAAGAATAGAAAAATCAAAGAGGAACATGATGAGTTGCCCTCAATCCCTTTCCCGAATGATTTTTTCAAAGAAATGTTTCTCGACCATACATCCAACCACTTTGGACCAATTAAGGCAGAAATGGACTACAGTGCTTATCTTAGTTTTCTAAGCGCAGCTCATTTGGGTATGCTTCCACCTTGGCCTTTAGAAGAAGAACGAAAAATAAAGCCTAAGGCTTCTCAGCAATGTCCCATCTGCCATAAAGTAATCATGGGGGCTGGGAAACTTCCACGACACATGAGAACCCACACAGGAGAAAAGCCATATATGTGCAACATCTGTGAAGTCCGCTTTACCAGGTTAGTGATTGCAGAATTACAGAGTTTTGCTAATATCACTGGGAGCTGGCATTGTTCACTAAAAACTCAATTACTCACAGATGTGTATAGATTGAGGTTGGTAGAGATCAGCGCATGGCCTTCATCAAGCTGGTGACCTGTAAATAACATGTATCATATAGTATGCGCTATGAATCCAAATAACCTCAATATAAACATAGATAAAGGATGATAGTCACAGCTTATTAAAATGTTTGTTATACATTACCTTGCAGAATAGATTTACAAGATCAATCAGTCTGTGAGCGCAAACCTTGGCCCATACCTCCTGCCTGAGGGTCTTGCACAGACTCCAGAACATCTTGCCCTCCTCCCGCTACTAATAGAATATTACACACTAGTATGGCAGTGAAAAAAAATCCATTACTCCATGACAAAATAACGAAATTGTTTAAAGGGTTAAAGGGAAAAAGAGGGTTAGGATGGGGCAATATAATATTTATAAGCATCTGTTTTAAGTATTAGAAGAGCATCTGTCTTTTTAAAGCCGAGCTCGTTTTGCCCAACACTCTGTCAGTTGACAAATCAATCCAGACAGAGAATTCCGTTTTCTAGAGTCCTGGGTAGTCAGTGGTTTTCTATGAACACAGATCTAGAACAGCAAAATCTTACTCAAACTCATTCTTGGAATTCTTATTTACATATTATCACTGACTGCAGTCTTAAAGAAACATGTTTACAACTAACTTACCCGTGTGCCATCAGAAACAATGCAACCTTTGACTGGAAAGTGTTAACCAGTTTGCCAAGCGAGTAGAGCAAACTATAAAAGCATAAGATTTCATGTTCCTGAAGACTAAACTAGTCATAGAGATTGTAGTAAAAGCAAGAGAGGAATGTGTTGGGACATTAAAGGACCACTATAGTGCCAGTAAAGCAAACTCATTTTCCTTGCACTATAGCGTTAATAGGTCCCCCCCATCCTCATGGCCCCCCTCCCGCCGGGCTCTAGGGGGAGGAAGGGGTTAAACGCTTACCTTTCTCCAGTGCCGGGCTCGCTCGGTGCTGGGGACTCTCCTCCTCCTTCCAACGTCATCGGCTGAATGCGCATGCGCGGCAAGAGCCGTGCGCGTATTCAGTCAGTCAATGCTTTCCTATGGACGCCCCTAGAGGCTGGATTAACCCTTATGTAAACATAGAAGTTTCTCTGAAACTGCTATGTTTACAGCAGGCAGGGTTAACCCTAGATGGACCTGGCACCCAGACCACTTCATTAAGCTGAAGTGGTCTGGGTGCCTATAGTGGTTCTTTAAGCTGTTCAGCTAGGTGGTAATATACATATGGACCCCAGGACATACTTGAATAACTAAATGTACAATTCCTGATTAAATATGTTTATATTATTATTATATTTATCTTTCATAGATTCATCATAGAGCTCACTAATTCAATCAACAATGACCATATTTATTAGGCTAAATGTAGGCTGCTCTTCTAATTAATAAGTAATGTTAATTCTATTCATATATATTTGTAAACAAATGATTAGCACTGAGCGTCTTAAAACCTTGGGAAATTGAGTTAGATGCAGAACAGAATGGCATATTGTGGCTGATGGAATATAGCTGCCATCTAGTGGTCATCTAGAAGATAGTAGTAGAGTTGATTTAAACATCTAATGTGCTAGCTGACTACTTCTGGTTGAATTTTTAATGAACAGTTTGGAGGTCATAACATTTTAAATAGCTGAAAATCTCTGTGATCATATTTTTAAACTGCAGGATAATCTACAAGTATGATATATAATTAAAGCTGCAAATACAGATACGCAGATAACATAATCTGCCCTCTAGTGGCACATACAGACAGCGCCTTTTTAGTGAAATGTTTTTTACAGTTTGATCAGTTATTCACAAATAATACTGGACCTTCTTTTTTAAGTACAGTTTAAGGAAAGTGTCACAGACACTAAGGTATTGAATAGTTTGAAGAAGGATGACATGAACAAGAGTGTCAAAGGCAGCAGAGAGGTCTAGAGGAATTAGTGTAGAGTAGTGACTTTTGGATTTATCTAAAATTAGATCATTGGTTACTTCAATCAATGCGGTCTCAGTAGAGTGGAAGGGGCAGAAGCCAAGTTTAAGAGTCAAGTCAAGGAGAGAGTTGGCATTGAGAAAGCCAGTCAGTGGAGACCAGTCGTTCCAGAAGCTTTAAGAGCAAAGAAAGCAGGGATATGTGACGATATTTGGAAAGGTAAGACAGGTCAAGAGATGGCTTTTTTTAGGATGGGTGTGACAGCGCATGTTTACGGGCAATACTAGAAGAAAGAGCAGTTGATGATATGTACTAAAGATGAGGGGAAAGATCTTATAAAGTGAGGTGGGATGGGATCAAACAGACACGTGGTGGGGTACCAGTAGAGCACAGTCACCTCCTGTTCAGCAGCCAGGGACAAGGCATGAAGGGTAGGAAAGGCATGGTCCAAATGCCGTTGAGAGAGAGGAGGGAAGGGGAGGGAATTATTTCCTTAATTGTTTAATCTTGTCAGTAAAATAGCATGTAAAGCTATTGGCTGTAAGGTTAGTTTGGGGGTAGCCACAGGAGGTTGAAGAGAGAGTTGAAGTTTTCAGCAGATACCTGGGATTGTGGGGTTTGAACTAATGAGAGAGGAAAGTATGATTGTTTAGCAAGGGTGAGGGTTGTATTAATTCATAGTGGAACAAGTCCCATAGATTTAAAGAAATATCACTGGAAATAAGCCATGGTCAAGGAAGAGAAGATGGGAACCAGTGGGTGGCAAATAACAGCAATGTTTGCAGAGATGGGTTTGAATAGATGAATTGAGTGAAATTCAAATGAGGACAAAGAGAGGGAAGTGGCGCTTGGTAGAGGTTTCAAGGAGTAGTGCAGTGAAAGCAGAAACCCTATCCCACCACCCTTACTGTCAGATTGTCTTAGGTTGTGAGTAAAATGAAAGCCATCAGAGGGTGACACATGATCTTCCAGAAGTGCTACCTCTGCATAAGGCTTTGGCTGCAAGACTCAGTATATCCGAGTCCTGAGTGCAAACTGATGAATGTTGTTTGGGGCACAGGCTGTAATAGGGTGTCTGGGGTTAGCTTAAACAGCAATTATGGGTGAAGAGGCATGCAGGTATTGAGGTGAGAAAAACAAATCAAGGAAAAAAGCAGAGGAGGAACATTTGAGATTTCAAGATACGAGGTAATGAGAGAGATCTGATAGGTAAACATCATAAATAGTGAACATAAACTAGTAAGGCTATAAGTACAATAACTCTAACACCAATAAAAATGAACAAACATTTTACAAAGCAAGAGTTAAGCATGGAAGGTACAATAGTTTCCAATTAAACAGTTAATTAATAAAAAGAATGGAACATATCAGCTATGAAGAAAGGTTAACAAATTTAAAACTATTTAGTTTAGAAAAACGTCGTCTCAGAGGAGATATGATACCATTATACAAATATATGTGGGGCCAATACAAACCATTGTGTGGAAATCTATTCACAAACCGGACTTTACGTAGGACATGAGGTCATGCGTTTAGACTGGAAGAAAGAAGATTTCGTCTAAGGCAAAGAAAAGGATTTTTTACAGCAAGAACAGTAAGGATGTGGAATTCTCTGCCTAAAGAAGCTGTTTTTATCAGAGTCCATACAGATGTTCAAATAGCAACTAGATGCATACTTGCAAAAAACAGAATATTCAAGGATATAATTTTTCAATGTAGGGCAATAGCTTTTTGTTCCAAGGATTAATCTGACTGCCATTCTGAATGATTCCCCCCCCCCCCTAGTTTGTTGCAAAATTGGAAGTGCTTCAAACTGTGGGGGGGGGGGGGGTTGCCTTTTTTTTGATCAACAGCAAATAATAAATGTGAGGAAGGCTGAACTTGATGGACGCAAGTCTCTTTTCAGCTATGTAACTATGTAAGAGTAATACTATAGGGGAGGAAGGTTGATAGGAATACAGTTGAAAAAATAAGTAGGGGAATAAATAAGACAAGTATTCTTGAGTAGATCTTCCAGAAATGCAACCTATGTATAAGGCTTTGGCTGCAAGACTTGGTAGCTCTATCCTGAATTCAAACTTAGAAACGCTGCTTGAGGCACAGGCTAACGCTATAGTGTCCTAGCCCCTATTTAAATTCAGGCCTCTCCGTTACATTGTAGAACTTATGAAGACGTTCAGATTCTCTTGGTTTCTCACAAAAGTAGGAACTGCTGAGAATTCTAAGAGAATTTCAAATGTTAGGCCAAAATAGGTAACTTGTTAATATTCATCCAGGCAGCTATGTTTAGAGTTCTGGTTATTTTAAACCTTAAATTTGAAATTCACTTACAATTCACTTGAAGCCAAGACTACTGCCTCTGCTACTTGTTTCCTCTTTCCTGCTTGGGCCTGACTTGCCAATATATACCTGCATGAGAGGTTTTCCTTCTATACTCTGATTCCACTTAGAAATACAAGTTACATCTCTAGGAATAACCCTCTGTAGCTGTATATATCCCCTTCCCCCTGTTTTTCTAAGGTGTGCCACTATCTTTTTTTTATTTTATTATTATTTATACGCCATAGGTTTGCACTACACACTTTTGTATATTGTCCTTGTTTTGTATATTTGGCTTCTAATAAAGGTTATTACTACTAAATGATATTTTAATTTCTGGAGGAAACTTGAGTGGAGTGCGTTCCATCTATCTCTAGGTGGATCACTTACTCCATTCCATATCGTCTCCTATTTGTTAATATGAAAAAAATGTGTTACAATTGATTGCAGTGCAAATGCTTCCAGGAAGAATATGAGTATGATGGGAAAAAGTATTATACAGCAAAATGATCTAAAGTAAAACTGTTACCCTGTGGCTATTTTATAAATTAATTGCTGCAAATCTATGCATTTAATTTGTTCTATACTTGAATTAATTATAGTTCAAATACATATAGACGCTATTATTGTTGCAATTGCATCAATTTTGACAAACTCATATTTTCATATTATCCATGTATACATGTATATCTTCCATCTTGTCAAGCAGTAAAGAGACCCCTGGGGCAGGGATGATGTAACACGTGTTATAGAAATGTATTTGATGTAGAAACGATACTAATTGTGGATTAGGTTCTAACTGACTTGTGTCATTACAAATAGAGGAGGAATTGTGTAGGCTTCAGGCAATTGGTGTTGTCAACTTGTCAAAAAACTCTGAATTGCACAACCCACTCTCAAAACTTAAATGTGCTAAGAACTATTCCCTCACACACATATACAGGGAGTTAGAGTTGGATAAAACTAAGGCCCTGAGTTAAACACTCGATACACAGTGGGTGGAAAGGCAAGAAAAATATCATAACTGTGGGGCTCAAGTAATATAGGATTTTAGCGTTTTCAATTCCTCTAGCCAGTGGAGTATGACAATTCAGCCCTGGCCAGTAGAAAATGACCTCTGGTACATGTGCCATGGGTCTTTCAGGCTTGCAGGGGCAAGTAACTTTTTAGACCTCTCTAACAGAGCACAACTTGAGATTTTGAGCCCTGTAGAATCTGATTACAGTCATCTTTGGAGCACTCTTTTTTTATTTTATTTTTTTATTCTTTATTTTTGGTCTGTGCTTAGGGTTAGAAACATGCTTGCAATGCCATAACAGCAAAAACAAGCTAAAGCATACATTTCCAAGGAAACAATAGCATGGCATATGATTAGACGGCACAGTTTTTGTTATAAGACATAGGCTTAAGCAGTATATGTCAGGGGGTGAGGCAGCATGATTAGCTGTTGGAACAGATAAAATTAACTGAGGATATAGTGGGTCTACAAAACGTATCTTTGGAGCACTCTTAAACCATGTTTAACCATATTCATGGTTAATTTCACTGCACACAAAGTGACAAGGACGGAAAAAAATCACCAAGCCCACCCTGTCTGCAAGGAAATAGGCAGATGTAGGGTGAGTATATGAGTAGCAGGGGGCTAAGGTGTGCTAGGCTGCTCCAACTAAAATAAATAAAGTTGGAGGCTGCTGCAGTAGTACCACATATATCCAATAGGCCTTCTAGTATATAATGTTCATGTCGGTGGTAGCATTGTTACTTTACAACCTCTATTTGTGATTGCAAGAGGAGTTATTTGTAGAAAACTAGTTGGACTGCAGTGTTTGTTGGGATAGAATGTATGAGGGGGGGGGGGGGCAAATCTTTATTCAATGTTGTGCACTTCCAGTCGCCCATTTTGTTGAAAACTCTCACACTGCCCTGAATTCACATTGCATTACACTTTTGTGTTGAATAACTTTTGAACTTACCACCAACCCAAGCCAAAGATGTTTCAGTCAAGTGTAGATTTTTTTTTCTTGATCACCCAGGTGGGACTGTCAATGATGTCTATGGTCTTCAGTTGGGTACCCAGTCTAAGTTGTAGTTTTATTAACACAGAGCACTTCATGTGAACTCTAATAATATAGCTTTAGATGAGCCAGTATCATCAATGATCCTTTGGCAAGAAAAGTGATTGATAACGTGCTTTAGTGTAAGCTTGGTTTATCACTTAATGTCAGTATCAGAATGCTATTTCTCCATTCACAGTTTTGCACATCACTGTCTTATCATATGTTAGATGTCTATTTCTCATTCTGATTCTTCTCTTCCAAAAAATCTGTTTATGCTGTTAAGCATTTAATAAATATAATTGCCAGAATTGTATGGGGATCAAATTCCTTCACTGGATTTTCTACTCTACTGGGTTTGTGTTTTGCAGCACAAAAAATGAACATTAATTCTATCAAAATGTCTTTCATTAAAGTTAGGGCAAGTATGTCAAACTCAAAGGCTGACACGGGCCAAATAAACAAAGTTTAAGTTTATGTGGGCCGCAAAAAAACAAAAAAAGAAAGAGTTTGACCTAGATCAACACAAACTAAACTTACTTGCATCATTCTCATGCAAATAATATGTCATCCTGGGTACATATAAATAATTTACTCAAAAGTTTAACTTCAAGTAACTTACTATTGCCCCCTGAATGCAGCGCCCTCACCCCCCACTCCAATAATCTGCCACCTAATTTAATACAATGCCCCTCTCCCTCCACTCTAATTTCTCCCTTCCCTCCCCCCACTTTAATATACTGCCCCAAATCGCAAAACTCTAAATTTATTACAATGCCTCCCCCCCTTTTAATACACTCCCACCCACGCACCACATGTTTGACATGGTTGAGTTAGGGGTTTCCATATAGTATCCTGGCCAGGTGCAAGGAAATTAACTATTTTTTAACACCATAATTTACCCTGTTTTGGAATTTTGGTATTAGAATTTTAATACATTTTATTAACCATTAAAAAAGTATCTTGCCAATTTTACTTTTCTCTGCAGGTTTGCCACCCAGAGAACATAAATATTGACTTATACTTGTTTAGATGGTTGTTCAGTGAGTTTGAAGAAAAAAATTAGAGTGACATCAATGTGGGCTTAATCTAGATTACGGTTGAAATAAAATATAGGGATTATGAGAAATGCAAGATAGTTTGCCTTTATTTCCCTGCCTGACTAAAAGTGACACTGTGTGCAAAAAAAAATGACACAAGTTAATTTGTTGATGGTATAAAATAAAATCTTCTGTCAAATATGTCAGAAGCATATTAACTCTGAGTGGCATAATTTAATGTTTTGCATTGTGTACCACTCTAGGGAGTACAGATTAACTCTTTTCCTCACTTATACAACAAATTTGAGACTTTAAAAGTACCGGAAGATTAATTATTTTTATTTACTCTTTCTAGGCAGGACAAGCTGAAGATTCACATGCGGAAACACACAGGAGAGAGGCCATACTTGTGCATCCACTGCAATGCTAAATTTGTTCACAATTATGATCTTAAGAACCACATGCGCATTCACACAGGTGTCCGCCCGTACCAGTGCGAATTTTGTTACAAGAGTTTCACTCGCTCTGATCACCTTCATCGACACATTAAGAGACAGAGTTGTCGGATTTCCCGGCCTAGGAGAGGCAGAAAGCCTGCTGCTTGGAGGACAGCCAGTATGCTGTTTTCACACAACAGCCATCAAGAGGAGGACAGTTTTATGATGTCCACTGACCGAAGCAGCCATCGTTCTGGAGGAGCAATATTTCTCCCAGGACCTAATCAAAATAATTTTATGGAAGAGTCTAGGAGTGTAATAAACTTTCAAGACTTGGAAAAGCAATTTGAAGAGACTCAAATCAAGTTGCTGGAAAGGGCGCACTTGGAATCCGAGAGGAATGGAGGACATTATAATTTTGCTTTGGCCCATAATGAGAATAACTCTCCTAATCCATTCTATGCTGGTTCAAACCCTTGGGATACACCTTTGAATCGTACATCAATTTCCGACACAAGCATCTAAATCATTTGCCTAAGAAAAACAAACTGTTTAAAATTGTTCTTCAATTGTAGATTCACCTTTTCCATACAAAAGCTAAAAAAATATAAAAACTTGCTGTTGCAGATTCATTCCAAAGAAACAAGGAAGTTATGTCCTAGTTAAATTCACATATGCATGTTTAATTTTAGTGGTAATCCACATTTACGTTTTTAATTAAGAAAGACCTGGGGTTGTAGCGATGATACTCTGGAATTTAATAATTTAATTTATTTTAAATTTAAAACTGACAAAAAGGATTTTATTACTTTCCTGGTTTGTAGTTATCGAAATATAACAAAGCAGTTGATGTACTGGGAAGATCCCCTGTGGGTTAGGTATAACATTCTAAAAATGGACTAATCAGCTTGTACCTTGTTATGGTTTCTATGGCGATTGCTCCAATTTTAGTACTTTGTAAACCTACATCCCTCTAGACTGATCCTACAGTCTACGGATCCTTTTAAATGGTACTTGCAAAACACGACCGAGCCAAGATCTGGTTTCTTTTCTACTTTAATGTTTTATTACTTGAATGCTCTAATTGGCACCTACAAATGGAAGGGTTATTTTTAGCTGTAAAATATTTTACATGAGAAAAAAAAACATTTTGCAACATTCCCTGATCGCAAGATGGACAATTTCCTGTAAATCAGGAAACTGTGACTGGTCGAAAGGTATTTCCTGGTAAAATACTGGAGTAAACTAATATTCTCAGCCAGCATGTAGAGTACAATATAGTAAGCAGCTTTTGCAGGTTAAGAGCTGTGTTAAGGTAGTTTATGACATTTCTAAAATGTACTTATCATTTTGCAATCTTACACTGTGCTATATTATCGTGTTAAAGGGGAACTGTCATTATCCAGGATTTTCAAGGGGCATATAGAATTGTTTTGATTATTTATCACATATATTTAACAAATATGTGTTTCTGAGGTGTGAAAAACACAATTAAATGTAAAAATCCACACTTAATTGTGCGACTGGGTGCCTCCATCTTGACTTTTTATACATCATTGTTATAAGTTCTGTCCTTTGCGTCTGGCAGTTAGCATACAGAAAGCTTACAGAGAAGAGAAAAAAAATGAAACAATGTTTCTATTATATTTGAAAAGAAAATGGACATAACATGAAAGAGGTTAACAGACATTTTAAAGATTTTAATGCTTTGTTCAAGAGGTTATTTTCCAGAGAAGTGACAGTTTCGCTTTAGCATCTTACAATTTCCAAGAAGTTTAATATATAATGGGAGGCATGTACTAATAAAGTACAAAGATAAACAAGACGGCAACAAATAATTACTATTTTTTTATTTTTTATTCAGCACTAGTAGTTCACAACTCTCATGCGCAAATTAGAACTGTTATTGGAGGTAGGTTGATCTCACATTGAATATACATGATAATGTGTTTGTATCATTCCATTTCTTGTGAGTGATCATTTCTGTGGGCATTTTCCATCATTATTTATCACAGTAGCACAACTATGTTCTCTATATTGATTTTTGCTGGTTAAGAAGTAATAAGAAAAAAATTTAGAAGGAACAAATCAGTATTGTCTTTTTTTTCAACTCACCGTTTTTTTTTTCATTTGTGGCAGGGTATTCCCCGGGATGACTATTTGCTGGGATGCTATGTAAAAAAAAATATATCATACATGTACTTTATATGCACATTAAAAGAAAATGAATACATGAGGTGGGACATCCCTAATTTAGAGTAAATTATAAAACGTGACCTTAAAGGAACACTCCAAAATAAAAAAACTATAGATTTATAGAGGTGGGTGGGGGTGTAACGAGGTGAATTTACAATTTATTTTTATTGAAATCTGCACCTTTTAGTAAAATTGGAAAGGAGGATACACTCTTCAAACATAAGGTAAAATGCTTTATATGTGTGTAGTGTCCCTTTAATGTTTGCCTTTTGTAACTTCACAATTATATTTGATCACCAAACCAAATATTAATATAGATTTAGAACTATCATCTGGGATAATATTAAAAACAAAGTACACCAGTTTGTGAAGACACCAGACAGTTATCAACAATTTATCCCGGTGAGGCAATAAAAAAATCAAAAAAAAAATCAGGCGGCAGCATCCATATCCAAATCTTGGTTAAAGAGCTAGATTAAAATTTGTGAATAAAGTAAATTGCTTGTTTACAATGAGAACTCAACCAATCCAAACCATGCTGGAGGCACTTCTAAATAAGAAGGGTAAAAAGAACACAGCTGCCTAAGAGACATCAGGCAAGAACTTAAAAAGTAAGTCAACAGTGTAGGGAGAGAAATTAAAGGTCAGTCGTTGTAGGCTGAATTGATGGTAGAATCATAAAGGAAGCCAAGGGCTAGTCCTACTGGTCCTTGTAGGCAAAATAACAGGTTATTTTAGTTTTCATGTTTCAGAGTGAAAGGTGTTAAATATCAAAGTCGTACATTGGGCTGTATTAAACACATCCATGTCTGTCAAACCTTACTGCTCCAACAGGAAGTGAATGAGCCACATCTTTGGGACATCACGTTCATGATATTCCATGTTTGTTATTATATCACTTGAGGCACATATCTATGAATGCATCACAGTGGCACCTGGGACTCCACTATCTAATGTGTTACAAAATTTTGGGTGAGTTTTACTTTTTAGTTTTCACTTTGGTTAAACCTTCTGTGATACTCTTGGAGCCTGTTTGTCTGTTGAAAAAACAAAGATCCATAAACTGACAATTATCGCCATTGATAGTTGTCAGTATAAACCCAGTCTACAATATGAAAATGTACAAGGTGCAGTTAAAAGAAAACTATAGTGTTAGAAATACAAACATGCATTCCTAAAACTATGGTGCGGGTGTAGCAGTTTAGGTCCATGATCTCCCCCACAATGGAGTTAAAAGGTGTTTAAACATACCTTTCAGGTTAGCCCCGCCTCCATGGCTGAGATTATAATTTTCTCTGAAAAGGCAGTGTTTAACTTGAAAAGCCTGCAGGGACAGGCTGTATACACCAGAATCACTACATTAAGCTATAGTGGTTCTAGTGACTATAGTATCTGTTTAAAAGAAAATAATCACGCATCCTATATTCCACAGAATTAATTCACTAATGAAACTGATGACTGAAGTGGGTGACTAATGAATTTACTGAATGCTCACATTTGAGTTGTTGACACACTTAATGTTTTCAGTTTGCAATTTTATAGAAACTAGAAAAATGCTCCCTCACAAGTGGTACTATGTAATATGGAGATTCACATATTACCCAGTATAGCCTAAATATGTATTAAAAAGCAAAGGTCCACAAAAAAAGCCACTCATTCACGCAATTGAACCCTGTTCTCCAATGATCTCAACTTACAGATTTATTCACTGGTATGAATTGTTCGTCATTCAAAGTGAAATTCAAAGTTTAGGCCGAAATAGCTGAATGGGTTATCAGTTAAGCTATTTTGGCCAGAATACCTAATAACTTAGACCACTTCATCTCAGTGGGGTGAACCCACTTTAACCCCGCAGGTTCTGCCCAATGACTTTAATTTAATTTAATTTAATTTAAAGCTAGTTTTAGCTAGTTTTCCAGGGTTGCTGTAACTCTTGTGCAGAGAGAACATTTTTGAGACCTGAGCGGGGATTAACCGAAGGGCAAGCTATTGAATTTTTTAAAGCTATTTTTCCGTACTCAGAGTTCTCATATTCTCTGTTTTTGTTGCAATTCAGTTTGTTACGGCTCTCCATAAGCAAAAAGGGTTATCCAGACGTGGTCCCCGTGCTGTCTGTGCTCAGAGGGGCATCAGCTACACCTCACTGACGAGGCCCATGAAAGGCCAGAAATGATCATCCGGGGTTGCTGTATCTCTTGTGCAGAGATACGAACTTTCTGGCATTTTGGTTCTAGACTGCATTTATGGGTGGGATCAGTCTGATTTGCATTATGGGTGGGATTATCTAGACTGCATTTATGGGTGGGATCAGTCAGGGTATATGTTCTCTTTGTAATAGATCAAGTGAGAGAGGACTAACCGAAGACCAAGCTTTTTCTAAGCTTTTGCCCATTCTCAGAGTTCTCATATTCTCTGTTTTTGTTTAATGCCTCTAGTCACTGTTACTCAGAGTAAAATCCTGCTATTTCAAATAGATGGCACAGTGCAGAGTTTTTCCAAACATTTTTTCATATGGGAAAGCATTGGATTGATCTCCGTCAAGAGGGTGGAGCACCAGCACAGAGACGGGCACTTTGAGGGGAAAAAAGTAAGTAAACCACCTTTTTTATTTCCTACAGGTGGGGGCTGGTAATCTAAATGGTTATAAGGGAACTATATCATTAGTTATATACATTTTTATTACTAACGCTATAGTGTTCCTTTAAGGACCAATGACAGTCTTTACCTTTATAATAAACTGTTCTTTGAATGGCCAAGTTATTATTATTCAAATTCATGGATTAACTCAACTCCGAAAACTAAATGAAAATATTCTAAACTGATATAAGATCTTTAGTAAGAGATGATGATGATCACATTAAAGTATATTATTTAGACGTTAGAGGAAAGTAAATTATGTGGAAGGTAGAATTCATGATCTTTATATCCTATTAATGCTCTAATAAAACTAAAGACACGTGGATTGACAGTATTCAGTGATCCATGCAAACAAATATTTAATATGTGCTGTAGGGATAAAGGCTGCTTTGTAAACCTGATGTCTGTCCTGATTTGATGTTTTAATCCATTGTTACTTTGTATGGCATGGTCAAATGCTAACATACACATTGCAGTTATTAAAAAAAAAAGACCACCTCGTGTTCACAATTATTTATGGCAGGGTGACATCACCAGTTTTTTGGACATTAATATAGAGCAAAAAAAAAAAACCAGGTTGCACCTAATGGTGTAGTGGTAACTTACAGTGAAAAGAAACTTTGTCCACTGACAAAGAAATGATCAGTCTATAATTTTAATAGTAGGTGTATTTTAACAGTGAGAGACAGAATAAAAAAAAAAATCTGGAAAAATGCATGTCAAAAAAGTTATAAATTGATTTGCATGTCAATGAATTAAGTATTTGATCCCCTTCCAAGCAGGAAGATTTCTGGCTCCCAGGTGTCTTTTATACAGGTAACGAGCTGAGATTAGGAGCACTCTCTTAACCCCTTAAGAATGGGGGTCGTTCTATGATTTTTAGGGTCGCTCTAAACACTGGCGGGCGGCATAGAAAGTCACTGCCATCCTTATTATTTACCTGGTCGCCGGCGTTCCCACGCCGGCAATCGCCATTGCTACCGGTCTGGGTGAACTGCCTGACAGCCCAGACAGTCCCCCCTTGGCAAATTAGGCCCCCACGGGCCATGTGATTGCTCTGAAAGAGCCGTCACATGGCCACAATAGGTGTCTCTGTGCCCGCCTGCAGGGGGACTGCCGGGGTTGTCAGGCAGTCTCCCTTCTGATGTACAATAAATAAAAAAATGTTAGCAAATGAAAAAAAAATATATGTATATATATTATACATGTGCATTCGTTTTCGTACGAATAAGATTTCATCCGAAAATTCGGGTTATTCGTATTTGTTTACTAAAACGTAAACGAAAGCCCTACAAACAAAATATAAACAAAACGAAATGCAAATGCCGAATGCATTACCTTTTCATTTAATTTAATTTATATAATAGACTCTGTACTGCAGGGGAATTAACCCCCACAGCACAGAGAAATAACAGTGCGCATGAGCGGAAAAAAAAACAAAAAAACAAGGAGGGAGCCGGCAGCGCTACCAGCTCCCTCCTTGTAATAAATATTAATTCCACCCCCCACCCACCCCTGCATTAAAACCTATGGGAGTCACTATGACCCTGATATTAAAAGGAGGTTAAATCCTCCCACATGCCACTACTCTACACAGGTCCCCCCCGTTTCCTCATGGTGGGGAACACAAATCCCTAAAATGGGGGGACATAGTGCCTCCCCGCACCCCCACCCATGATCCGTGGGTGGGGGCTATTAATATAAACTGGTGGACCTAATGTCACCCCTGGTCCTCACCCATGAGTGGCGGGTGGGGAACCTAATTAAATAAATAATGGGGGGACCGAATGTCCCCCCTCAGGTCCCCACCCATGAGCGGCGGGTGGACACTCTAATAAATTAAAGGGGGGACCTAATGTCCCCCTTGGTCCCCACCCATGAGTGGCAGGTGGGGACCCTAATTAAATAAATAATGGGGGGGACCTAATGTCCCCCCTCAGGTCCCCACCCATGAGCGGTGGGTGGAGACTCTAATAAATTAAAGGGGGGACCTAATGTCCCCCTTGGTCCTCACCCATGAGCGGTGGGTGGGGACTCTAATTAAATAAATAATTGGGGGGACCTAATGTCCCCCTCAGGTCCCCACCCATGAGCAGCGGGTGGAAACTCTAATAAATTAAAGGGGGGACCTAATGTCCCTCTTGGTCCCCACCCATGAGAGGCGGGTGGGGACCCTAATTAAATAAAGGGGGGGACCTAATGTCCGCCCCAGGTCCTCACCCATGATTGGCGGGTGGGGACCCTAATTAAATAAAGGGGGGATCTAACGTCCCCCCTGGTCCCCACCCATGAGCGGCAGGTGGGGAC